CGGCGGGGGGTCTGCTTCTCCCTCTGACCCGCCCCCCTCTCCTGCTCTCTCTCTCTCTCATTCTCTCTCTCAAATAAATAAATAAAATCTTTAAAAACAAAACAAAAACAAAACATTTTGCACCTATTTTTGGAGGCACCAGCATTAGAAATGAATTATGTGTGTGTAATAAAGTGGTGTGTTCTGTCCACTGCCCTTTCTTCCATGGGGAGTTGGGTGATTCCCTGTTTCAGTTAGCGGTGCTTTGCTGCAGGCTAGGAAATGGCTTCACATAAATCCTGGACACAATGAGAAGAAAGATGGATTAGCACGGTCGACCGATGCAGGTTTGGAACAAATGGTTCTGAGTAGTTTGAGCAAAAGGAGATTTGGGATTGCCCTGGTGAGTTTTTACTGGTTTGGAGAGGGCCAGTTGATTATCAGTTTCATTAATTAATAAGATATTGATAAAATATTTCAAAGCTAATCTCTACCTTTAGTCCTTTGTTCTTTGCATTGGCTCTCTAGTAATTTATAATATAGCCTTCTGTGGTTTGGGGTTTTTGTTGTTGTTTTTGGTCTATTCTTTCTGATAAATACTAAAATAATTTTGTTTCCAAGTTATCATTAAATCCACCCCAAGTAGTGTTCATTTCTATTGTAATAATCCTTGTGATAATATTTCTCAGGGAGAAGTTTATACAAAGGTAAATATACACCTTTAGGAAAGAAAGAAACTTGTTTTCCTTTCAGGAAAAATAACCCTTAAGGAAAGGAAAACAGGTGATACATTGTGTCTTCTGCCTCTCACGTAGATTATTGCTGTTGGCATATGGTAGCGGTCTGTGCTGATTATAGTACTTACCCCAGTTTACCGCAGTTACTGGCCTACCTGCTCTGAACACAAGTTTCTTCCTGAAAGTATGCTGCCAACAAGTAGGCACTTCATTTAGGTATTGGAGGATCTACAACAGTGTTTTTAAATTTTAAATGTTGTCTCTTGGGTATTTGTGTAAGGACTTTGTTAAGGAAACATTTGTCTTTGTAAAATTATAACTGTATTGGCTGCAACACTATCAGAATATTAGCCCTGTTATCGAAACTTCAGGGCTGCTTATTACAGATTCCAAGTTTTGCTCTAGAGTCCTTATCAGTTCAGAGCAGACAAACCACAGATGGAAGAATCAGATACTGTTTTTGGAAGTTTTGACTCAAATTTGTTATTTTTATGTGCGAAGCAATGTATTAGAGACTGAAGGAGGGCCTAGAACAATGAATCAGAGACTCCCTAGGAAAGCTATCCTCTAGTGGGAGCGCTGATTGCTAGTTCTTTATATAGTTTACTCCTCAAAACAAGCTTATTTTCATTTTATAATTAAGGAAATTGGAGCTCACATGCATATCAGAGAGCTCACTCAAAGATACAGCTATTAAGTTGAAATACCAACTTATTTCTACCCTTGCTGCAAACTCCCAGGTGTCCCTTGCACCATGCAGTGGCCAGGCTCCTAGGCTAATAGAGGAATTAATCTGGCACTGCATGCGGTGTGAGCCTGGCCTCCGATCCCAAAGTGAGCATTAAGATACTTAAGATCTGTCTGGCGGGTGATTCCGGCAAGTCATTGACCCCTCTCAGTGTCAGAATTCTTTCTCTTCACTGTTTTTCTGGAACTCCTCTTGTACTTGTTGTAAAGAAAAGGAAGACATTCATACCAGTCTTCCTCTAGATGATGCAGTGACTTGAAGAAGGAACTGCAGAGCGTGGTGGTGTAGAAGTTGAGGTTTCGTGGGACAGCTAATGCTGGCTGCTTCTCAGCCCTGCTCCTTGGCAAGCTGTCTGATCATAGTTAAAACATACTTAAAACCTCTGTGGGCCTTCTTTTGTACCCCCCTGTAAAGTCGAGATGATAATAGTATCTAGTTCATGTTTGAGGAATTAAATGCTGAACTCTTAGTATCTGGCACGTGGTAGCCCTTAATATACGTTAGTTATTATTTTTTGTTAGTTTGGTCATTACACACCAAACTTTAAGGTTCAAGAACTTGATTTTACCAATCTTTTCAGGTCTGATAAAATTCTGTGGACTTAGTCACACAGGCCAAACTTGTATTTGGCTGAATAATTAAACACGGGGCTAATGTATTAATTTATTAAGGTGTTATTCTAATAACAGCTACACTCAGGTATTGTGTGATATTGAGGTAACCAAGCAAACTAAGTTAATATTTATTAACATTTATCTAGTGTGAATGAGATCAAAGGTAGTTTTAATAGGCTGCTTTATTTAGGCTAGGTGTAGAACCTGGAGATTTGTTTCTTTAAAAACATCTACAGAAATATTATTTCTCTGTAGACACGGGTACTATTGCTTGCTGGATCTCTACCCTTGGGTTTACTCCTTTTTTTCCTTTTATCTCAACATTTTATGTGAGATCAGTACCAGAACCACATTAATAACGGAGATTTTGTATTTGTAGTTTCCTCTTAAAAACAGTAGTAATCTATACATAAGGGATTTTCATGAGGGTGATTGAGGGATCTCCTCCTTTCCATGCTTGCCTTACCAAATTCATTCTTGATCATTTCCTTGGTGTTCTTGCCAAGTTGGGCATTCCCTCCCAGATCTTTGATGTCTGGTATTTTGGAGTTTTTTGTGGACAGTTACCAGGGAGAGTGGTGCTTTCTTGTCTTTGGGATCCACAGGTACACCTGTCTTATTCTTGTCACAAATGATGTAAAATTACTCTGTTAACAAAATGATCGAGTGGGAGGTTACTTTGCCTCTTTGGTTTGACTTCATCTATAAAGCATGAGCCCTGGGAGAAGCCAGGGCCAATTAATATTTGAGATCGTTAGGTGTAATATAAAGGTGATTTCAGAGTGGCAGTGGTGATGGTATCAGAATCCTGGGATGAAAGTAGGACTCCCATAATAAACACATTCATGCAGCTAAATGTGTAGAGTAATTCTTGTTTCCTACTGTGTTGTCTTAGGATAGCCTGAGGAGGGTGGTGGATAGGGAGAGTAGAGAAGCATAGAAGGGAGGGGTGCGGGGAGGGGGCCCGTGAGCAAAGGAGAGCCGGGGAAGGAAGCCCTGCAGGGGGAAGTGTTCAGACAGCTCCTGGCACCCAGGAAGTACTTGGTGCCCCGGAGCTATTTGTCGTACCAGTAATGCAGTGCTTAAGTAGTAATAATAGTACTGTACTGTGCTGACGTACACATTTACAGTGTAGGGGCATCTTTCACATCTGGAGGTTTCGGGGTTGCCAGACTAAAAGATAAACCTTCAAAAGGATGTTGTTTAAATTTCTTTGCTGCTTGACCTAGGCTAACAAAGAGGCAGTTTATATGATTTTGAGAGACCGGGGCAGGACTATTAACATAACTCCCATTTTGCTAACTCACAAAGCTTTTTTCAGCCTCACCCCCATAATCAATGGCCCTACTTCAACCCAAGATCTGTTTCAGTGGTATTTATTTATTTATTTATTTATTTATTTTTACACACATGCTCACTTACTCTCTGTTTTCCCTGGGGCAGTGGGTAATGGGTAGGACGGACTGACTGCCTAGTAGACAGGATCTGAGCAAGCACAGTAAAGCTTTGGGGCTAGAAATATGTCTTAATGTCTCATTTTCTGTTTTAATTTTCATATAGTTTATACAGTTAGCCACATTCTAATATCCCACAACCATTATAATTATTAAGGCGTAATTATTAGTGAAGAATAAGCAAATAGATTGGGAGGAAGTAGAGAAAGCTTACTTGTGATGGGCTTTGAGCCCATAGAAAGGCCATTGCCAGGAGTAAAGCTAAGGAGTGACATCATCTGACTTACTTTTAACAAAACTTTGGATGGATTCTAGGTGTCTACTGAAGGTGGAATGACTTGACGTGCTAGCGTGGAGGGCGAGAAGTGGGAAGAACTGATGAGCCAGTGGACCTTTGGTGGTGCTGGGGGCAGTGAGGGTGGCCAAGGAGTTAGAAACACTGCTTGGAATTTCATCAGGACCTGTGCTTTCTTTCTCCAAGTTCAGGCTCTGGACCTTACACCCTCCGCTCCCCCCCCCCCCACCTCCCCAGGGAAACTGTAACCCACCAAACAACCAGATTCTCTCTGATACAGTGGCTCATCTGTGGGATATGAACCACTGAGTGTTACGGTTGTAGCAGAAGGCCTGGAAGCCCATGTGAGTTTCACCTGACTGAACTGCATTCTAATTAAAAAGGGAAACAAGGAAATAACAGGAAAGAACGTCGCATAGTTACATGGGCCACAGTCTTACAGTGGTATTTCTTCACTTGTAAGACCATTGTATTTTTCTCTAGAAGTAAGGTTTTGAGAAAAATCTAAATTGTGTTCATTGATTTTGGGCAAGTAGTTCATATTAAAATTAGTTACAATTATATTCTGCAAAAGTTAAAGAGTTTCCATTTATTCACATTCATGGTAGAATTGGGGCTAACATTTCCCCTGTGGTTTTAGAATGTCTCTTTCTTCATTGAGGCTTTATATTCTCCAGGTTGGGCAGGACCTCAAGGACTGATAAGCGTGGACTTTGGGGACCTGTGGATCTGGATTTTAACTCTGGATTTGCCATATAACTACTTGAGCAAGCAATTTAAACTTTATGTTTTAATGACCAAATCTTGAAAATAGAGTTTAGTAATAAATCTACTTAACTGGGCCATTATAAAGACATAGTAAAATACTGCATGTCAAGGTATGCTTGGTACTTGCTGAAGACTCATTAATATTAGCTGTTACTAACATCAGCTACCTCTACAGCTGTTGTCTTAGATGTGAGATGAGTAAGCAGAAGTTGTAAATAACTTGTCCCAAGTCACATAATTAAATTTGAGGACTAAAATGCCATGTCTCTCAGTTTCTGAGATGTTTATGGTAATGAAACATTTTTAAAAAGTGGTGAATACTGTTTTTCATTTATTATTGTTACAAAAAGTGAATCTTTTTAGAATGTTGTTTTTCCAAAAATGTATCTTTTTGTTTTCTTTTAGGATTTGGAGTTCCATGGAGTGATGAGATTTTATTTTCAAGATAAAGCTGCTGGGAATTTTGCAACAAAATGCATTCGGGTCTCTAGTACTGCCACCACTCAAGATGTGATCGAGACGCTGGCGGAGAAATTCCGGCCTGACATGCGGATGCTGTCATCCCCCAAGTACTCCCTCTATGAAGTGCACGTCAGCGGAGGTCCGTGCGCACACACATGGGGAGCTGGCGGGGTGTCCCCTTCTTGGATAGAGAGCTCCCAAAACACTTTTTGGTCCCCAGGGCAGCTCAGTCACAGCCCTGCTTTCCCGCAGGTCCTTCTCTTTCTGGAGGGGCTGGGGAGCATTTGACAGGCGGGCAAAATGTTTGTGTGTCTGCGAAACGTTCTTAGGAGATCTTGGCACACACATCTGTGGGAAGTTAGAATGAATGTGTTAATTTAATACATGTTTATTTATTCAGAGATAAGTAGCATGACATTTCCTCATAAAATTAGCCAGGCGTTCCAGGCGTCGTACACACACTGATGATGCAATATGCTACTTGCTTTTGGAGCAATAGTTGATGTAACTCTTATGTGTAGAGTATAATATTACAATTAATTTTAACCCAGTTAAATATTATATGAGTATGAGTTATCAGTCTTACAAAAAATGAGTATTTTGTAATGTGAGATAGTATATTTTCATTATTATTTGGGAATAATTAGGGCATCTTGAGGAAATTGTCTTATGTAGTTAGTGATTTCTCCTTGTTTTTAATGTTTAAAATTTCTTAAAATATCCTATGTATTTATATCAAGTAGCAATTTTAAGTTGGACTGATTAGAAATGTAGAAATTTCTAAGAATTTTTTATGAGTGCTTTGGAAGTATTGAGTCACCTATAAAAAATACAAATCTCAATTAATGCAGCAAATAAAAGATTACATACAGCCCAAACCAAAATTTAATACCTGTTAAATTCCATCCCCAAGTCCTTGAACATAAGTTATCTGTCTTAACTTCAAAATGACAGCTCTCTGTGTATATTTGAAATTGGGTGAAAAGTTTTGTATTGTGTGGAATTTGGGTATGACCATACACTTTTTTCCCCAGTAGAATATCAGATAGGTCGTATTCATTTATTACTCTGTTAACGTTATGAGGGTATCCCACTACACAGATGATACCCAAACTGGATTTGACAACAGAGGATACTTCACTTTGGATGGTTTTTCTGAGGTTGGGTTTTTCCTTTACTCAGAATCATTAGAACCAGGTTATCGAGAAGAAAATACTCTCACTTCCAGACCTTTTTGTGTTTTCACTTTTTGGTCATTTGAAAACCACCAACTGAAGTCTTTGGAATAATATGTAAGATTGGAATTTGAGATCTTCAAATGGAATGACTTTGATTTTTTTAAAAGAAACTTTTTCTTTTAAATTTCCTTTAATTAAAAAGTAAACTATCTTACCTGTAAGGGGGTGAGAACAAAATGAAGGTGTGTGGAGAAGAAGGGGAAAGTCTCACCCACACCCTGAGGAGAGTGGCCAGGACATCTGGCTCTGTCCCGCACATGTCCGTGCTCATGCCGGTGGGTCACACCTGTGCCTCAGACACGGGGAGAGCCCTTGTCTGCGTGTTCTCAGTTTTCAGGTCATGGAGCCCTTAGGGTGTCAGTGATTTTTCAGTGGTACCTCTGGGCCAAAGGAAATACCTAACATTTCATTTTATTCAGTAGTTCGATTCAGACAAGTTAGTATTTATGCTCTAACAACTTGGTAGATGTTTGAAAAAATCGTGCACATAAAATGAAAGGAAAACTAAAATTTTCATCCCTGATGGGGTTTTATGTGCCCTCATTTCCCATCCCTGCTGGTTTGGGCAGTGCTGCTGGTTTTGTCCAGCACCACGGAAATCCCACCTTGACATTGACACTGACGCTAGCAGAAGGGACGACGCGGTCCGGTGTGGGCTGGGGGCTGCCTGCGGCTAGCAGTTCACGCAGCATCTGCCGGACGCAACTGATTTCCCTGAAGATTTAAAATGCTCCTCCTCAGCGAGTGTTCAGGGCACCTCCCCTCATGCTTGTGAACTGTAGGTCCAGTGCGCTGAATCCCAGGCCCCAACCCGCACTCTACCACCAGGGAGACTCCACTCTTATCCTTCCTGTGTTTTAGGATTCCTTATGTGAAATCAACTGGGAAAATAGAAATTTTTGAATTTTGAAAGTTGAAAAAACAGGATTCTGCTGTTAAAAAACAACATAAGAACCTCTAAGGCAGAAAGATATCTTAAAGTTATAAAGTTGTGGTAGGACCCTGACTGTATTTACATTTAATAGTTAGGCTCACATGCTTTAGAATACCTCACCCTTGCTTTTATTTGACTTTTATAATTTCGACTCCGTTGTTCTTAAAATTAGTTCTCTAAAAATATACTATGAAGGATTTTGATCTAGGACAAGCTTTGCAATAAGAAGAACTTGGTAATTTTGGTTTGTAGCAGGAATTTCAAACTTCATCCAGTCCCTAATTTATTGCTCTCATTTTCATTTCTCATATTTTCGGTTCATGAAATAATAAATTGGAATTTGTTATTACTGTATTATAATTAACATTGCTGTTTATATACAGTATTTAGTGAAAGCCTGTATAAGTCTATTTATCTTTTAAATTTGCCCCGTTAATTCCTGCTCCCTTTACCACAGTAGTTCTCCAGCTGGCCCCTACCTCCTGTATTTGCTGTGCTCATTGTAGACATCCTATAGACAGTTACACGGATGATCTTGGCCGACTGTAGGCTTCTAATAGGTGGCCCAGGTGTGCCAGGCCCTCAGGCAGCCTGTTCCATCACATTCCTGATCAGCATGCCCTGAGGCATGTTAGATGTGTAGCAAGCAAGGAAGGAATACTCTAAACCTAGCGCTGTCCTAACGAAGAGATGGGATGGTGGTTTCATGGTGGGACGTGCTGTGAGGGCTGGACCTGGTGAGTTTGGGAGATGAGAGATAGAAAGAAGAGTACAGCCGTTTTCGTGTGAGAAGGAAATCTCATAGGTCAACCGAACTCCTGTGTTACGTTAATGTTGTTTCCTTATTCTCCAGTTGCATATATGAGATAATTTGATTTACAGAATTAGGCTGATAGCAAAGCCCTATATATATATATTTTTTCTAGTTTGTGTATCTCTCTTATTTTCCCAGTTTGGATTCTAAATGTTGTAAGGGCATTATCCCTGGTCAGTGTTTGGCACTGGGTACATGGTAGTATATATTATAGTGGCAACAAAATGGTAAATAATTAAAACTAACACATAACATTTTGAATTACATTTCAGCCTGTTAGTAAGTACTTGTGGTAATAAGGTATTAATATCTACAAAATTAAACGTATTTGAGAATGTTGTATTAGCTAGTGCCATTAAATAACCATGACTTAACTTTTTTCATTTCATGATTTGAAGAAGAAAGAAGATTGGATATAGATGAGAAACCCCTAGTTGTTCAGTTGAATTGGAATAAAGATGATCGAGAGGGCAGATTTGTTCTTAAGAATGAGAACGATGCCGTTCCTCCTAAGGTAGGATCCCTCCGCATCTCGTGCTGATGGTGTCCCGGGCCCAGGTCTGACCAAGATGAACATGAGACTGTGATGTTAGTTAGTGTATTAGAACTCCACTGAACTTTCCCGTTTGCTGCTTTTCCTAAATGACTTTTTTACCCACCTCCCAGAAAAAAATTGAAAGGAGTTCTACTTATCTCTGTTTCACTAACTAATCCCTAATATTGCTCTTTACTTTTGCAAAGAAGCATATGGAAGCTTGTGTTATTAGAAGATTTAATGATCAAGTAATCAGCTCCAAATTAGAAATTCAAACCGAATTAGAAGTTGAAAATACGTTTTAATAAGAACCCCAGCCTATTTTGTGTGGCTTTTCAGATACAACTTAATAAGGCACATTTAAAACCTTTTCTGTACTCTGTGTAAGATTAGAAGTTAGCCAACTGTCTGGGCTGATGTAATGCATTAGTGCGGTGATACCAGAGACCTTCTCCGGTGGTGGGGTGTCTGGAATTCCTGTGCCGCTGTGCTCACGTGGAACACTGTGAAATACAGATAAGATTTGAAACTCACTGCGATTTCTGTGCTAAATCAAGTGGCATCTTACACTAGAATTCATTCTGACAAGTGATAGCAAATGCAGAGGTCAGGAATACTTTGAGAAACATCTTCTGTTTATTTTCCTCAACAGATTGGGGAGAGAGTGCCATTGTCACTTCTGGAAACAGAAAATTTTTACTTTGTTTTGTGTGATGTTAGTGTTCCATGTTGAAGAGTTTTAGATCCACAAAATGTGTTCTTGGCCTTGGCTTTAGTGGCTTGGCATTTGTAGCAAATGCAAATACATATAAAGTAATAGTGAACATTTCTCTTTTTTTGGTCCATGTGGTATTTCATTTCTGCACCATGATTTCAGCTGTGGGCCAGAGATCCTCATTCATGTGGATCAGAGGTCTTATTCGGGTTAGGACAATGCTGACTTGGCTAGCAATGAAAATGGAAATGCTAACTTAGATAAAACAGAAGGTACTTTATTTCCCAATACAGTAACCGTTCCTCCGTGTTTTTCTTGATTCTTTGCCGGTCAGCCTATTAATTATACCAAAAAAATAATGTCTGTGTCATCTGCTAGCAGGCCATGTTGTAAATTAAGAATAAGCAAGCAGATAAACAAGATCTGGAAAAGAAATTAGAAGTTCTTGCACAAATAGTACTTATAATTTTGCTTCAAAAAAGCCAGTTTCTTACAGTATGCTTAACATTTCTTTTGAACTTAGAGAAAATATCTATAAAGTAGATGATGATTTAAGCAGTTATTTCCTTTTTTTTTTTTAGATTTTATTTCTTAGTGAGAGAGCAGGGGGAGGGGCAAAGGGAGAGGGAGAAGGACGAACAGATTCTGTACCAAGCACAGAGCCCAATGCGGGGCTCAGTCCCACAACCCTGAGATGATGACCCGAGCTGAAATCAGGAGTCCCACGCTCAACCGATTAAGCCACCCAGGCACCCCAGTTATTTCCATATTTTGATTAGACTTCTTTTTTAAAAGTAACTATGTAAATTATTTGGATTTTTATTTATTGAAAATCAGATTTCATGATTCCCACCCTAGTTTTCTTAGTGGGTTTGGTTTTCTGTTTGCTTGCTTTTCTGTTTGAATTGAGGTAAAATATGCACACGGTGAAAGGCACAGATCTTGGATGTATAATTCATTAATTAAGTTTTGCTAAGTACACACCTGTAACCATCAGCCCAGTCAAGGTAAAGGACATTTCCATCCCCCGGTTGTAGCTGGGTGTTGGCGTTAACACGTGAAATGAAGTTAGCTAAGCCATAGAGAGCTTTCTGTGGTTCTATGTAACAACCGCCATAGTGATGATGCTACTTTTATCAGAAGGCTCAGAGCAATGGACCTGAAAAACAGGAGAAAGAAGGTGTTATCCAGAACTTCAAGAGAACTCTCTCAAAGAAAGAAAAGAAGGAGAAAAAGAAGAGAGAAAAAGAGGCAGTGAGGCAGGCGTCTGATAAGGACGATAGGCCTTTCCAAGGGGATGACATGTAAGTAATTCTGGAAATACCTCCTATTTCCTTTTGCTCTAATAAGCTGAATGTTTCTAATGCAGCAGACCTCGTTAAATTACCAGATAAACTGTGAAGAGAACGAACATCCGTTACGAAGTTAATTTCGGTACCCTCTGGCTCTTGTGTTTGGGGAAGGTGGAGGGTCTCACCTGAGCAAGGTTTACGGCCCACCATACCTGTCTCGTGGGTTTGCTAATCCCAAAGAGGCAACCTGGTGAACAGTATTGTTTTTTCTGAGTAGACCATTGATGTCCGTGTTCTCTTCATCTTTGGCCTTTCGTTCCTGGCTTTTTTGGTCCTTAAGGCAGCAGTGCTTTCCTGCAGACCCTAACTGTGCTGAACACTTATCAGAGGTGGCCAAGAACAGCGAGAGGGGCAGCTAAGGTTCGAATGCACCATCTAGTTGACTCCAGCCCCGCCGGCTCCCATTCCTTACTTCGTCACACCAGCCCCATCTGAGTTGTACTTAGCTCTCGGAAGGCATTTGAACTTCTGACCGAGTCCGGCCGTTCGTTAGGCCAGCGTGCGTTGTGCCCTCCCTCCTAGGTGCCGCCTCGCCTTGCTGGGGACGGCAGCAGAGTGTCCGCACTGTCCTTCCAGTGCTAAAGTAGCGGCCATGCGTGTTAGGAAGCCAGAGCGTACGGATTGTCAGAAAGACAGACTAACCTGTCATCGCAGGAGCCCAAAGAGAGCCGTAGAGTTTTTGTTACTGGTTTTTTAAGATTTTATTTATTTATTGGTCAGAGACAGAGAGAGCACAAGCGGGGTGAGCGGCAGGCAGAGGCAGAGGGAGAAACAGACTCCTTGCTGAGCAGGGAGCCCGACCGCGGGACTCATTCCCAGGACCCTGGGAGCATGACCTGAGCCGAAGGCAGATGCTTAATGACTGAGCCACCCAGGCGCCCCTATAGTTTGTTTTTGATACACAAATATATACTATTCATATGTTTATGTAGAGTTTTTAAACAAATACAATCATAGGCTTTTAAAACTAGAGCTTTCCACATGATATTTTTCCACTAGAACGTATTCCATAAATGCATATATATTCACAATTATGTATTTTCACAAAAGTATGAATTTAAACGATTATGTAGTAATCTCTCATACAGCTTTTTCAAATTTTATCTCACTGGCCCCTTTTTGTGTGCTTGTAGGTAGTTCACAGGTTTTTTGGTCTTGCAAGTAATACTTCTGTGACCATCCTCGCTCTCCAACTCTGGGAGTGCTCTAGAAGACAGCTCAGGGGCAGCCTGAGGCCGCATACATCACCAGGCTGTCCCTGGAAGTGTCTTCCGGAGCCCACGAGCCTGCTCGCGTCCTCCCACCCTGAGAACTGTCATACACTCCCTTCTCCACAGTGTATAATACCTCCAATAACTCGAATTTATTTTATCAATTTATTTTATCTACCTATCAAGGTAGATGTCTTTTTACACATTCACTAACCATTTATATCCTGTTGTAGTGACTTCTTCAAGTCTTTGTTATTTGATACAGTGTTCTGTATCTTTTGAGGACAGTTAACTATTCCTTAGTTAATGATGTTTACTTTAGAGTGGAATCAAGCCCATTTTGGATTGCATCAAAGTGGGTTTAGGTATTAATCTGTCAGGCACTGATGTCTATGTAATGAGTGTAAACTCTTGAGTAAAGTGTTCCATAGTAAGGCTCTCTTTAGCATAAATAGAACTTGTATAAATATATTGCTTATACATGAAAAATATCAAAGAAAAGGAGCATTTGAAACTTAGGCTATAGTTTGTCCTAATTATCAGTTTAGTTTATCGGGTGATATATTGTCTGTGTTTAGAAAATTAGTTAACTTAAAATGAGTTAAGTTGTTCAATTTGGTTGATTCAAAGCTTGATTTTATGTTGTTAGAAAGAAGGAGCAGGGGACAGGGGGAGGGGCAGAGAGACAGACTCCCTGCTGAGTGCTGAGCCCAACACAGGGCTCAATCTCTCAGACCCTGAGATCATGACCTGAGCCGAAACCAAGAGTCAGATGCTCAACCCATTGAACCACGCAGGGGCCCCAATGCTTGATTGGTTTTTAATTAAATTATTTTTATGATTAAAAATGATATCATTAAAGTGTATCAAAATTTAGCCATTAGTCTTTCTTTAATAATGCAGTCTTCAGCTCCTCATTCTCTATAGTCAACTCCTTGTCAGAAGAACTGCTGGAGCATTTCCTTTTGAAAGTTTTAGCTTCAAGAAAGTGAATGTTGGTAAATCATTTAGTTGTTAAAAAATCATGCTATTTAAGCTCAACATTTACTGTAATTGTAGGAGAGATTTTTACTAAATAAAAGTATATTCGATCCGTTACTTCTTATGGTCGGAATGTTTTCTCACTCATTTGGTCTATTTTGGGAAAACACTGGTGGAAATTCCTGACATGTATAATTTATACATTTTTCTTTTAGCCTGATTAGTGAACCCACAGTAATTAAGTCACATAAACTCACCATGAGATTTTAATGATAAATTTCCCTTTAGTTTAGTGTGTTGCTTGTATTGAGAGGAACTTCGTTTTGTATCTGCAGAACTCGTCAGCACGTGGTCACTTGTCCCCGGCACAACTGTGCACGGGACAGAGCAAGTCCAGGGACATCCGCCACGGGGATGTGTGTCTGCTTACAGTGCAGTTCTTTCTAATATAACATTTAGAAAGTACTCTTGGTGCCTTTCTTTTCTTACAGTGAGAATTCCCGACTGGCTGCTGAGGTTTACAAAGACATGCCTGAAACCAGCTTTACCCGAACGATTTCGAATCCGGAGGTGGTCATGAAGCGTCGCCGGCAGCAGAAACTAGAGAGGAGGATGCAGGAGTTCCGGAGCTCGGACGGGCGGCCTGACTCAGGTACCCGCAGCAGGCGTCCCCTGCCGCTGACACGGACCCGGGCCTTGCCGCAGTAAAGGCACCGTGCGCCCTGGGGGTCTGCTCCAGGACCAGCTTTGCCTTAGGCACAGGAGTTCCGGTCACTTAGAGATAGGTTTAGTTACATATTTTTCCCCAGTGTGGCTCTTCCTTTTTTTGTTTTTATTTCTGAATTCTGGAAAATATATATCAAAGAAGACAGAAAGATACAATTCCCTGGGTACTTATTGCCCAGCTTCCATAACTAATAACTCGTGTCTCATCTCTGCTCCTACATGGATTGCTCCTGTTCCCAAACTGGACTATTTTGAAGCAAATCCCAAATTTCTCAGTATTTCTTCTTATATTTCAATATATTTTCCTAGAGGTAAGGATTCTTGAAAAATAAAAACAGAAGAAACCACAGTCCCACTGTCACGTACAAAAGAATTGAAGCCAGTTCCCTAATACCATCAGCTGTCCTGTCACTGTTCACATGTTCCTGACTGCTGCAGATTATTGTCCAGTCGCGTCGAGGGCCGGGTAGAACCTGCATGCGGCAACTGCTTGGCGTGTCTGTCATTCCGGGTCCTGATCCTGTCTCTTAGCTCACCTCCAGTGTGCTTCACTGGGCGTTTGTTTGGAAAACCTAGTAGGTTGTTTGTCTTGTAGATTTTGCTGACAGCATCCGGTAGTTTACCATTTTTTCCTCCTGCTTTCTCTGTTTCCTCCATTAGGTGAAGAGGCAGGTTTAGGTTTTTGGGGGAGAAGGGAGTGTGGCAGAAATACTTACCTTATGAGCATCCACAGGTGAGCAGTGTTCATGAAAGGTTTTCATGATCTCATGGAGTTAAAACTTCTCAGTATTTTTCCATCTGTTGCAGTTACTGTCCTTCTGACTCTTGAACTGTCTTTGAGACAGTGAGGATCTCTTCCACCTGGTGCCTCAGGCTTTCGCATGGCCCCAGTGGCCTTGGCGCATCTTCCTGTGTGACAGGACATCTAGGCTCACCTAGTGCATTTCTTGCCCCAGGCTAGGAAGCTGCTGTTTCTTCAAGGAGTCCTTGTTCTTTTTAGTGGGATAAGTATTTGATTGCTAAGAGTGCTCCTCCTTACTGGCTAGTGTTTGCTTTTAATCCTATTTAGTGGACAGAGCTGGAAATACTTTTAATCCCTTTTTTTTTTTTTTTACTACTTGGATTTCAGAAAATCTGCGTATCTTTTCTCTTACTCTTCTCACCTAACACCAATAACATAATTATTTGCTTTTCCCTATGATAAATAGTAATATGAAAAAAATAATGCTATTATTAACAAACAATATGATACTAAAAAAATTTTAAGCTTTTTGGGAGACTTGTCTGTGAGTATATATAAGGATGTACTGTCAAATTACTGTGTTTTGAAATCACAGAATTGATTACTGTCTATGTAGTTATATGCTCATATTGATTTATACTTAGGTTTGTTTTATTTTGCTTTTGATTTTAGAGGTTTGCTTCTTAAAAATTTAATGTACTGTAATAGTTCCCAAGTCAAATCTGCAAAACAAGGTATACGTAGAGAAGTTCAGCTTTTGTCCCTGTCAGCCCCTTTAATTAAATGGCAGCGTGCTGGGTACACTTTTCCCCCACCTTGTCTTCTCCAGTTACTGGCATACACTAGAGATTACTCTGTGTTTCTGAGGGAATACAGATTATAAAGAGAGTTAAAACAAATGACTTTATTGTTTTAGCTATAAATTGAACTTGTGTACTTTTAGCTATTTAGCTATTTGACATAAAACTTTTACTTGTAGTTAACCTATAATTATATTCAGCAAAGAAAATATTTGTTAGAAACTTTAAGTTTTGCTTGTTAAAAAATGATAGCATAAATCATTTTGAGTTTCAAAAAGAAGCCTTGTATGAGAGGACTGTATCACTGATCCAGCCTTTTCTACGAATGTCTGGACTCACAGGACCCACCCGCTCTGCAGTCCTTCCTAGCCTTATGCTCGTGGCCTGAGAACTGCTCGTGTCGTGTTGCGTCCTCTACACCTGTTAGCTTGCTTACTCGGTTTAGGGTTTTGAATGTTGGGACTGCCAGCGTTTCTCTAACTGTGGACCCCTCCTCTTGAGTCCAAGCCTGAGTCAAAGGGTTTTAACCCCTACCCAGATCACGTTTGTAACTATAATCCAATATGTCTATGTGGCAGCAGGTCAGATCCGGCAAGGGGGGCTGTGTTGACACTCATATTACATTCATGCGAACAGCGTTCTTCGCTCTCCTTAGTAAGTCTCTCTCCTCTCCATTCATGAAGTTGTCTGTGGACCATGGTTCTGATAGGATATGCTCACTTGACAGAACCTGCTGGTGAGTCCATGTCTTCGGAACTGACACATATAGGGCACTCAGTGTAGCATTACCCACGGCCGCTAGCCCTGATGGAAGCTGGCTCCATCATATGTTTACTTTGATCCTCAGCGCCCTTCTGAGTCTTAGTTACGTGTTCGTGGGAGGTATAGTGTTAGTGATTCGAAGCAGCTAGGAGAGTGGGCTACTTATTAGTTCCATAATTAATGTAACAGGTTACCTCTGAGATCCAGGTGATGGTCTGTTTCTATATATGCTGTCTTGTTTGATGAAATATTCGAAATAACTTAGAAATATATGCACCAAGGGAAAAAAAAATGAAGAAGAGGGAAAGAAAATACAAAGATGAAGAAGAAGAAAGGTAATAAAATCTTTGAAAGAACAAGAGGAATGCTCAGAGATGCCTAACAATGCTGACCCTTCGCTTGACAGACCTTGAGGGATTCTCATAGGAAGGAGTTTGACATGATCAAAATGATCCTTTCCTCAGTGATTCCTTGAGGAATATTCATGTATGCTCAGGGACGTGTGAGTCATGATAAACATAGCTAGCTGAGAGGATCCATTTATTTTTGTAAGTAACTTAATAAAATATTTTTAGAGGAAATATGCTTTTAATGTGGATTAGGATGTAACATTTATATGTATTGTTACAGGAAACTGCATGTCACTTCAGGCTGTGCCCACAGTGAACCATATTTATTGGGAAAATTTGGGAAAATTGGATGGAAAAATTGGATATGATCTGTTAATGAGCTGCTGAAGAGTTTTAAGGTGGGGATTCAGAAGGGTTTTAATTAGCCTAAGCTTCAGGTCTGGAGTGGTTACTGTGGGAGCAGAATAGAGGATGGATCTGAGGGAACTGTGGTTGGAAATGAGTGCGTGCTCCCCACATGAGGGATGGGTTTCTGAGCACAGCTGCTGGGAGCGGCTGGTCAGACAGAAGCCGTGTACTGAAGCCTGGTGCAGACTGTAACACCTGTTTCCAGCCAGATGCATGTTGACGGATTGCAGTGAGAGAATATTTGGGAGTGGAAGACAGGTTTCGTGGAGCTGCTGGTGTGATCCGGGGGGTGTTCTGAGCTGGTGGTTGAGTGGCTTGAGACCAGGTTCTGCTCAGCAGTGTCACATGGAGAGAGAGATTTGGGAGTAATCTGTGGTTGCCAGACAGCAACACTGGGCATGGGTGAGATTCTTTTTGGTAGAAAGTATACAGGTAATAGAATTTAAGGGAAGGCCACTGTTAAGAGGAGTAGGCAAGGACAAGGGGGGAAAAAAAACCTCCAAAGAATTAGGAGGAAAACTAGCAGAACTTCCAAGAAGTAGAGGTTAAAGAGATAGTTGGGAGCAGAAGGAACCTTTTTCTGTATAGACTCCCAGGAAACCCTAAAAAACTAAATATTATTAGCAAAATAGCTGTTTGTGGTTAATATTAAGGACGTCAAATATATTAAGTTTAGCTATTTTGTTTGTCTTTAATAAATGACTTAGAAAATATATTTTCATAACCTGTTATAGTTACTAGTTTGGCTGTTTCATTGGTAGAAAATACGGGGGACGTGGTCACATGTTGGTAAGGTTTCTGAGACTGACAGCTCGGTCTATTATTTTCCTGTCTGGTTAGCCTGAGGATTGGCTCCCTAAATTCTCATGAGCTGACTCACTACACAGCCGATCAGACCCCTAGCTTGTAAGAAGCTTGGACCCTGGACTTTGTAAAACCTTCTTAACACTTGGGCATATACACTTTGTGATCCTCAAAGTGTGGTTGGCCCCGAAATGCCCTGTGTATGTCAGTTAATGGGTTTGTGGTGCTATGTTTTGCCATAGCTGTGGCCGTGGATTTCTTACTGAGACATCGTTGGCAGCAGTGTGAGGCTTTTCTAGGAACCGTTTTGGGAGAGGCAGAGCACGGTGACAGGAATCCCGTAGTTGGGGTCCTGGAGAACTGCAGGCCTCGGTGTGCCCCTCTTCAGAGCGGGGTAGCGGTCCTGCTCATCCTCAGAGCTGAAGCGTAGATTCATACAAATCAATTTCAGTCCGTGGTAGGGATTTTAAATTGTTAGCTGCTCTTCTCTTCTCCTCTAGCAAATTGGGTGGTATGTATCTCTACGAGGAGGATACTGTGGTGTTAGGCTCATCAACTGAAAACCTTTTGAATTGGACTCCACACTCATTATACTAAAACCAAGTCAAGTTTTAGATATTCTAAAGCATTCAGATGGTTGCTAAAAGTCATTCCATCCAGTAACTAAGTTGATTTGGCCAGTGAATATGAATCTACAGCTACCTCATCATGTGTCCTTTAGAAGAAGTGCTGCTTAAAATCATGTTATCAAAAAAACAATAAATAAAATTATGTGATCTGTAGGAACCATACTGACTTTTTACATGATTTTCTGGTAAAACCTGACCTTAAATTTTTTCAGACCAAATAGTCTTTCATCCTCTATGATCTGTAACTTCGGGATTGTAAAGTACTTGTCTTGGCTTTTAGCAGATGCAGAGTTTTCCAGAAAAATTAAACTTCTCACCATTTGCATTTTTTGTAGCCATCTCATCAGCTTTCAAAACAGGTGGTCTGGTTTGCTCTTTGGTTGTCTAAAGCACACAGACATGTTACCTCAGTCTACAAAATTGTTTTCTGCTCATTCTCTTATACATGTTTTTCTTATAAATTAATTCAAATATGCATCTGGAAGTAGAGTGTATTAAATCAGAAGGGAATGCATTTGGTAGAGTGGGATATGTGTTTCAAAACTGGCCTCCCGGGGTGCCTGGGGGGCTCAGTCGGTTGGGCGACTGCCTTCGGCTCAGGTCACGATCCTGGAGTCCCGGGATCGAGCCCCGCATCGGGCCCCCTGCTCGGCGGGGAGTCTGCTTCTCCCTCTGATCCTCTTCCCTCTCGTGCTCTCTGTCTCTCATTCTCTCTGTCTCAAATAAATAAATAAAATCTTTAAAAAAAAAAAAACAAAAAACTGGCCTCCCTGCTTGGGCTGTCGTCCCCGACTGCAGCTGTTTTTTACCTAGAAGCCGGGGCCTCTTCAAGAGCATGAGGGGTATTGTGCGTGCTCCCTACACACACAGGCATGGGTTCGCTTTTTTTTTGCGTGTGCGCACGCACAGAGCCAAAGCCTCCCAGTGGCTCCCACTTTACCTAGAGTCAAATCCAGACTCTCACGATCGTGGTCTGGCCTCGGCCAGTCTCACTGCGTTTCCCTCTTTTCACCTGGGGTTCATCTCTGGCCGGTGAGCCCAGCCAGACCCATGCCGGCTGTAGGCCTTAGCACCTGCTTGTCGCTCTGCCCAGGAAGCTCTTGAGGTGGCCATGAGGCTGCTGCGTGTCCCTCAGGGCTCGTGGCAGGTGTTCATCTTCACGGAAGGCTTTACAGTCCCAGGAGCTTCCTAAGCTCCTGGTCATTTTCTTTCTTACAACCCTGCTTGTGTTTTCCACAACATGACCACTATCTGATTTGTTTGTTTTCTCGTTAGTCTTTTCCTCCTGCGCCCCACAGCTACTCTGTAAGCTCTTTACAGGCAGGGACACTGACCTGTTCATCGCTGTGTCCTCAGCATTGGAACATGTCCGTGTGAGTTTGTATGTGGTTAAACATGTTGACAGGCAGCGCTGTCAAAACACTGTGGAGTTTCTTCCTTTTCTCATCCTTTACCCATAGTGAGAATCAGCTCATCATTATAAAAACTACTTGGGCTTGAAGAGAGGACAGGAAATGTCTTTGTCAACAGGATTATTCTCTGTAGCAAAGTGTTGGTAGATCAACAAGTGTCTGTAGGTGAATGTTGTCTAACAGGACATGAATGTAGAAGTATTACACAGATTCCATCTTTGTACTCCTTGCAACTGGAACTTAGGTGCCCTTTTTTAAAGTGATCATAGTTGTTAGCTATCTTTGTTACTGGAATAAAATAAAGTAGTGCTCAGAGGTGTCAAAATGTTTTTTTTCAGGTGGAACATTGAGAATTTATGCAGATAGTTTAAAACCAAATATTCCCTACAAGACAATCCTGCTGTCTACCACAGATCCTGCAGACTTTGCTGTGGCTGAAGCTTTAGAGAAATATGGTCTGGAAAAAGAAAATCCTAAGGATTACTGCATTGCCCGGGTAAGTAACTATCAAATCAGAACTTACCAGTATTACACATGCTACAACTTCACATTTAAGCAGAAAGATATTCTTTAAATCAAGTTAAATGTAGGGTAATTTTCTTCCCATGGTACCATTTAAAATGTAATAAATGGAAACCTTGTCTTAAATATGTATAAAAAACGAACATTGTCCTTTCCATTACAAAAGTAATAAATAAATATAAAGTAAAAAAGTATAAAAAGGTGACTTGAAGAAAATAAAAATCACCCATAATTCTAATACCAAAGGGTAACCCCTATTAACATTTATATATATGACAACATATATATATAACATTATATATATATCTCTTTAGTTCCTGTTTTGCATATATAGATAACTTAATATTTTTCAAGTGTTTTTCTAATGGTTTTACTAAGATACATCATGAAGATTCAGCTTCCAAATAAAAACTCCAGTTTGCTGTTCTAACTAGCACTTGGTGTCTACATTTAGTCATCATCCCCGTCATTTCTTGCAGATAAAAGACCGTGTATCTTTCACCCAGTTCTCACAAGGACAGTGAGCTCTTCTTCCTCAGAACTGAGCGGTCGCATTAAGTAAAATCAAGCAGGTTTTCTCTTCTGAGACAGACTACCTGGACAATTCTTAACCCTGAAGTGTGTGCTGGCTTCTTCATTACCAGGATTTCCCTGTCAAATCGCATTGGCACTGGGGTTTGACAAGAGATGTCTTCCTTTCCTCATCTTAGCAATCGATAACTAAATCATAAAACAGTGTGGTTCCTCATGTCAGGCCCCCCCTCCCCCCAGGATTACGGAGGAATGGTTGCAGTGCGGTAAACTGCATGTACTTACCTCTGCGGCCTTGCTAGGGCTGGTGCACCAGCCCAAGGGACACCTCGTCACCTGCAGAAGTCTCCGTGTGCCTCTGTGTGATGCGTCCCTTCCTCCTCCCCCTTGCCCAGGCAGCCACTGGTTTGCTTTCTGTCACTATAAAGTACTTAGATTTTGTAGAATTTTTATGTAAGGAGCCTTATATAGCGTGTACTCTTGTTGCTTGCTTTCTTGTACTCAGCGTAACAATTTCAAGTGTGCTTGCATGTATCCATGCTTGTCCTTTTTGTTGCTGTGAGTGGTATTTCATTATATGGATATTTCCAAATTTATTCATCTCCTTACCTATTGATGGACATTTGGGTTGTTACCAGTTTTGGGCTGTTAGAATAAAGCTACTGTGAGCATATGTGTGCAGGTCTTCTCACAGACAGACGTTTTTCCTCGAGTAAAGTGTTTGTGCAACTGAAGAAACTTTGAAACTGTATTCCAAAGTGATTATATCATGTTCCATCTGCATCAGAAGTTTGTGAGAGCGCCATATTTGATGTGGTCAGTTATTTTAAATACCAGCCGTTTTGATAGGTTATAGTGGTATCTCGTTGTGGAAAACATTTTTAGGGGCTCCTGGGTGGCTCAGTCGTTAAGTGTCTGCCTTCGGCTCAGGTCGTGATCCCGGGATCCTGGGATCCAGCCCCCCATCGGGCTCCCTGCTCAGTGGGAGGGCTGCTTCTCCCTCTTCTCCTGCCCCTGCTCCCTGCTCATGCTCGCTCTCTCTCAAATAAATAAAATCTTTAAAAAAAACTTTTTTAAATTTCCCTGTTGAGAGAGATATATCAAGTCCTTTGTATGATACATATGTTGTGTATATTTTTTCCTCGTCTGTGACTTGGTTTGCCTTTTCGTTTTTTTTTTTTTTTTTTAAAGATTTTATTTATTTATTTGAGACAGAGAGAATGAGAGAGACAGAGAGCACATGAGAGGGGGGAGGGTCAGAGGGAGAAGCAGGCACCCTGCCGAGCAGGGAGCCCAATGTGGGACTCGATCCAGGGACTCCAGGATCATGACCTGAGCCGAAGGCAGTCGCTTAACCAACCGAGCCACCCAGGCGCCCCTGCCTTTTCATTTTTTAAATGATGCCCTTTAGAGAACAAATTTTGTTTTATTTTTGTGGAAGTCAACTTTTTTGTTTTTAGCATTCCTTTGTGTTCTATAAAAGAATGTGTCTCTTCTGAGGTTCCACATACTTTCCTCCTCTGTCTTAATATTATTTTTTAAAGATTTTATTTATTTGAGAGAGAGCGAGCAGGAGCAGAGGGGAGGGGCAGAGGGAGAGGGAGAAGCAGGGTGCCTGTTGAGCAGCTCCCTCCCAGGACCCCGGGTCATGATCTGAGCAGAAGTTGGATGCTTAAATGAGACACCCAGGTGCCCCTCCTCTTTTGTCTTATAGAAGTTTTATAGTTTCAGTTCTTACACTTAGGTCTGTATATTCCGTTTCAAGTTAATTTGTGTACGGTGTAAGATCAGGGTAGATGTTCATTTTTTTCCATGCAGATACCCAGTTGATCCAGCACCATTTGTTAAAAAGGCTTTCTTTTCTCCCAATGAGTGCTTTGACATCTTTGTTGAAAATCAGTTGACCATATATATATATGTGGTTCGATTTCAGGAATCTGTTCTGTTAATCTGTATGTCTTGTATCTTTTTCTGAGCATTAAGCTGTATTGATTACTTTAGGTTTTATAGTAAGTCTTAAAGTTTTACTGTGTAAAGTAAGTCCCAATTTTGTTGTTTATGTTTTTGATTTTAAAAATTGTTTCTGTTATTCTAGGTCAATTTGTGTTTCTGAAAAAATTTCAGAATCAGCTTGTCAGTTTGTACACAGAAGGTGCTGGAATTGTGACTGGGTTGGCATGGGTTCTGCAGATGAGTCAGAGAGACGTCCACCCTCGAAGTGTCCAGTTTGCCAGGCTGCGAACACAGGGTGCCTCTTTGTTGATGTGGTCTTTGAGCCCCAGCAGTATTTTGTAGTGTTCAGTGTAGAGGTCTTAGACCTCTTTTGTTAGCTATAGATGGAATTAAATAAAAGGGCTTGTTGCGTTTTATGAATTTTTTCTTTTTGCTGAAAAGCTAAGAAGTTTTATTCAATTAGAAAAACTATTTGGTAGATCTACAATTTTATGAATATAGCTCAGGTTTTAGCTGAAAAGAAAACAGATTTTTTTCCCCATTAAAATGACAATAAAGAAATAAAATCTGTATAAATGCACAAGAACAAAGAGAATGAAAGAAGAGATGGCAAAAGAGCAGAGTTGTGAATGAAATTCTGGAGGAGTAAATGACTGGTATCCCACTTGTTGGGCCCAAGGAAACCTGCAGAGAGAACCTAGCAGGAAGAAACTGGCCGAGTGTCCACATCACAATCCCCAGCAGACTCAGGAACGAGGGGCTGTAGCACATGCTTCAACAACATTGAAGTTGGGCTAAAATCAAATTGGGTTGAAAGTTTTCCTAAGAAGTGGCAGGCTCCACCATATTCTCTTCCCCATCCCCGCTACTGTGTCATCTCTCCATCTGAAGGCTGTGATGGAGGTGACAGGGGAGGAAGCCTTGCATTTAAGGGTAACAGGAGTAGCAGGGTATGGCAAGGGTCTTTACTGAAGATGGGAGGGTGAAGTAGAAGCGCTTCCCAGGACACTGACAGCCAGAAGATTTGAGGATTTCTCCCAGAAGGCACCCTCCCGCCAAGGGACAGAGATCTATATGGAAACTGACCTGTGGAAGCTCAATCCGGTAACCTTACTCAGAGGGCTCCCGACAATAATCCTTGCCTCTCACCTTGAACTTTCTTTTGCCTCACTGTCGAATGTGAACTGATGGCCAAGCATCAACAGACATTTGAAACACCTTTAAAATGAAAGACAGACCAACACAAATAGGTAAAAGAACCTGGTCTTACTTCATGGATGCGACAAGGCAGAAAGCAGGTGGACGTTTTCAAAAAGAGAGACTCAGGGAGAAGGAAGACGGTGTGTCTGTGGAATAAGACCACAGTGCTGTCACGAGGGACACTTGGAGAAAGGGACCTTGGAAATTTAAAATAGAAGTCAGTAAGGGATAGGAAAAAATGCCAGTAGAAGGGGTGGAAGATAAAGTTCAAGATATCTGCCCAAGTGTAGAACAGAAAGAAAAGAGAAAAAGGGGCGCCTGGGTGGCTCAGTTGGTTAAGCAACTGCCTTCGGCTCAGGTCATGATCCTGGAGTCCCGGGATCGAGTCCCGCATCGGGCTCCCTGCTCAGCGGGGGGTCTGCTTCTCCCTCTGACCCTCTTCCCTCTTGTGCTGTCTCTCACTCTCTCAAATAAATAAAATCTTTAAAAAAAAAAAAGAAAGAAAGAAAAGAGAAAATATCGGAAAGGTCATCTTGTAGAATACCTAGCACTTAGCTAAATGAGGGCCAGAGAGAGAAAGCAAGAGGACATGGAGAGAGAGAGAAGTTATCAAGGAAATGTACTAGAATGTCTCCCAGAACTGAAGGGTTTGAGTTTCTAGCTCAAAAAGGGCCCACTGAGTAATGGTACAGTTACTTCAAAAAAGAGCCAAACCAAGGTGTATTATTTTGAAAATGTAGAAAACTAGAGAAAAGAGAATAATGATTCCAAAGAAAAAGATTCCAGTTGCATATAAAGGATCTGGCGGAGGGGGGTGGGCAAGATTGGTGCCAGTCATTTCAGCATAACCATGGAGTCTGGAATACATGACATGACATAGTGCTTTCTGATTCAGAGTGAAATGATTTCCAATCCAAACTGTTGAGTGGTAGATGGGTGGAACAAAGACATTTCAAAACTCCCAAGGCAAAATTTACCACCCATTCAGCCTTTCTCAAAAAGGTACTGGAGGACATCCTCCAGCAAAATAATGGAGTGGGCCAAGGAATAGAAAGGTACAGACTTCCCGAATAGGATCTAGCACAGGAGGTCATCCCGAGGGTGATGAAGAAGGATAGAGTCTGGAAGATGTCTTTCTGTGCGGTCATCCTACATAGCACCCACTGCACGGTGGAGAGCGTGTATGAGACTGAAAACTGTTTATAAATGAGGTGATAAATGTTAGTTATACTGTCTAAAACAAATGGCCAGTAAATTCCTGAGTGTGTTTCTGTGGGGATGTTTTTTCAGTTCTGTGTTACAGCAATAAATAAGACGCAAACTAAACACCCATTACTAAAGGAATGTGTATGCCATTGGATACCTGTTGCTATGAAACATTATGAATTAAATCTGCACCAGTTGACTTGGAGATAGATACATTTCATAAAATACCCCAGTTTTGGAAAAACAGTTACCATAAAGTAAAACGGAACAACACAAGTCTTTTGTCTATGCATACATGACCGTAGAGAAAGATAGATGCCTAGGAAAAATACACAGCAGTTTACCAGTTACCTATGTGAAGGGAAGAGGGAAGAAAAGAAGACTCTGAAATACACGTGTGATTCAGATGTGAGCCCTCTTAACGCGAGATAGATAGACGCATAAAGATCATTACTGAACGCATGATTGTAAAAACAGTCATCTCACAATGGGTTTTTTCCTTCCTTATGCTTTTCTATATTGCAGTTTTTTATAGTGAGCCTGTATTATTTAGAACCCCCACCCTCAAAAAAAATACCCCAAAGCTCATTTCTTTGTGGGGTGAGGAAAGATAGGTGATCACGAGTGTTTGTTTTTTGATATGCTCTTTCATTTCCTTTGGTCTCACTAAGAGCGTAAGAAATGGTATTGATAAATTAGAAGGGAAAGTGATGCTTCTGAAATCAAAGATATATTTTATACTGGATTTCTGGCGAATAGGGTTCATAGATAAAGAAACAGTATCCTGAACTGAAATTCTACCCTACTTTGGGGGGGTGGAATTCGTGGGGTGAGGTTGGGAGAATAGGTAATCAAGTTAATCATGCATTGCCTCTGAAGGGGAAATACTTCAGATACAGGACATTCTGGTGCATTTTCCTCCTGGCGGTTAAGTACGAAGTAGAGGAGAACCCTCTTGTAATGCTGGTGAGATCGTTGCTTTTCTGTTCAGGAGGAAAACATAGTGAGCATTACTGTATATCTGGGAAGTACACTTGTGCCTCTGGAGTAATTGGGCCCGTGGAGAAGGATGGATTTGGATGCATGTTCCTTATGGTTTTTGTTAGTCATGGCTGTAAAAAGTGTTCTGGTCAGAATAAAATCAGTAAATCAGTGGTGTGCATATAGGGTCGGCTTGGCTGAGCGGAAACCTGACCCTCTTCCAGCTGCGCCCCTGCTAGTCTTTGAGCACCCAGGGCAGGAACTTGGTTACCAGCGCCTAGCCTTGCGTGCGAGACTTGGGATTGCTCAGCTGTTTGCCAAGGGAATGTTTTTGTGTAAGTGTGTGTGAATCTATTAAATAATACTCATCAGTTCCATACAAAGTTGCATTTGATACATTGTGTGGTAATGAACTTGATCGTTTTTTCCCTTTCATTAATTTCTGCCATACTTTTACTGATGAAATTCAAACGTGAAAGGACACCTAATCGGGGTCATGAAGTTACGAAAGCCTACTTTGGGCTGTAGTGACAGACCTTTTTAAAGTCATTTGATGTTTTCTTTTGAGGGTCTCCTTCTTTGGGTTTTTTCTGTTCTATGATGTCCTTGCAAATTCTACTTCACAAACTTAGGGAGTACAAATCAGGAGTTGACTATTGTTTTAATCTTGAATTAGATAATCTTCGTTCTCTTGGTTTGCCATCTTATCAATTATGTAAGAGGTAGCGCTTCCATATTCATTCAGTGGTTATTTTAGCTATTTGTTCAGTAAATATTTAAGTTCCTCTTACTCGTTCATTACTCTGTTGGGGTACAAAAGCAAGGACTGTCTCTGAAAGAACTTCACTAAAGGGGGACAGAGAAGCCGGGAGTGAGACACGCAAAACAAGGAGCACTGGAGTGAGTGTGGTGGTCAGGGAAGGCTTGCTGGAGGAGCTGTTGTTGAGCTAGACATGGATGCTGGGAAACGAACCTTTTAGGCTCAAGAGATCATCGACAGGTGGAACTCATGGCTTAGTCTGAGAGCTCTGAGTAGTGCCTGGGATCTGCCTGGGATCTACCAGGGTGCGTGACAAAAACTGGGGCAGGAGAGGGACGAAGGTCAGGTTTTGAGCTGTGTGTGTTCTAAGCCCAAGGTACTAAATTCAATACAAAACAGTACAAGAAAAGATTAATTACTTTAGCGGGACAGTGTATTATAATATATTTTTCTTTTTCAGGTAATTTGATGTAGTGTAGAAAGAAATTACAGGGTTCTATACAAGAGTCTCATCTATTTGGTATATGAATATGATGATGTATTTGGTTGGTAAGGTTTATTGAGATAACATTGTAGTACCGTAGGTTGAAAATAATGTTCAGATGCCAGTGGCTTGGCTTCTTCTCCTATCTTCTATAATCATGTTTTGGTTTGCTTTAATACTAAAGTAGAATGAAGGAAGGGCAAAAGTCCAGCAGGTGCATGAGATTATTGGGCTACTGTCACCTAGATTCTCCCTCTGTATTACTGGGGGCTTTCCCAGATGATTAAGAAAATTGTTTGGCTATCAGAAAAACATAAAAGTTAATACAGCATTATGAGTTTTAAGAGTGTCTTTGAATGTAGTGTTTTAAAACAGATGCTTAAAAACATTTGTTGAATGAATAGTCCTGTGGTATAGCTAAATGATCTTATTAAAATTTAATCATAAAGACCGATTATCTACAAGAAAAAGAATGCTATGCTTTTTCGTTGTTAGGTGACAGTTATCCTGAGAGACCTCACATTAGATGAAACTATAAAAACAATTATTTGATGATGCAAGGAAAGTGGATTAGGGACCAGAGACTGAGCAGTAGTGGAGAGATCTTTCCTTAAAAATTACAGAAATTACTCACAGTTTGACCATTACATACCATCCTTCCCTATAAGAGTTTGTTAAAAAACAAACAAGCAAAAATTACTCCACTAATTCTTTTTGGGGGCCAGAGAGGGAGGTAGATAAAAACAGTGAAGCTTTTTATTGGAAGCTGTTGTCCTTCACTTTCGTTGATTAGTTGGAGAATTGTCTGTAGTGTTTGATCATTTTAATTTTACTGTGACTTTATTTACAATAAATTCTGGTTTTTTTACTTTTTAGGTATAGCACAGTTAATTATTTTTCCCTTTCAGGTTATGCTTCCTCCTGGAGCCCAGCATTCTGATGAAAAAGGTGCTAAAGAAATTATCCTTGATGATGATGAGTGTCCTTTACAAATCTTCAGGGAATGGCCAAGTGACAAAGGTAAAGGGTAATTATATTTGTTAAAGAATTACTTATATGATACATTAAATTTCTGCCGGATATGTTAGTTGTTTAACTGTGAGGATGCTGGGGAGCGTGTGTGGCAGGATTTGTTGGTTGTGTGTGTTTGTGTGTGTGTGTGGCTGTTTGCTGTATAGTTTTTTAGCTCCTTCCTAGACTTGACAGATGTTGTCCTGAGGGCCACACTCCGCTTGTGTGAGTTTGGGGTGTAGACCTGGAACAGGCTGTCCCGCCGTAAGAGGAGAACCTTGTCTGGAAGGAGCAGGGCGGGGGTTCCGCACTGTGTCGGCCAGTGCAAGAGCACTGTTCTCTGTCAGTGGCAGGGTCCTCTCCACCCTGAGCGCTTGTGACGGGGACGGTGACCTGCAGCCTTAGAGATTCTCCAGGAATTTAGTCATTTCAAATGAGAAATCCAGACTTTTCACCATTCAGTTTCCCCTGATTATTTCAGAGCAGTGAAGGTTGAAAGCTGTGTTTTGATGAAATCTAGTTTTCTTGCTTTCAGTTTCACACTGTAAGCTGTGTGTCCTTGAGTAGAGGCCTTTGTGTAATGAAGACATACAAATTGATTGCCCATTCATCGTATCAGTAATGTAGACTGGTAGTTTAAAGTGTACATTTGCTTAGTCTACCTCTTTATAATATAAATTCAGATTGCTTTGAATTCTGAGTTAATTCAGTTGAGTTAAAATCAGGTCAACTAAAAATATATATGTATATATATATTTGTGTATGCATGTGGTGTGTGTGTGTGATTGTATTTATTGATCATAGGGTTGCTTACCAATATGAACATTGATTTGTTCTTAAACTAATGCTGTGTTGTTTTCAAGCATGTAATGTGCTTTGGTAGTTGTTAATTTAAAATAATCTTTGGAAATTGCTAGTAGAATTTTTCAGAACACAAGTGACTAATACTTCCTCTACTGAGTAAAAGTATAAATTGGTTAAGCCTTCACTCAATCACTCCTTGGGAGATGTTAAATTATATTTTCTTGGTAAATCTTAGAAGAGTTGACGGTGAATCATTTGGCCACGTATGCTGATTTGAGTGTGCTTGATGATTGACAATGTGCACTGTTCTAGGGGTTTTAGTCTTTCAGTTGAAGAGGAGGCCACCAGACTATATCCCAAAGAAAACTAAGAAACATGTCGATGGGAAGCTGGTGAAGGGCAAGGAGAGAGCGGAGGGGTCGGGCTACGGCTCTGCGCTTCCGCCCGAGAAGCTGCCCTATCTAGTAGAGCTAAGCCCAGGTGAGAAATACTATCAATATGCATTGTTCTGTCCTCAAATGTTTATGCTTTTAATGAATTTTATTTAAGTATCCTTTCTGTTGGCTGACAACCCTTTTTTAGACCATTTATTTTTTTAAAAAAGTTCTTATATTTAAAAAGAACCAGAACCTTAAGGTCACAGGATATGTATATTTATGCATAAAAATAGAGTTCACATGGACAAAAACGAATATTGAAAAACAAAATTTAAAATAGTGAATATGGAGAGTTTAAGGAGAAGTTTAAATGATCCACTTTTAAAATTTTTTTCCAAAAATAACCTATAAAATACTTAACCTAAAAAATGACAAACTGAAATGTACTCTGAGGGCAAATTTAATAGAAGCAAGTGTGTGCGTGTATATTTACCATACTATTGTTTAATGTATGAACAGTGTCTGAGAAGGTATCTTTAAATTTAACAGTACATCTAAGAAATCCCATCTGTAAGAGGAAGGAGATTTGTTCGGTTTTAAAATCATAATAGACTAAGTTTATTTTCATGTTAGATACTTCTTTTTAGAGCTCTCTTAATTAAGCTAAAGCTGTTGTTCTAAGTTAGCCATGAGGTAGAGAAATACGTTGACATTCCTACAGAAGTGTTTTATTCACGTATCCCAATGTAGCATATGGATGTGAGACCCACACATGTATATGACATTTTATCATTCAGCTAAGCGACATCGTTTTTGTTCATTTGGTTCAAATAGCAGTATGTAACCTGTATTATGAAATGCTGTGAAGAACAGAGCATTGAGCTCTCTTGCTCAGAACTGCTTTTCCTTTTTATTTTTTTGAAGACTTACTTATTTATTTTGGGAGGGAGTGGGGGGTGAGGGGCAGGGAGAGAGAATCCCAAGCAGACTCCCGCTGAGCACGGAGCCTGATGTGGGGCACGATCCCAGGACCCTGAGATCATGACCTGAGTCGACTCATCAGTCAGACTATCAACTGACTGAGCCACCAGCCACCCAGGCGCCCCCAGAAATGCTTTTAGATAAAGCTCAGTTAATAAGTACAGAAGAAACTGGAAGCCAAAATGTAGATCATCTGTGGTTGCTTGGACAGGAATTAAGTTCTTCTCTTCTTTGATTTATGAGCGTTTATTTTTGTTGGCGAGATGATAACTAATGAGTAGATGAGGTCCTACAATCTTATGGCACAAGTAGGATCTGTCGATACAGGAAAAATGGTATTGGTTTGACTAATAGTCTGTAATTTATAATCAGTGGCAATATGCTGCAGGTGGTAGTTTTTATACTTAATTATGTTTGAGGAGTTTTTTAGATTAATTCGCTGTTTGTGAGGAGTATGTTAGTGTTGCTTTGTCCCTCAGTTCTCCGGCTGAAAAATTCATTTAAACTTTCTCACTGTGGTTTGGAGACATGTCCCCGTATTGCTGTGGGCTGTGGCGTATGTGAGCGCGGGGGGCTGCTCATCTGCGGCAGTAACAGCACCTGAGGGCCAGCCGTTGTGTCGGAACTTAACAAATTTTTAGGATCTTTGGGCACTGGGTCTGCTTTTTAAAATTTTGCATTACATGCTAAAAACTAATGATTGTTTTCTCTAAATCTAACTTTTTGAGGATTTAGGAATATTAGCCTAGAGAGAATTGATAATAGCAGCTGACATAGAATAATTTTCAAATGAATAATGGAGAGGTGGTTTGGATGGGTCGCAGAGACAGGATGAGAATTCAGTCCTTCATCTATTTGACAAGTATTTATTGATACTTATGATGTCAGACCCTCCCCGTCCTGGGCCTTTGTGATGGAGCACCAACTGAACAGATTAAACCCGCTGACCTTGGCAACTTCCATTCTAGTGAGAATTGCTATTTTGACTGCTTATTTCATATTTTTAGTTTCCCAGCTAAAAAAATATATAGACGTTTTTGTAGGCGTGGGAAAATAACAGGCCATAGATAAAAATTAATTCTCTAGTACTTTTCACCAAATACCGGGTTAATGCTCGTAACACGTTTCCTCCGTTCGTGGCACTCAGCATTTACTGAGCGGCTGCTTCAGGGAAAGCAGTGAGTACAGAAGTGAAGAGGGGTGTTCCTGCCTTCACGTGACTCCCATACAAGACATCATCGTAACACAGTGTGTGAGGAGTCCCTCCCGAGTACTCTGGGCTGCCAGCCGATAGCCCTGCTTGTGGTTCCACAGCTGTCTGTCCTTCACTCGGCTCCCGCTGGCGCCAGGGTGAGCAGTCGGTGGTGGGCCTGGAGGCTGGGCCAGGGTCTTTCTCACACCAAAGCCACGTTCTGTTTACTAGGTCATGCTGTCTTTTTCAGTTTTCATTATTATTATTATGAGTTGAGCACAGTCAGCATGCTGAATGAAATGGATTTCTTTTTCCATTTACAAGAAAATAATACCGGTAAATGTTGATTTGTCATGAATAGATAAGTGCTGTCCGTGCACTGGACATTACTACCAGCCAAGCAAGTATCCTCCAGGTTGGGCCAAGGTGCAGGAGTTGAAGATGGGAGGTTTTTGAGATGGGGGTGTATGCTTATATTGCCTTTATTGTCTTTTGGAGACTTGGGGGTAAAAAGTCATTTTATTCTTTGGTTTGGTTTTGAATGTGTTCAGCCGCGTTGGGTGGTTGCCTTCTACGTGGTTAACTAACTTGCTCTCCTGCTGCTTGGTGACTCAACTGTCGTCTTGGTGTTTTCCTTAACAGTGTGCATTGGTTTCTAACACACGCTGCCTGGAGCGCTGTTGTCTTGTCCTCACAGCTCCGAAAGCTCTGGGTGAAACGTGCTTTTCATCCTTTGAAAGGGGTCCCACTGCAGCTCACCCTCTCCTGTCTCTCTCCTCCTTCCCTCTTCCGCGTGTTCTGCATGGCCTCTGTCCTGCCGACGCTGCCTTCACCTGGGCCCCGTGCATGTGTCTCTAACCCCAGGGAGAAGGGATCGCTTTGCCTGCTACAACTATCACCCTTACGAAGGTAATGCTATGTTCATACTGCTTTCCTGACTAGAGCACTAACAGAGCCTCTTGGGCAAAATAATGTTAAGTGGCCAGACATTTTATGTATTAGGTTCTTAATTAATACAAGTAACTTTATTCTAAGAAATGTAATGTGCCATCCTTCCTTGGTTGGCATCTTGTCAGCACTCCATGTGCAGCATTCGCTTCATCTCACGGAAGCCGAGTTTGCAGAAATGTCCAGCTCCTTTACTCAGGCAAAGTCTCGAGTGAGAAATTGGACTGAAGAAGGACAGGAGCTGGGTTCCTATCCTTCCCCTCCTTCCCCCAAAAAGGTTAGGAAGAGGGGAGAAGCTGGGGGAGGAAGAGGATGGGGGAGAGTGAGGGTGGTGGGTAAGAATGCACCCAGGACCCAGCGGCAGGTGGGAGGGGCTCCGTGCTCACATACTCAGCTGTAATGCTGATGGGGAAGACGTGTCCCCATCACTGGCATGTGTCTGACAGTATTTGGGAGGGTGAGAGGAAGACTCAGCCGTACACCTGGCATTCACTCATATTGACCATCTTTTTTGTAGGGAACTAATGTATTACATTTTGACCAGGTTTTAGGGTGTTCCTTAGGATTCTCCTTGTTTTCCTGGTTGAAATTTGTTTCTTCTTGTTAGCAAAGATGTACTTTCTTACTTAGAACATTTTTCTCAAATTTGTCTCTGTTTTTGTCATCTTCAGTAGTACAGCTAGTTTTTGGTTTTATGGAAGTACTTTTTTGTTTCTATGTTTTAAATGTTATTTTTTTACATGTTGAATGTAACAGATGCTTTTCCATGCTGTATGAAGTTTACGTAACCACCTTTTAGCATCTTGTATTTGTTTGTTGAATTATCTCCAAACTGATAGTACAGATTTTCATTGGATGTTAACTGAACTTGGAGTTTGGAGTTTTGTTCTTTTTAAACAAATATATAAATAAGTGATATTTATCACCTATTTTGATACTCATATATGCATAGAGTCTAAGACCTGTTTTTATTGTTTTTTAATTCCTGAAAAGGATTCTTTAATGTTTTCATGTGTTTGTTAATTTCATACTGTAAAGTAATGGAAACTAGAGAGAAAATGGCATTTCCTTTTTTTTACTTGGTGTGTATAAAAAATGCATAGAATAAACTCATCAAAACTTTGACCAAAGTGCTTTTAGTTCTCCACTTGTATTTGAGGAGAGCTAGTTTGTTTTTCCGAATAGAGTTTGTGAAAATATGATCTAAACTAAGCTCTGTACTTCATTCAGTAAGCTTCAGAAATTAGTTTCTTAACTGTTATGTAGATTCACTAAACTGTGAGCTCTGTGGGGATGTGAATGTGTGTTCAGTTTCTCCCCATGCCTGGGACACAGGAAACGCTTGGTCAGCGCTCTTTAAATGATCGAGTCCCTCCCTGTCCCGTAAGTGGCATGGCAAAAACAACACTTACCACCACATACTGACTTCACCCGGGGTTCACCTGGGGAAGCAAGTAGAGGCAAAAGCGGAGTTGGAGGTATAGAATTGTTGTAAAAACAAAAGTACTCTTTAAAAAATGTTCTTATGCAATGTTCATAATGGTCTATTTTCCCTTATATTTAGAATACTAACGAAAACTTGCGGTTATATCTCAAATTTAAAAAAAAAGCAAAAGCAGGAAAACAAGACACAGAACAACGTGAATAGTAATTTAGGGGTACCAGAGTTGGCAAATAAAATTCAAGACACCCAGAAGACATTAGCAGTTTTAGATAGAAAACCAGTTTTTGTGTAAATCGGGTCCCAACGATTGCCCATTTGACTAGATGCCATGTATTTCATTTGTCAACCCTAAAGAGTATTCTAATGTTGGTGCAAAAAAAAAAAAAAAGGAGAAAGAAAAATACATGTATTGAGTTGCTTAATTATATATGCGTAAGACAGATTTTAAAGATTTGCTTCTGGGTAGGGAATTAAGGCAGGAAAGGAAGGGTGCTTTTCATTGATTACTTCCTGTGCCTTTTAAATTTCAAACCACATGAATATTTTATATATTTTTAATTCTACATTATGACATGAAGAAAAAACCCAAAACCACTCTGGTAGAAGCAGTGTTGTATGTGGGGGGGTTACTTAGATTTGTCTCTGCTTTTAAAAGTGCTCCAGATTTGTCATCTCTGGGGAAGAAAGGTGTGTAAGTGCTCTTGTTCAGTTGAGGAAGGGGAGAAAATACAAGGTATTGTTTTAGGCAACATTTTTCTGTGTTCATTAATGCCCATGAAATGGTCCTTGTACTCTTAATGAGGAGAAGGGAGTGAGATTTTCCAAAAAGAAAGATGTTGCTTATTTGAAGATCACCTGCCTACATCTCCCCTCACTCCCCAAATCAAACCAGAGACCACTGTATCTAGTAAATTCTGTGGCCACCGTTTGGGTTATTCAAAATCTATCCATGAAGGCTTTATCTGTATTTTCTATTGCTGTGAAAGTGTAAGAAAAGAGGGACTGGGAAGGCAGCTTGCCTCTCCCCTGTGTGTGGGGAGGCTTCCAGTGTAGTGACGGGGGGGAGGAAGGAAGGACTGGAGGGGAAGTTTGTATTTCCCCCTTTTTCTTTACACCTGTAAATCTGTTGATCTAGAAGAGTACATAATATCCATTTATTAGTCACAAGATACCTTTCAGAAGCACTCAAAATGCAGAGGAATATTAATGTGAATTTTTTCTTTCACCCCTAAACACGTATTTTTCATATTCTTGTATTTTTAACTTTGTTTTGATTGTTCTTCATCATTTATTTGCTTCTTTTGCTTTCTTTGTAATTCATTTGTGTAGTTTCTCTGTAACCATATTGCTTTATTTTATTTTCTTCATTTTTAGCTACTAATTATTCACTGTTAATAAATCTTTGTTGAATGTGTACTGTGGACCAGACACTACTGAGCGAGCGCCAGAATCAAGAGATTGTTGTTTGTTTGTTTATTTTTTAATCTGGCCGCCAAGGAGCTCAGAGGTGGGGTGGGGGGGCAAGTAAATGGAAATAATCATGGAATAGGGTTAGTGGTCTGAAGATAAAGTAGTCCGGGGTGCTGTGGAGGATGGGAAGAACACAGTGCTTCCTGATTGGGAGTATTTATTGGGACTGCCTGTGGTGTTTAAAGCAAGCAAAATAATCCACATTCCTGGGACGTTTGGACTCAGCAGCTCTAGAAGGGACCGCCCACCTCTGGGAGAAGGCTCAGGTGCTTCTGATGCCTCATTTTGGATCAGGACGTGGAGGTGGAGTTGGAGTTGGGAGTTGAAAGTAAAACTGTTTAAAAAAAATGCTTCCGTCGCCACCACACACGATGAGGATATTCCAGCTGTGAAGCATTGCAGATGATGAACCAGTTTTTTTCATGGATATTAGGCGTTGTGGCTTTTCAAACACAGTTTACTTTCATCCAGACTTGACAGGTTTCAGAAATATTTCAGAAGTGGGAAATGTGATTAGAATGTTATTTTGTGTACTCTACGATTAACAACAATTGTAACAGAATTTTTATATTCATGGTGTGTTTTGTCTGTGAGAGTTCAGACCACACCACAGCTAAGAGATTTTATTTTAGCAGTCTGAAATCCACATACACTCCCAGTGTTTAACTTCTGAAGCTCTCACAGCTTAATTCCTGGTCCCAGTGACCAGAGATTTTAACTGGCAACTGAATAAGTGAATCAGCAAGTTATTGGTGCATTAAAGTCAGTCAGGGAGACTCTGCGTGGCCCTTTTAGGACTTTGCACACCCACGCTAGGTTGGCTCTCACAGCTGGGAGATGGGTCATGATTCACTTCACATTAATTCTGTGAGGCATGTTTCCTTGTGTGTTCACAGCTCTGAAATCAGAATAAATCTCTGATTGACATCCTCTGTTAGGTTGAATATAGTAGGTGAGAAGTGAGGAAACATTTGGGTATGGGCGGATGTCTTGGTGCTGGTTCTTCCTCCTTCTCCCCACCCCACGCCATCCCCAGCATACAAATTCATGCACAGGGAAGTTAAACATTTCAGCAGTTCACAGAGGTATACAATGACACAAAAACAAAAAACCCAGTGTCCCTTTCTGCACCCCCCCCCCCCCGTTCCACTCCACAAAGCTAAGCACTTTTAATGGTAGTTCTTACTGGAACTTACTGTCAGGAATGGGCATTGGAATCACTTGAGATTATTTGGAAGGTATGGGTGTGGGCCTCATCCCCAGAGATTTGGGTCTGAAGGTCTGGATGAGCTATGAGATTGTACATTGAAAACCCCCGTCTGTGATTCTGCTGCACCCCATCAGCCCCTACGGTGCCGGATACTCTACAGGTGGCACGTTTGCTGGGAGAACAGTCTGCTCTGAAGGGAAGGTCCGTGTATCTGCCTCATAGAATTGCTGTTCAGAATCAGTCACAAAAATCCAGGCTGCATGGTGGAGAAGTTGCTTTTTATGTGATAGAAAATGTTGGTTATAGATGATGATGATGTTAACACCTTAAATTAGATTAAACAGAAGCTATGTGTCTATGTCTTAATTTAAATTTTCTATATCCAGTTAATTAAATTGCATGATTTAAATATGGAGAGTTCTTTGAAATGAAATGCTGAGAATTGAGAACTGTTATTTCATTTCTAAGATAACCTTTTGTTCGCTTGCTTTGTTGGCTTGTTTGAAATAACATGACAAGAACATCAGACTTGGCAAATGAAGCTTTGTTCTTCTTTCCCGCAGATGGCTCAGATTCCAGAGATAAGCCCAAGCTTTACCGCCTTCAGTTGAGTGTCACTGAGGTTGGGACAGAAAAGTTCGATGAGAACTCCATCCAGGTGTGCAGGCGAGCCACGGCTCTAGCACCATCTGTCCTTACATCGGGGTAGGAAGAGGCACATGGTACAGGGCCTGCGCACGGCAGCAGATACAGGAATGGACACAGATGAGGGACTTTATTGTTTTATAACTGTGTGCTCTGGGTCCCTTTCCTTTGCCTCAGCACAACCAGAGCAGACTGTGACATTATGTCCACTCTCCACCTCTGGAAACTTGACCTGGTCGTGGAGTTCCTCTGAGACTGTTGGCTTTTCTCCAGAAGGTGGTGATAACTTTGTGGGTCTTTTTCAGGATCGGGGGAGGTAGCCTGCCTCTGGGTCTGATGCCCATAGCAGTGGGCGTTCCCTCGGCTGTAGTTAACGTTGTTAGCCAGATATGGTACTCAGGTACTCAGTGAAAACAGCATAGCGTGTTCTTTAAATGAGGAAGGCCAGGGTTCCTTACCTGACTGAACTCAGCTGACCTCCAGCAGACCGCCCTTTCTCTGTGCTGTCATCTCCCAGTTGCAAATGATGGGTCGGGTTATTTAGTGTCATTTTCAGTTCTGACATCCCTTCCTTCAGCACAACAGTAAAACAGATAAATAGAATTTGTAATCCTAATCATCTGTACAGATTTATGCTTAGTTATCTAATGTTTAAGATGACCGTGTGCTTCTCAGTTCAGATTTCTAGTGTGTCTTAAAGCAAGTTACTTGATGCTAAACATAATGTGTTCAATAATTCTGAGACTATTTTGACAGTGTTTATTTACTTTTATACTGTGGGGGGAGGGTTCTACTTAAAAAGCACCAAAAATCTAGTTTAGTTTATTATATTTATCATAGAAGAGGAACTCATGGTTTTAAAATGCTGGGTTTTTGTTTTTATTTTTAAGTAGGTTCCATGCTGGGCGTGGAGCCCAGTGTGGGGCTTGAACTCATGACCTTGAGATCAAGACCTGAGCTGAGATCAAGAGTCAGCCACTTAACCAACTGAGCCACCCAGGTGCCCCAAAAATTCTGTTTTTAAATACCATGTCCTTTGTGATGGAAGTTTCTTTGATTTTATTTTAGCTGTTTGGATCAGGAATTCAGCCCCATCACTGTGACCTCACAAACATGGATGGAGTTGTCACTGTCACGCCGAGAAGCATGGAGGCTGAGACTTACGTGGAGGGACTGCGCATCTCAGAGACAACCATGCTGCAGAGTGGGATGAAAGTGCAGTTTGGGACGTCACACGTGTTCAAGTTTGTGGACCCGAGCCAGGACCACGCTCTGGCAAAGAGATCTGTGGATGCAGGCCTGACCGCCAAGGGTCCCAGACACAAGCCTGGGTAATTGCTGTCCCTCAGCTTTAAGAGTTTAGGGTGGTTTGATTTATGTGTAAAGGAATCTGAATTCGGCATACATGACAGGTGGTTTCATTTTTAAAATTCAAAGTACGGTTTGTTGTTCTTGTTGATTTGGGTTGGTTGCAGAGGAAAGAAGAAGAAAGGGGTCTTGGCTTTATTGTAAAATTGAAGTTGTGGGCTGGTTTTTAAATTAGTTAGGGTTAGGAGTAATGAAACACCCGAGGAACTCTTTTAAGGAATTAAAAATAGTTTAGCTCCACCTAGTGCCTTTCTGAGGACTTGCAGTGTGGGCCTATTACCAGAGAACACAAATCCTTACTGATCATCTAATTAAACTGCTTGACAGGGGAGGGAGTAAGACTTCCTTTTTGGTAATGGTAGTTTTTTAAAAGAATACGCTGTTTAGCCCCTTTGTCATCCAGCTCGCAGGCTGCTAGGGCATGGGTCTTGGGACAGTCGTTGCCACGGCCCTTCCCACACGCTGTGGAAGGCAGCCAGAGAGTCCCCTGAGTACAGAGCAGCTCTCTGCCCCAACAGCACCGTGTACAGAGCGTGTGGGTGGTCTTCTCCCTGCTGCCTGTCCCGTTATTCCGTTCTGTGACCTACCTTTGCTTAGCCACCCAGAGTTGATAACTCTCGGGCAGGTGCGAATTGTTAGTTTCTTCGTGTCGGTCTTTTGCCAGTTTCTCGGCATTGTAAACTCAACTGCGATCTTTCCTGGAGGGTTATTAGGTCATTCTGTATCCATCTTGAATCCTGGCCCAGAAAAGGGATAAAAGGCAGCTAGTACAAGTAAGACTTAGTATCTTTCCCAAGATGACACTTTGTGGATCATCACAAATGTTCCCCTAGGCACATGGGACGTGGGAAATGTCATGGGGTGAGACCTTCTGTTCCCAGCTGCTCACCTCCAGCTCCACGTTTCAGCCAAGGACCCATCCCTCGGTTCCCAAGGAAAACCAGTGTGGGCCTTGACTTCTCAAGAAAGCCCATTTCTGCCTGAATAGTCTTCCAGCTTTAAACGGAATGTGTATCTAAACTCATCCTTCCGTTTTGTGTCTTGGAGGACCATTTGTTTTATATTCCCTTTTTAAGGTAGTATTTACTTATGAGCCACGTCCGCATTTCCTGCCCCTCGTCGTGACCTCTGTGTGGCCCCTTTGTTTCAGCCAACAGTTCAGATGGTTTCCATTCTAATCCTCCGTTCTTCTTCAGGCCTGCATCTTTCTTTCGGCACCAGGCAGGGTGACAGGCTGAGGTGTGCCTGTCTGAGAGTCTTACTTGCCACTTACCTGTAGGATGTTTGGCCAAAGAAATCATCGTGTGGAATGGTTTCTTCTGGACTGTTGCACATTGTTTTTCAAGCAGTACCTGCAGTTTTTCCCAATCATACTTCATTCCTGAGTGGTAGATCATACTTACTTTGATGGTATGTGTTGCAGTTGTAGTGATAAGACTGTCCCTGTCCCATCACTACAGTCCTTGAGTTTTGCCCGGCAGGGTTTTCTGGTTTTCTGTATGTGAGGTCCCCCCCCATTTGTTTTTGCCATAATGGCTCCTGCTTTGGAGGCCTGCCCACGGTGTCTGTTTTCATCTTATCTCTGGCCAAAAGCAGAATCATACTAAGAACATGGCCTAGGTTTCTTTGATGGGAATGTGCTATGAAATTTTATGTTTATTATTACATCTTTTCCTTACAAACCTAGTGAAAACTGCTCGGTGGTTGAATATACCAGTACATCCATAAATGAGAAAGAACTTTCATTTTTTTTATAAACACTAATTTTGTTCTGTCGTCAAACTATTATACATATGTCTAGGTAGATAACCCATGTTTTTTTTTTTTTTTTCCCCCCACGGATGTGTGTATGTATGTTTTTTTATTGAGGTATAATTGACATGTGTTAGTTTCAGGTGCAAAGCATAATGATTCAGTATTTATATTTTTGCTAAATGATCACCACAATAAGTCCAGTTACCATCCATCACCATACCTGGGTACTTTTTTTTTCTAGTGATGAGAAGTTGTAAGATTAACTTTCTTACCAACCTTCAGATACGCAGTACAGTATTAGTAACTATAGTTTCCATACCATACATCACATCCCTGTGACTTACATTTACAACTGGAAGTTTTTGACCCACTTTCCCCACCCGCCACCCCTGCCTTTGGCAACTACCAGTCTGTTCTTTGTGTCTATGAGCTGAGGTTTTTTTGTTTTGTTTTAGATTCCATACGTGAGTGAGATAATACAGTATTTGTCTTTCTCTGTCTGGCTTATTTCCCTGAGAACAGTGCTCTCCAGGTCCATCCATATTGTGCAAATGGCAAACTTCCCTTCTTTCTCATGGCTGAATAACATTCCATTTTATATATGTATATAGCTAATATACATTAGTTATATATATAAACAAATATAAATATGCAAGTATATTTGTACAAGTTATATGTATGTAAATATAAGTAAGTATATATAAATATATAACTAATATATTTTTGATGGGAGTCTTTAGGGTTTCCTATAGGTAATAACCATGTAATCGGCAAATAGTGACAGATTTATTTCTGTTTAGATGCCTCTAATTTCTTTTTCTTGCCTAATTGCTCTGGCTAGGACTTCCAGTACTGTGTTGAATCAAAGTGGTGAGAGTGGGCATCGTTGTCTTGCTCCTGATCTTAGAGGAAAAGCCTTCAGGTCTTCATCATTGAGTATGATGTGGCTGTGGCCATGTCATAAATGGCCTTTATTATATTGAAATACATTCTCTCTATACCCTCTTTGTTGAGAGTTCTTATTGTAAACGGATATTAAATTTTGTCAAATGCTTTTTCTGTATCTGTTGAGTTGATCATGTGATCTTTATCCTTTATTTTGTTAATATGGTGGACCACACTGACCTATGTGTGGATGCTGAACATCCTCGCATCCCTGGAATAAATCCCACTTGATCTTGGCGTGTGATCCCTTTAATTTAATGTTGAATTCAGTTTGCTAATATTTTGTACAAGGTTTTTGGATCTCTGTTCATCAGGGATATTGGCCTGTAATTCTCTTTTCTTGTGCCCTTGTCTGGTTTTGGTATCAGGGTAATGCTGGTCTTGTAAAATTAGTTTGAAAGAGTTCCCTCCTCTTCTAGATTTTGGAGAGTTTGAGAAGGATTGGTATTCATTTTGCTTTGAACATTTGGTCGAATTCACCAGTAAAGCCATCTGGTCCACGACTTTTGTTTGTTGGGTGATTTTTGATTAATGATTCGATCTCCTTGCTAGTAATCTATCTGTTCAGATTCTCTGTCTCATCATGACTCAGTCTTGGTACTTTGTATGTTTCTAGGACTTCATCCATTTCTTCTAGGTTGTCCAGTACCAGTTGCAAAGTCTTCTCTTTTAATTTCTGATTTTATTTTATTTCTTTCTTTCCCTCTAGTAACCTTGGGCTTTGTTCTTTTTTTTCCTGGTTCCTTGAGGGATACATGATGCATGTGTTCTTAATTGCAGATTTCAGGGTCCGTGTCTTCAAATCCTTAGTGAATGGTGGACTAGCAAAGTAGCACAATTTGATGTTGATGGTCAGGGTGGGACTTCTTTTGACGCATTCGTTGCACTCATTCACCTTTTCACGTATGTATTCACCCAGCCTGCATTCGTGGACACCTGTGTCACATGTCACCGTCCTCTGGGCTGACGTGGCCAGGACACGGTTCTTACGCTCAATGGTTATACTTAGATAATGTCATTAAAGTCATAAATAAGTCATTTTGTAATCATTTACATATCCAGAATGTAGTACAAATGGGTCCATGTTAAACTTTAAAGTCTTGTTAGCTTTTGGGGAAAAAGTAAAGAGCTTTGCATGGTGTTGAGTAGATTTGTTATTTTAGGATGATAATCACGTGTGGAGTCAAGAAGGCTTTGGCTGTATTTCGTACATCAGTAACATGGAGTTAGGGATTGGTGCGGTGTGTATGTAGCTTTGATAGATGATGGAGGGAGGTGAGCTGTCGTACTTCTGCTTGCTTTCATTATCAGAGACAAAGTAACTCAACTGAATTTCCCATTCCAACCATTAGAAACCAGGAGAACTTTCTATGTTTTGTGAGTATCCTGGTGACAGAGGGTAGGTGACAAAGTATTTAGCTTTTAGTACAAGCTTTTACTTTCTCAAGTTACTATTTTAAAGTATGATGCTGTTTTTGTATTACAAGATGATTTTATTTTCATAGTGATGCAGTAGGGGAGGAATTTGTACCTGATTTTCTAATTTGAAAAATTGTTTTGAATTTCTGCATCACTTGTGGTTTCATTCTATAGATTGGGCTTAAATACAAGTTTAAAGTTACCACAGTGCTGTGAAACTAGACTATTGTCTTTCAGATAACAAAAGAGATTGTCATTCTTTTTGATTACCTTGGGCAGAAGCCCAGGAAATTTAAGCACTTACCCCATCCTGTTGGTTTCCAGGTGTTTTTAGGGCTCTTTTTCCCCCTTTTTTGGGGCCTCTCTCTTGGTCTGGGATTAATGGATTGTATTTACCTTTATTTGTGCTGAAGAACCATAGCTTGCTTCAGGTTATTGACGCTTCAAAATGAGATTTTGTTTATTCTGAATTTTTCATAATGATGGTTTTAAAAGTTTGGTATTTTTAGATATTCTAAGAAATTGTTTAAAATAGAGTAACTCTTGATCTGATTACTATCATTATACAAAAGTTCCCCATTTCTTTATTATAGCCTAAGTAGTGGTATCCATGAGCTTTTAAAAAAATCATCAGATTGGCTTTGGGAGGATGGCTGCTTCGCTCCCGTGCCTTATCCTCCGATGAACACGGTTGCCTTCCCTGGACCAGCAAGTGGGCTCATGAAACCATAGACATCTGCACTTCATTTATGTGCTGTTATGTGATGAAGCAGCTTGCTTTTTTCTTTTATGGTTCTTTTTAATTTATTATTATTAAAATATAGTCTTAAAAATTATGATCCTGAGAGTATTCAGTATATAGCAGTAAGAAAAGTTCATAAAGTTTTTGTTCTTTAAAGATTTTATTTATTTGAGAGAGAGAGAGTGTGGCAGAGGGAGAGGGGGAAGCAGGTTGCCTGCTGAGCCGGAAACCGGACTTGGGGCTCCATCCCAGGACCCTGGGATCATGACCTAAGCTGAAGGCAGACGCTTAACTGACTGAGCCACCCAGGTGCCCCGAAAAGTTCATAAAGTTTTAACAGCTTTTTTATTCTGTAACTTTATATGCTGAAAATAAAGCGATTTCTTGAGGCTCTTTGAATTGGGATATTTAGCCGTTTCTTTTGTATTATTGAGAAAAAGGATGTCTTATCATTTGAGAGTTATTAATTCTATGTATTTCTTTTTTTTTTTTTTATTCTAAAAGAATTGTTCAAGAGACAACTTTTGATTTAGGAGGAGATGTTCATAGTGGAACAGCGTTACCAACAAGCAAGGTAGGTAATTTACATGACCTGATAGGACTGTGTGTGGCATCATAGGACGCCATGGATGAGTCATTGGTAATATACTCGTAGAACTGTTGCGAAGACAGACTTCACAGTGGTCGCTAACTGAGGGTTGTCCTAATCTCTTGTGCTGCCTCTTAGTGATACATAACAGGCCTAAGGCTGGGGAACTGTGCTTTCTCCTCCAAGCAGTGCATCCTAGGCTCATCCTCTGTCTAAGTAGCTCTTCTTGGCCAGGTGACCTCTGAAGAAAACGGACTTCCCTCTCATCCACCTGCCAGCTTACCTTCTCAGGCACTTTGCTTCCACAGTTACCCCTTATCTTGCATGATCAAGGAATTTGTGTCCTCATTTTGGTTATCTATCGCTCAGTAACAAACCACCCCGAAACTTAGTGGACTAAAGTAAAACAGCACCCATTTTATTTACTGACAGTTGTGCAGTTTGGTTTGGACTCACTGGGGCTGTTTATTTGCTGGTCTTGCTGGTGGTGACCTGTGTTGCTGCATTCAGCTTCTGGTGGGTTGGTTGGTGGCCTGGTGGGGCCTCCCCCTCCCTGTCATCTCAGGTTCTCTCCCTGGGACCTCTTGCCCATCTCTCCCCGAGGGCAGCCAGATGTTCTAGTGCCTCACAGAATCGTGGAATTGACAGGCCTTCTTAAGCTTGGGCCAGAGCTGGTGCCCAGCTTTGATTCCCTCACCTTGCATTGGTTAAAGCCAAACACAGGCTTTGCGCAAATTCAGGGAAGGAGCTGCTCCAGGTGCGGCAGGCTGAGGCTGCCATGCAGCCTCAGCCCCGACAGGCGGTAGCACCTCCTGTTCTTAAACACCCATCCTGGGCCCTCCATTGTTGGCCCAGTTTTCTGCTCCTTGAGGAGGAGGTAGTCTCTGCTCTGCGTCCTCTTACTCCCTCTTCTTGCCTTGGCTCCCGTTTGGCTCCTGCCCCTTCATAGGGACTGTGTCTGTCCTGCGCTCTGCTGACATCCCGATTGCCCAGTCCAGTGCTCGTTTCCCTTCGTCGGCCTGAAGATAGGTTAGCACCGTTTACTTGGGGCACTTTCTTATTTCAGCCTCAGGGTGTCGCCCTCCTGATTTCTCCCACCTCGGTGCTCAGTCCTCCTGGGTCTCATCTGTTGGTAGTACCTCCTCCACGTCTTCCTCCACTTAACTTCTCACGTTGGTTTTAGACCTAGGGCTCCGTCTCTCCTGTGTGTACGTGTTCCTGAGGTGATCTTATGCAGTCGGAGAGCTAAAGTACATCTAAATATTGATGACTCTTGACTGTGTCTTTGGCCCTGACCTCTGCAGACCCCAGAGGCTTGCTTGATACAGCTGTGGTGATGTCTAAGACATATTTCAGGTTTAACGTAGCTAAAACAGAACTGATTTTCTTTCTCAAACATCTTTCTTTCGCTGATCCTTCCCCGTCTCAGTAAATGATACCCTCACCCATAGCGTTGTCCCCACAGAAGTCCACCACTGCTTATCCTGGGTTCTTTCCCTTCCCTCAGCCTCTACATTCACTTGTTGGCAAGTTTCGTTTGCCCTTCGTCTGAAATAGTCCACAAGTGCCTGTCTTTCTCTGTTGCCGCCGTGAGTGGTCGGGCAGAGGCTCCAGGTGTCACGTGGCAGGGAATCTGCATGGCTTCTAGTTAGCAACCTTTCCTCTGCTGACCTGGCTTGCCGCTCTTCTCCAAGTGGCCGGGCTGGTGTTCTGAAAATAGGAATTCGATCCTCTTACTGCCCTGCCTTCACAGCCCCTTCTGACCTGGCCCACTTTTCCTCTCGGCTTAGCCTGTGCCGGCCACACTGACCACACACCTCTTTCCCGTCTGAAGGCTCGGGCATGTTTGCTCTTCCTAGAATGTTCTTCCCACTGGTTTTCATTGCAGCTAGCCCCTTCCTAATGAGACCTCAGTTTACACATCACCTCCTTGAAGAAACTTCCTTGAGCATCCAGGCATAATTACACCTTACTTTAAATCTCTGTGCCAGCCCATAGTATGCCATCTCCTGTGCCGACTGTGGAATGTGAGCTCTGTGCAAGCAGGGACCTCACTTGACGTGTTCATTGCTGTGCTGCTTGTGCTCAGAAAGCGCTCAGGGCAGTGAAGAGCCACAGTAAAGAGCTGTTGAGCGACTGCATGAGCAGATACTCTTGGAACCAAATGTAACTGTCTTCATAAAAAGCTGAGTTTCTTAGGAGCGCCTGGGAGGCTCAGTCGATTGGGTGTCAGCTCCTGTCATGATCTCGGGGTAATGGGATTGAGCCCCGTGTCGGGCTCCACGCTCAGCAGGGTGTCGTCTTGAGGATTCTCTCTCTCTCTCTCTCTCTCTCTCCCCCCCCTCCCTCTGCCTCTGCCCCTCCCCTCCACGCATGAATGCTTGCGCACGCGCGCGCGCTCTCTCTCTCTCTCTCTCTCGTGCTCTCTCTCCAAATTAAATAAAAACTTCTGAAAGTGTATAGTTAAAACAGAAAACTTGGTAAATTAAGAAAAAATGTACAGAAATGAAAATCATTCATCCTCAATTTATAGTTGGCTATTGGTAACATTTTGATGGATCTTTTTCTGAGCTCTTTATGTTGTACATGTGTTCATTAATACACTTTGAAATAATTAAATATCCCCATGCGCACACACACACACCTTTCTGTCCTATGGCCTTTGGCTATGCTTTTGTAATCATTTTATTTGAAAACAGGCTAAAATTATTTTGTAATATGTTAGCTTATAAACATACCATAATTTATCCATTGCCTTCTTATTTTTCATTTATAACAGTTTTTTGTAGTCTGTTGTCATCCATTGACCAAGCATTTTATTTCTGTAAATGTGTTTTATGGAAGTAATCATTGTGTGTGAATATATATATTTACAGACATGGTTGTCAGGACACCCTGTCCTGGTGAACATTTTAAACAATGTAATCATGGATTAGTTCAATGAACTTTGGTGAACAGACAACAAAATGTTACACAACCATTACAGTTCTGTAACATAAAAATATTGTAAGATGTTTACAACATATGAAAAAGAGTATTTATTACAAAGTAGGTTGGATAACCTCATTTATGGAAAATAAGAAAAACCGTAAAGATAAATACAGCCCAAAGTTACTCTCTGGTTGGTAAGACAAGAATGATTTCTATTATCAAGGTCAATTTCTACAAATAAACAAATACAATGAGAAATTTGACATAAAATTTTTGCTACAGTGAATTTCTTTGTATGATTTTATTGATTGTGTTCTGATTATTTTCTTACTAATATAGGTTGCTTATCTGTTTTGTCTGCCTTGGGTTGGTTAGGGATGTGCCCTGCTTGGAAGAGCTTAAATGTACCATACTGGGCCGTATAAGTGTGCCTTTTCTCTGTTGATGAAGGGCAAGAAATAAACCAGTTTCTGTACTCACTTCTTCATTGGGTGCTGAGCTATGATGAGTAGATTTTTAAATCCTTTCTTAACAAGTAAAGCAAAGACCCTGACTTTTCATATTGTACATATTCTCTCAGCTCTCTCCTGAATTAGAACTTTTTGGAGTAGTTCCTGTTTTTACTGTACTGGTTGAGGAACCCTTGTGTATATGTACCACTTCTGCCTGTGTTTTAAAGCCCACGTCTAGCTCTTTGAAAAGCAAAGTGGCTGTGTGTTTTATTGTTCTTTGGAAGACAGTGTGTTTTGGGGCATGCCGCTGTGGACATGGCATCCCCAGCATTGCTGTGCCTTTTTCTTGTCCATGCTCCTCCTCTGCATCCCTCTCCTGCCTTCCCCTGCCTGGCAGCCTTGCATCAGATCTTCACCTGCAAGAGTAAGTGAAAGCCTGGTTGGTTTGCTTGGTTAAATGCTGTGTCTTCCCCTGGCTTAGAGCACCACGAGGCTGGACAGCGACAGGGTGCTGCCCGCCTCCAGCACGGCGGAGCGCGGGATGGTGAAGCCAGTGATCAGAGGAGAATGGCAGCAGGACTACCGCAGGCAAGAAAACAGGTAGGAGGTGGTTCTTTTTTTAATTATGAAAGAAGTGAAAGTATTCCTAGAAAGGGCTTGGGGTAAAGATGATTGAATCTACTGAGGCTTGGCTGACAGTTTTAGAATGCTGTTTTCTTTTCACATCACTGCCCTGGAGAGGGCTTCGTGAGAGTGGTGCTCCTTACCCCAGGGCCGCGGTGCCGTCTGTCCGGTTGAAGTGGGAGGTGCTCTGAGTTAAAAAGGTTTCTGTTTTAAATGTGCTCTTCTGTAAAACGTGGAGAAAGGAAGTTTTTCTAGGATGTTAATATTTGATAATTTTTATATTTAGATAATTTATTCATCATTTCACCCATCCGTATACAAAATCCTTCCATGTTTAAGTACATGAAGCCAAACATGACTTCAGGTGGAGTTTTTAGGATTTAGCGAGTGCCACGTTACTGTGTCTTATGTTCTGCTGAGAAGGGTAGGGGTAAATATCTGTTTCTTCTGCCATTGTTCTTGCCTAGTGTTTTTGAACAGAGAACTTCTGCCTTTTGTTACTTCCTTTTCTTAGGATTTTTAAGTACGTGTTACCTTAATTAGAATTCTACTTCCTTGTGACTTCTTAACATTGTTCAAATATTGAAAAGTGATGTCAGTGCCTCGCACATTGAAGTAACAGGTGATGAGTTCCAAATACTGGTGAGCTTCAGCAGCAGCGTGATGTGGTTCGAGTACTTCTCCAGCAGGTTTCTAAACACAGACAGCAATCGGGCAATAGCGCAGGAGTACCGTATCCCGTACTCTCAGTATCAGCAGTGGAACTGGGGGTGTCCTTCTTTTAGTGCTATTCAGATTTTTGATGAAGCCATTCTAACTGTTCTCTCTCAGATCTGGTAACTGAGGCAGGTGACTGGCCCAAGGTCATGTATCAATTTGGTGACAGGCAGCTGATGTAGTTCTTTAATTTTCCATCTTCCAGTAGAGGGCGCTGTCAGTTATAAGTTTTTAATACCGTTTATCACAGTAATTCAGTTTGTAGATTGATATGGGAATCTCGGGTTTTTCCCTTGTTTTTATCCGGCACTTTTGGTTATTATTCAAGATTTTTGTTGGCTGTGTGCATTTTTTTTAGATGTAATAATAAGTCTACTTTCTGTGTCTGTACTTGTTTTTGGTGGTGTATTCTAGAATAAGATATTCCAAATGGTAAACTAGCATCGTAAAGAGTGCCTCTATTTATTTATAAGGTGATTGAGAGCAATGTATCATAGTTCTTAGCCCATAAATATTTGAATGAGTGAATAAATCAAATGGGGGAGAGGAAAGAGCAATTAGGATAATTCTTTTAGGACATGCAAAATTAATCAGTGTGTAAACTATATATATATATAGTTGGTAAGTAAATATAGTAGGTTAGTACAATGTCAGATAGCCATCTGATGGTTCATTGTATGTTCGGATTGATTTTATCCTGTGAGTAAAGGTTTTACTACAGGTTTTATTGGAGCTGTAGGTATGTACGACTTTGTTGGTACTACAGCAGTGATGGAAACAGGTGATTCTTCTATTTTTGGTCTTTGTTTTTCACATATACAATGTGGGTGTAAGCAGTGCTTCACTTAATTGGTATATTCATAAAAATCTAAGTTGTCTTAATAAATATGTTTAAAATACTGATTTTAGGGGCGCCTGGGTGGCTCAGTCGTTGAGCGTCTGCCTTCGGCTCAGGTCATGATCCCAGGGTCCTGGGATTGAGCCCCACATCGGGCTCCCTGCTCCACGGGAAGCCTGCTTCTCCCTCTCCCACTCCCCCTGCTTGTGTTCCTGCTCTCACTCTCTCTCTCTCTCTCTGTGTCAAATAAATACAATCTTAAAAAAAAAAAATACTGATGTTAGTCAAGGAAAGACATCTTTTTGAATAATGGAGTGCCTTAAGTTCTCACTGACCCTTTTTTTTTTTTTTTTTTTTTGGTGAGAGATTAAATTCCTTATTTTTACCAGATGTGTTAAATTGAGGAAACAATTGGTAACGTTCATCCAGTTTATTGTATAGATAGTAAATTGAAAGTAACTGCTTATCTGCAATTTTGGATGTCTGTAAATATAGGAGTTAAGAGAGACATGTTAACGTAATTGGGCATTTAAATTCTGTTGTTTATAAGAGCCTTTTACACCTGAATTGTTGAGTTAAATCTAAATTGTTTAATCATAGACAGGATAAGAAACTGTGAAGCATATAATTTGATGGAAAGACTTTTCTTTTTCCTTCTCACGATTAAAACAGTTTGAGGTAACTTGCTGTGTTTCTCTTTGTTGCTCCTTCAGTGCCAGGGGAGGTGGGGTGGCGGGATGGGAGCTGCTGGGGACCAGTGACTGGTCTGTGGCCATCGCGGGCTCTTCTCCCTCTCGTCTCCTTTCTTAAAGAAGTTGTCACAGGAGCCCATGTAGTGAATGAGTGGTCACAGCCGTGACTCTAAACCCTGAAATCAGGCAGGTTCGTCACCGTTTATCCAGGATTGGTAGACTTCAGTGTTCCTGCTGAAAATGACTGTCATTTAACTCACAAATTCATAAGCACCGATAAGGCTGTTGACTCGCCCTTCCAGCAGATGTGAAGCTGTGTTTGAATACTGACCTTAGTTTTGTCTGAGCTCAAATTTACCTCAGTAGTTCTTTCATCCCGAAGTAAGTCACTGTAGCCCCACTCTATACTTTCCAGTTAAGTTTGTGGGAAGGCACAACGCATGTTTCTTTGCTTTTGCTGTCAACTTTAATTTTCTTAATCTATTCGAAGACATATTTTGTAAAATTTTTCCTGGTCATCTGTGAAAGCTGAGCTAAATGGTAAAGATTTAAACTCTTTAGGAATCTAATTACTTGCCAGTTTGTTTGGGGTGGGGGGTGACCTACAAATGTTACACATAAAATACAGCTAGTAGCCAAGTAGCTTAGAGTAATGATTAAATTGCTTGAAATTCTAATCGCATGTCTACATGAAAGAGTAGTTAAACTGAACACCATCCATCGAGAACAGTATACATCTAAGGTAAGGAGATCTCAGTTGGATTTGTAATTATTTTACACATTTTAGAAATTCTGTGCTTACTAATGGCTTTCAGATGTTGTTTGACCACAGTACACAACACAGAATCCTGTTGTATATTGTGCCCCAGTGGACACATACCTACATATGTATATATTTATAACTGAAAGAAGAATTTCACGGAGCAGTGAACCATCACACGGAGGGTGATCCACTGTTTGGAGAACTCTTTTATAGAACTAGAAATGTACCTAAACTTTGAGGTACTTTGACCCAGAATACCTGGAAATACATAAACATTAGTACAGTGCTAATTCTTCGAAGTGTCCCGAATACTAGTTGCCCTTGGTTTATATTTCTCGGCAGTGCCTTGTTTTTGTAGTGTCCGGCTAAATGATGAAAGGTGTCTGGAATTGATGTGACTTTAAGAAAAAGTGTGAGTAGGATTACTTCTTCTGAAGGCGGGCTTCCCTGTGAGCATCGAGAAATGGTAATACGGAGTGACTGAAGGGGCCTGCGGGGGTGATCTTCTCTGAGCTCTATCAGAAGCCAAGGGCAGTGTCTGGCTCTTAGGAACTTGTTTGTCATGTGTGAGAGCTCGGTTTCAGGCCCACGGTGGTTTAGTTTTTCTCGGGTCTCCTAGCAGTGGCCTTTCACTGTGACTCGAGCCATTGCTGTAGCAGGTGCATGGCAGCCTGGTCGCCCTACTCCGCACGAAACCTTCATGAATAATAGAGAATCGTGGTCAGATCAGTTCTCAGGATGGAAGCAGATACTTCAGGGAACTGACCTCTGTGAGGAGTACGGATATGATGACTCTCAGTACGCTCGTCTGAATATTTGAACAGTTTCCATGTGAACAGGAGTCATTGGGCTGTGTATTATTTGTAAGAACCATATGGAGACTGTAAAAACAGTTGCCAAAATACGCATAGATTGCTAGTGATGTTGTTAGCCACATGACCTGTTTTTAAGAGATGGCCACTTTTTTCTTTCAGAACTCAGGATGCTCCTGGGCCTGAACTGATATTGCCTGCAAGCATTGAATTCAGGGAAAGTTGTGAGTAACTTCAGATTCCATTGTTAGTGAATTATTTCTTGTTCCATTTTCCTCCATCTGATTTTCATGGGTTTTTTTTGTTCTTTTTTTTCTTTTTCTTCTTTTTTGAAATCTTTTCACAGCTGAAGATTCATTTTTATCTGCCATTATCAATTATACTAATAGCTCTACAGTCCATTTTAAGTTGTCACCTACATATGTATTATATATGGCATGTCGGTATGTATTGTCCTGCCAGTACAGACCGGATGTCAGTCCTACCGAGCGTACTCACAAAGTGATTGCAATAGTCAACAGGATGGTGAGCATGATGGAGGGGGTGATCCAGGTAAGCCACAGCCTGCAGAGCCAGTTCAGTAAGTGCGCCCCTTGTCCCACACCAGGAAGCCAGTGGCTTCCGTGTTCCCTCCTGGTCGTGTGTTGGACTTGACCTCCACAGTCTTTTCTGAAATGCAAGTTCTGTGAATAGCATGGACAATGGCATAGCTTTAAAAGTTGAAAAGAAATGTAAACTTGTTTTCTGTTTCTTCCTACAAATGTTAGAATACGGGAAGGTAATCTGAATGTGGGAACGTCATGATCACGGTAAAGATCCTTAAAATGGCAGTGGTTGTGAGAACGTGTCGAGACTTGTGGGGACTTTTTTAGAATCAAAAACAGTAGCATGTTGAGGTGAATTTCACATTAACGTAAAGTTAACCATTTTGAGGTGACTCATTCAGTAGCATTTCGTACGTTCACAGTGTTGTCGTGCAGCAACCACGTGTGGTTCCGGAACATTCCCATCCCTTGAAAGTAAAACCTGTGCCCATGAAGCAGTTTGCCCTCGTAACCCCTCCACCAGTCCCTGGCAGCTGCCTCCTTAGAGTCTTCTCATGGTTACAAAGGCTCTTTTCTAGTGTGAGTGTGTGGTGTTGGTAGTAATTATGTGGATTTTTGATAGCACTCATTTAGGTGCGATGGACATCACGACATTTCTCAGTGATGATGAAATGTTGAAAATCTTTCATAAAACTGTGGACAGCTTAAGGAACCAAGAGTATTCTTTTTGTAGTATGGTTTGTTTCTTTTTAAGTACTCTTCATCTGTAGTTGGTAAAATTGGCATAGCAGTTTTCCAAACTCATAGATAATTTGAAGATTTAATCTTAAGTCCTTAAAAGTAAATGTAAAGATTTTAAGTTTTTCCAAACCACTTATCAGTGCTGTTATTCGGCCACGAAATATAAAACTCTAGTTACATATTATGAAGCAACATGATTAGATGGTTTGGTTGTTTTCCTCCTGTGAGGGTAGCTTGAGCAAACTAATCTGTTGATTCCTTCAGAATTGTTTTAAAAAGGCCAAATTTTTCAAGAACTGTTTCTTTTATGTTTGAGGGGTTAGCCTATGAATCTCATGAGCTTACAGTTCTTTTACCCAAGTGAGGAAACAGCTAAAAAGGATTGTCATTTTATTTGGATTCCATTTTTGTGTTCCTCTCTTACTAATTTATAAAGAAACAGATTTCCTTTTGTTCAGAGCCATTGTCTGTCTTCCCTCATGTTTGCGTTTCTAAAGCCTGTTTCAGACTGTGAAACTCCTGTCATCAGACTACTGCCGATAGACTTTTTCTGATTGAATTTGAACTAGTCAGTGAGATCATCATTATCACAACAGGTCTTTTAAAACACATTCAGGGTTAGTATGTGATTGGAGGAACCTTAAAGTTTTAGGGAAAAATCGTAGTAATGAATAAATGCTTAAATTTGTAAAAACCTACTTTCAAAAACCGATTTACTCCGTTTTAGTATAGTTGTTTTTTATACATTAAAAAATTTTTAACTTTTATTTTTATTGTTTCTGTTGGTCTTTCTGTCTCTTTCATCCTATTAAACTAGAGGATAGACACTCATCTTATATACCTTTAAGTAGTCAGACACACGATATCATTAAAAGACGTTAAGAAGTCCTTCATTTATAAATCTTTTAAAGAGATCAGTGTGTTCCTGTGTTAATTGTCACATTCCTTTATATAAATTCTGGGAATTCCCTCCCTTACTGCGCCAGTGTTAAGAACGTAGAACTTATCCTTTATGTCATGTACTTCCAAAGCTGCTTCAGAGCCAGGAATGAATATGTAATTTGGGAATAACATAACTAAATGTCGTACCTTCATGTCGTACCTTCATGTTAGTGTTTTGATTTATTTAAACTATCATGATTGTTTACAAGTTTCTTTCTCTCGTTCTGCTTGATTTCCCTTCGTCTGTTTTTCTCCAGGAAGTAGACCAGGTTGATCAGGTAGGACGTGCTGCTGGGAACTGGTCCTGGCTATGTCGGCTTAGCTGAGTTTCTCGCGCTGCTTCCATGTCAAACACAATACTCCAGCAACCGGACTGGACGGTTCATAACACTCATTCAGCAACTGAAACATGCAGTACTAAATCCTTTTTTGACTGTGCAACCTTTATCAGCATTTCATAATTTCTGCTTAATGCACTTCAGTGTGGATATGAAATGACAAAAGTTCTGTTTCTCCTCTTTCTTGTTTATCCTTGGTTCCTATTCTTTGGATCTCATCTGAAGTTGCCTGGCCTGCACATGTGGTCGGGAGATGATGTGATAGATCAGTACTTGATACCGAGTTGCTCGGCATCCGAGCCAGTGACTATGCGTATCAGGGTGGCTGTGGGTAACCATGGATAGACGCGTGTGTACTTCACAGATTACCAGATAATGCACAATCTCCAATTGGGTGTTGTAGGGTTTGATATCTCTGTTTTCGGCCCTGATTCCATACATGGGAGCTAACTGGATCCATGTGTCTGTCCATGAATCCTAAGAAGATGTTGCAGTTCCATTGCTGTGAATGTATCCAAATTCCTTTGCAAATATCTGGTATCTGTGCTAAATACCTTGGTGACAATGGGAAGGTACTGGTCTATCTCCAGCAGCTTTTCAAGAGCATTCCTTTTTTTTTTTTTTTTTTTTCATTCTTTTTGTTTGTCTTTGGATCGCTTATGGAAATGTGTTCTGTCTACAGAAACAGAAGAATATTGCAGGGGCACTTGCCTTCTGGATGGCCAATGCATCTGAGCTGCTCAACTTCATTAAACAGGACCGAGATCTTAGTCGAATCACATTGGATGCCCAAGACGTTTTAGCACACTTGGTTCAAATGGCGTTTAAGTAAGGAGCACGTTTTTGGAGATTGCACTATTCTGTAGAGATTTTTTTTTTAAAGGTTTTTATTTATCCTAATTAAAGATGAATAGCGAGAAGCATGAATAACTATGTGCCAAATGTGTTGATTTAAGAAATTGAATTTATTAGCTGTGTTTCAGGAATACAATACTGTTGTATTGTAAATGGAAAATATTTCTAAACAGTATAAACTATTTCACTTGTGCATGTCATGTCTGACAATAGCAGTGTGTCCTGCTGAGGTTATTCAAATTGCCTACGTTTTTTCAGATACCTGGTTCATTGTCTTCAATCAGAACTGAATAATTATATGCCAGCCTTTCTGGATGACCCTGAAGAGAACAGCCTACAAAGACCAAAAATAGGTTAGGATGCCCCTTTTCTCCTCCCTCCCTGTCTCTCCTTCTCTCTCTCTCTCTCTCTCTCTCTCTCTCTCTGGGCTTTCCTTCTTCCCTCCTTCTGTTTAACTTCCATTTTAATATTTCACATGCATAAGAAGGAGGTATTTTCAAAATAAATGAGATAACCTATTGGCTTTGGTATTCTTCAGTAAATCGTAACTGCTGTCTGTTCTCTTTCAAGAACAGCTCTGGGTTGGTGTGTCATGGTTTTTCAGAAGGTGTCTTGGGGGGAGCTGCGGTGTGCGTAGTTACCAGCCGTGTGTGGTTTCACACCTCACTGTCACCTCCTGTCTGAAGAGACCGGTGTCTCAAAAGTGCCCCGGTAGGCATTCTTACCGTAACTGCCACTTTCTGAATTCACCGTTCGTTCAAAAGACTCTTGCTTTCATCCCGCGTCTCTGACCAGATGACGTTCTGCACACGCTCACGGGAGCCATGTCTTTGCTGCGACGCTGCCGAGTCAACGCTGCCCTGACCATCCAGCTCTTCTCCCAGCTCTTCCACTTCGTCAACATGTGGCTCTTCAACAGACTGGTGACCGATCCCGAGTCGGGGCTGTGCTCTCACTACTGGGGGGCGATTATCCGCCAGCAGCTGGGACACGTGGAAGCGTGGGCAGAGAAGCAGGGCTTAGAGCTGGCAGCTGATTGTCACCTCAGCCGGATAGTGCAGGTGGGCCTCCCGAGTCTCACCTCCCCACCGTCCCTGGACTTCGTCATCGGTGGCTTTCATTCTTTCCGGGGTCAGAACTCGGATTCAGCCAGTTCAGTACCCCTCCGGGGTGTGGCGTGTGCACAGCTAAGGGAACACTGGCGTGTTGGTTTGCCTGGGTCGCTGGGACGGACTTCCACAAGCTCGATGCATCAGCGACAGACAGTTGTCTCCTCGTCCAGGAGGCAGGAAGTCCAAGGTCACGGTGTGGGCTGGGTGGTTCTCTGCCTTCATTTTCACAGGTGTTCTCCCTGTGGGCATGTGTGTCTCCACACATCCACTGTTTATACGGACACAAGTCATGTTAGACCTGCTGTCCTCGCTCACTTCCGTCAAGACCCTTTCTCCAAGTAAGGTCGCGTTCTGTGGCACACGGGGTTGGGACTTCTGTGTATGAATTTTAGGGGACACGGGTGAGCCCGTAGCAGGTGGTAAGCAGTAGAGTAAGTGCCCTTAAAGGGTTCTTTTCTGAGGCCAGTAGGTGTATTTTGTGAAGCTCCATACTGAATGGATGGATTCCAGTTTAAAACTGGGTAACACTTCGGTCTTTAGCATACGGAGCCAAGTGACCACAAAGCAAAAACCCATAGTGGATGCCCAGAAGAGAAGGAGAAAGGGGTCTAAGCATAGCACTCGGCAGTCCTCACACCCCAAAGGGCCAGGGCAGGAGACTTGAGAAGGGGACAGAGGAGCACTCAACAGCTGTGTGCTGAGGGCTCGGCCGGTTCTCAGGGAGCCACTATGTAGCCCACATGGGACACCCTCAAGGAAATGAGATCTGCAGCCTCAAACCTAGGACAGATTTTTTTTGTTATTATTACAGTGTGTAATTTTGCATTTTTTCTCAATTTCTTAAACTCTTTTAAAGTAATTTAGTATAGAAAGAGGCTACTATCCTCCTCCTTGGATTGTATCAGCTGGCTATAAACAAGTCATTACAATGAAACTTTATTCAGACCCCAGGAATTGGTAATCGGAATGGTTATGATGTAAATGTTTACAGTTTCTAAAAGAATGTTTAAAAATGACTTATGGACATAAATGAATCTCATTTACATTTTTATATAAAATATAAATGTCTATACTTTAGTAAAATTAAGAAACTGGCTGAAAACCTTCACTAGACAATGCTTTTTCAGTTCAATTCAATGTTAATAGAAGTGTGTTTCCCTGAAAGACATTCTGCATTTCAAAATCAAATTAGCAAGTTATTACAGTTTTAAATGTTACATAAAGGGGAATATTTATGAAATACTTTTGAATCATATCTCCTGTTACTTATTCTTTTGAACAGGCAACCACTTTGCTTACAATGGATAAATATGCACCTGATGACATTCCAAATATAAACAGTACCTGCTTTAAGTTAAATTCACTGCAACTTCAAGCCTTATTACAGAATTACCACTGTGCACCCGATGAGCCTTTTATCCCCACGGTGAGTGGCACATATTACCCACACAGCATGAGACATGTTTGCATAGGGAAATTTTTGGTTCAAAAAAGTGAGGGAGAGTCGACATTTATAATTACTTTGTTTCTTTAATAAATAAGCTACGTAATCTCATCTCATAAGATCATTTTTCTTGTTGATATTTGAGTTTGGATTCGGTACAAGAAGTACAAAATACACAAGCATTTTAGGTAGGAAGGGATTTAATTCAGGGAATTAGGTTCTTGGGAAGTCATTGGAAGGACTGGGGGAGAGGAAGTTAAGTTGCCCTGGTTCCCAGGCTCTCCCCTGGGACCTGAGGCTCAGGCCCGAGAGTTCCTGCCACGGCCGCAGACATCCATGTGCCGCAGGCAGAGTGCCCCTCATATCCACCGCCCATCCTCGTGTGCCGCCAACAGCAAGCAGCGCGGCAAGGGGGCCCCCTGACCTGGGCAGGTGCAGCTGACTGGTGGGAATCGAGGTTTGGCATCATGCCTCTCGAGAGGAGGAGTGGAGGGTGAGCGGCCTAGTCCACGGCGTGGGCTACAGCTGCTGTGTGGAGGGCGAGGAAGGCTGCAACTGCTTGTCACCATCCGCGGATAAAGTCCGCTCGAGGCAGGAGTCCTGACGAGGGAAGTGCATGAGGTGCATGGGTTGACCTCTAGTCCTGACTTGGTGCCAACAAAAGACGTGTACGGAGTAGCCCAGGATCAGAAACCAGCAGACGCCCACCGACAGAACAGCGTGTAGAAGGTCTTATCGCCGCCGAGGCGTGAATTTGCACGGCAGATGACACGCACTGCGCCGTATGCACAGAATTCAGGCACGAAGTAAATAGAGCTTCCGTCTGTACGGGTTTCACGAGCAGACAGGTGGGGGTTGTGGTGGGAGAAGCCTGGGAAGCTGACCCAGGGAGGGAGACGGTGACGAGGGGCTGCTTCTCCATCCCTTGAACCGGGGGCAGTTGAGGTGCCGTGTTCACTTCCTCGAGCTTTACAGTGAAGGTGTGGGAGCTTTCCGATTAGCTGGGAATAGGTATTTTTGTCCCGATTTTTTTACATTTTCCACTGTGAGCTTTTTCTGTCATTAAAAATTCTACAAAAATAGGATTATTAGCACCTGGATGTTAAAAAATTGCAGGGAAAAAAATGACTACTTTGGAAAAGGGAAACCATTTTCTTGTGATTGAATAATTTCTTTTTAAGGCTGCAGATGACTTGAGATTGATTATGACTGTCTTGGTTCATATGTTTGAAGTGTGTACTTCGCAGGTGATCCGTTGCTCTGCGAAGTGACGTTAACACACTGAGAAATCTGTTCCTGCTCGCAGCCTGCCTGCGTGTGTGTGGCCACACTGTGCACGAGGAGATCTGAGTGCCAGTCCGTTGGCATCCGTTCTCACTGTGCGTCTGTGTTCTGACCAGGACCTGATCGAAAACGTGGTGGCCGTGGCTGAAAACACGGCTGATGAGTTGGCGCGCAGTGACGGGAGGGAGGTGCAGCTCGAAGAGGACCCCGATCTGCAGCTGCCTTTTCTTTTGCCAGAAGACGGCTACTCTTGCGATGTTGTCAGGAACATTCCAAATGGTTTACAAGAGTTTTTAGACCCTTTGTGCCAGAGAGGTGAGTCTCACCTACTGGACCTGGCGTCTGAACTATGACCCGAGCCTCGTACTGGGGGGGTGGGGGGAGTGGGGTGTGTGTGTGTGGGGGGGGCAGTCCACACGTGGGGAGCACACACCGTGTTCCAGGACATGGAAGTAAGCGTTTCATGGTGACAAGGGGTCAGCAGTGTCCCGCCATGAAGTCCCTGGGGGGTGCTGTGACCCTCCCGCGGGCACTGGCTGGGCCCACCCGCTGCCACAGCCACCTTTCTGCCAGGCCCGCGAGGAAGGAGGACCTTTTGTTGCTCCTCCCTCCATTTTTTGTGGGCCCGGGAGCTTGGCTTACCCCTAGAACTGAATTGTCCGTCGTGTTGCTACCAGCAGAGCTGGGGGCAGCATGAGTGCTGCAGTCAGACCCTCCCAGCTCGGACCCAAGCTCTGTCCCCTGTGACTTCCGTCTGTAAGACGGGCACGTGGGCAGCAGGGGCTTAGGATGTGGTGAGGACCAGGCCAGCTGCCCGTGGGGCGCTTAGCCCCGGGGCGCCTGGATGTGTGCGTGAGCCAGACTGCAGCTGGTCCTGCTGGGGTAGGGGGAGCCCCGCCCCCCCCCAGACTGCAGGTGCTGAGGAGTGTGAGGGCAGCGAGCTCCCCGGTCTCATCCTACACCCGTTCACATGCTCTTGTTGGACTGTGCTGATACAAACACCACACTTAGGGGGCGCCCGGCGGCTCGGTCGGTTGAAGCGTCCGACTCTTGGTTTTGGCTCAGGTCATGATCTCAGGGTCCTGGGACTGAGCCCCGTGTCAGGCTCCCTGCTCCGCGGGGAGTCTGCTTGACATTCGCTCTCCCCCTGTTTCTTCCCCCCCAAATACCACACTTACACCTGAAGCACAAGCTTTTAAATTAGACCACAATTCAGTCCCAGTCTGTGTTTTGTAACGTGGAGCTCAGATGAATAGAAAAACATTCAAAATTCAGGAGTTTAAACAAAAATAATAGCAAAGTTAAGGTTTTATGTTCATCTACATAAGCGTGGTGAGTGTGATTTTTCATTTCAGTGACTTTCACATGCTACAATAAATAGATTTTTATGTCTTTAAAGGTTTTGATAGTTTAAAATTTCCATTTTCCAAAGCCTTGTTGTAACAAAAGGGTAGTGTGTTAGTTCATCCACCGGCAAATGTGGCTGTAGCCATGCCGGGAACGCGGACCCTGTCTCCTCTCCACACCATCCTCCGAGCAGCGGAGCTGAGGCACGTGCGTCTTCGAGGAGCCTTGTGTGAAGGAGACAGGGGCTGGGACAGGAAGCCGGGCTCCTGTCTGGGACCAGCAGGGAGGATGGAGGTGCGGGCTGCGGTAACGTCCACAAAAGCTTCGGTCGGGCATTGGGAGCCCCCGGGGCAGGGCTGCTGTCGGGGGAACTCTCCGTCCCCGCAGAGGGGGCCTGCGCTGGTCCGTGGCACCAGCGTGTGGCCTCGGTGTGCCGAGCCCAGGGGTATCTGCTGCCAGGCGGGCACCACCGCGTGTCACACCTGCAGGGCCATGCCCATCAGCTGTGTGTCCCCAGCACCCACGCAGCCACGTGTGGGTTACAGCAGCAGTGCTCTGGCAGGCTGCTTCCCGGGCCGCCCTCCCTGCCCCCACCCTGCGAGGCCCTCCGGTGCTTGGCAGCCCGTCACTGCTGGCTCTCCTGCCCGCAGTCCTGCCCCTTCAGCCCCAGGATCCGAGCGCGCAGCCTCCGCTCCCAGCCTTGTCTTTCGTACTAACTGCGACTGTGTGGCCCCACGGGCCTTTGTGGCCCCCCCCGCCCCCCCGCCCGTGCCCACTGCTTCATTCACACTCCTGCCAGCCAGCCCTTTGTCTAGAAAACCTCCGCCTCCTCCTGACACTTCAGCCATTTTCCCCACAAGTGATTCTGTGTTCTTTCGGGATGTTTCTGTGACAGCGCTTGAAGCACGTGTATCCGTCTGTCTCTGGGGTCTAGCTGCAGTCCCCGGGGGGTGGGCTCCCCCTACTCAGCACCTGCAGTTCCGGGGGGGGCGGGCTTCCCCTACTCAGCACCTGCAGTTCCGGGGGCGGGCTCCTCCTACCCCTCAGCACCTGCAGGCCCCGGGGGGCGGGCTCCTCCTACCCCTCAGCACCTGCAGTCCCGGGGGGCCGGCTCCCGCTACCCCTCAGCACCTGCAGTCCTGGGGGGCGGGCTCCTCCTACTCCTCAGCACCTGCAGTCCCGGGGGGGGGCGGGCTTCCCCTACCCCTTAGCACCTGCAGTCCCAGGGGGTGGGCTCCCCCTACCCCTCAGCACCTGCAGTCCCGGGGGGCGGGCTCCTCCTACTCCTCAGCACCTGCAGTCCCGGGGGGGGCGGGCTTCCCCTACCCCTTAGCACCTGCAGTCCCAGGGGGTGGGCTCCCCCTACCCCTCAGCACCTGCAGTCCCGGGGGGCGGGCTCCTCCTACTCCTCAGCACCTGCAGTCCCGGGGGGGGGCGGGCTTCCCCTACCCCTTAGCACCTGCAGTCCCAGGGGGTGGGCTCCCCCTACCCCTCAGCACCTGCAGTCCCGGGGGGCGGGCTCCCCCTACCCCTCAGCACCTGCAGTCCCGGGGGGCGGGCTCCCGCTACCCCTCAGCACCTGCAGTCCGGGGGGGTCAGGCTCCCCCTACCCCTCAGCACTTGCAGTCCCGGGGTGGGGGCAGGCTCCCCGTACCCCTCAGCACCTAACGTGGGGCCACTGGGCGTCGGGTGCTCAGCACCGAGTCCTTGTGAAGGCGCACATGGGAAGACTAACTTACTAGCATTTTTCAGATCTGTATGTGTGATTTGCGGTGTGCACACAGCTGTCAGTTTTGTAATGTGTGCCATCGAGGAGAGGCTGGCCAAGTTGGGAAGAGTGAGCTCTTGCCTTGTTGGTGAAGTTTACTCTGTGACTTCCCCTGCGGGTCCCCTGAATGATTGATTTCAGGACGTATGTGCTATTTCATCATGGTCTTGGCGTCCCCACATTATTCCATATGTGTCAGATGGTAACACAGCCTATTACAGAGGTGCCTTTACAAGACTTACAAAGAACTGGGTGTTTTCTTGTATGACATCAGTGTTTTTAATTCTTCACGCTCAGTTCTTTGTAAGCCAAATAAAGAAGTACTATGTGTTCTCGATTTATGCTCCTTTTGTTTTGTCCTGTAACATAGTCGTGTGAGAGAAGGCTATAAAACCAGCACAGACTCATACCTGATCGGAGATGCATTCCTTCACCTAAGAGAGCAGAAAATGTCTGTCTGATGTGTGATCCAGCCTTGACATTTGAAAAAAATAAGAAAATAATAAAAATTGTTCATTTCAAAATCGTGATAATCACAGTCCCCTCAAGTGGGGAAAAGAGAAGTTGTAGGTTGTATTTTAATGAAAATGGGTTGAAACAGTGATTTAAAAAAAAAAACATACTCTAAGTTTATATCTTTATTTTAACTGGTTTTGTGACGTCTCCTTTTCCCCTTACTGCAAAAAACCTCGTAAGTGCCCCCAAATAATGGGCAGCCTCCCCTCACTGGTGGACTCCTAGAGTGGGAGAGTGGTGCCCAGTCCCAGTCCTGAGGACTAGCTGAGGCTGTGTCTGCTGGCGAGAGCGGTCAGTGTGACGTCGGGCACGTCCTGTGCTCTGCGTGGTTGTTTGGCTGCTAATACTAGTAAGACCAGACTGCTTTGGAGAACATTTAAGAATTGTGCAAGGCCTGTGTGATACGACTTTGTCAAGAAATTCCCGAGAAACACAGAATAAGATCTGACAAAATGATGAGAGAGACGTGTTATGAATCAAAAGGCTTAGTTCTGTACAGATGTCATTTCTTCATGATGGGAATGTCATAGATACTCTTTAAAACATTATAAAATGATTCTGCAATTTATTTGTGTGAAATTTAAGTGGCTAGTAAGGAAATTTGGACAGAGTCATGAGAAGAGGTCCATCCTCCAGGTCAGAGTCCTGCCTGAAAACCGTAGAGCCCAGGCTGTGACATTGTGGGCAGACATGGGCACTGGTGGCGGTTCTGGTCTCCGCTGTGCAAGGCATTCTGGGTGCTGTTGAGCGCTTGGTCAGCAAGGAAGAAGTTACCATGCAATTCAGTGATTTCTCACAGAAGTAAGGAGAGAAGTTCTTTAAAAAAAAAAAAGAAGGGGAGACCAATTTCACTTTTCAGCTTGCTGTTGAATTCCATTGGACGAAAACAAATAATGATTTTAAATGTCTGATAGTTCAGTTTTGAGAGGGAATGAATGTATGTAGAGTAGGAAAAAATAATGTCATCTTTAGATATTAAGCAATTGACACATGATGCTGCTTCCCTTCTTGAAGATTATGTGGCTGACATGCTGTGCTTTTCAGTTTTATAATTTGCTTGTTTTCTCCTCAGGATTTTGCAGGTTAATTCCTCATGCACGCTCACCAGGTACTTGGACAATATATTTTGAGGGTGCAGATTACGAGAGCCATCTTCTGCGTGAGAACACGGAGCTGGTAAGTATTGTGAGGGTGACAGGCGGAGTACAGACTAACCTGTATTCCTTACAGTTTGAAAATGTAACGTAAACTCCTTCTTTGATTATAGTGAGCATTGTTGTGACAAAAATATTTTAAAATCACCTTTAAACACTAATTTTATTTTTAAAAAATCTGAAACCATGATTCTAGACCGTGTCTATACACTTTTGTCCATAAACAAATAGTATTTTTTAAAATAAAGAATATTTCTACCCACATCTATTTTTTTTTTAAAGATTTTATTTATTTATTTGACAGAGAAAGACACAGCGAGAGAGGGAACACAAATGAGGAGTGGGAGAGGGAGAAGCAGACTCCCCGCCGAGCAGGGAGCCCGATGCGGGACTTGATCCCGGGACTCCAGGATCATGACCTGAGCTGAAGGCAGTTGCTTAACGAACTGAGCCACCCAGGCACTCCTCTACCCACAGCTATTACCAGCCTTAATATTAATACATATTTTTTAAAAGATATTAATACAATAGCCTTACGACTTTTATTAGAAAATGTTTTTCTAGGGGCACCTGGGTGGCCTCAGTTGGTTAAGCGGCTGCCTTCCTCATGATTTCTGGGTCCTGGGATCAAGTCCCACAGTGCGCTCCCTGCTCAGCAGGGTGTCTGCTTCTCCTTCTCCCTCCGCCCCTCCCCCTGCTCTCTCTCTCAAATAAATAAAAATTTAAAAAAAAATTTTTTCTCTGGTAGAAATATTTTCGCCTTATAGTTGGTTCTACCTTGTTTTAAATACGTATCAAATCACTTGCTGATATTTTGTATCTTCTGGAAGAGAAGTCAATCCTAGTATTTGCTAGCTTCATACATTTTATGGAAAATTCTGCTTTGCCTCCCACAGAGAGTTTTAAACAACAGAGAATGTTTCCCTGTGCCCTAGAACATGACAGCAGACACAGTTGTCCTGTATGACATAGACTGCCATATCTCCGATTAATAGAAACAGATGAAATTTTCCCTTTTCGAACTTTGTTATTGAGTTTCATTTAAATATCTTTCTATAATTGCCGTTTTCATCTTTAAGCCACTTAAGGGTTTGAAGGAGCGAAGAGATGTGACCGTACTTTTGTTGAGGTTCCTATGGGTCAGGGTCAGTGTGTTATGTGTGATTGATTGCATGTGGCCACTTACTCATCTGTCCACTGATTCTCAGAAGGCATGGAATTGTCTAGCACGCCTGACCCGCCAAGATTTAGAGATTCTGGTGTGTGAAAACAGCCAGATACCTTCTGAAGCTTCAGAGACTTCCTGTACCACCCTCAAATATCAACCAGTAGGCAGTCAAAACTGTGTGCCTATTATATACCTAATTTCTAAGAAAACATGGTTTGTGTAAGGTGGCAATACTTAAAGCATGTAATATGTGTTTTGTATATCAAATTCCAAGTAATTATTTGTGATGACTGAGTAGCCTGCTTTAGACCAGAGTGTGTGTCCTGCCATCTCCAGCAGCTGAGTTAGTGGACGGTAGCTCCGTCCCATCGGAGAGCCGATGTCGTGTGTCCACTGACACACCGACAGTGTGCCTCTCACGCTTTCTCTCGGCCTCGCGAGCTTTTTGCCGCATCCCGAGTGATAGCAGTTCCCAACTCCCATATTTTATAGGACAGCAAGTCCCTTCGTAGATGGGATCACGCCTTCTTCATCTTCCTAGTGTATTCAGAGATCCTTCAGGAGCTTTCAAGTCTTAATCTAAAAGAAAAAAAAATTGTAATGTCACCTAATCTTGCTTGTTTTCCTTAAAGCGTTTTCTCACTGACCTTGGTTCTAACTTAACAACCCACATGTATAATTACCACTTGTTGGCAATGTGCCTTCGTACTTAACGTATCTGATTAAATTATCCCTCAGTGTGTATGTGCTGGTAATTTTCCTCTGTAATTTTGTTTATTCTTTGGGTGAGGTGTGACGTGTCTAACATGTAGCCTCAGTGGGCAGTTCCTCATTTGCTTAGGGGTCAGTTTGAGAACTGACCTCCGCCCCTGAGCCGTGACTTTATTACCCAAAGTACTTGGAACGGTGGTGCCCACATCATGGGGTGGCCTGACCTCAGATGGCGCCTGCATTCTCCCAAGAGACAGATGTGTGATCATCTTTGTTATGACTCTTTTGCTGACCTCCCCATAGATGGTGGAAAATAGGTTTACATTTCTTCTTTAAAAAACACCTAGTAATTTATTTTGAAAGGTGGTAAAGTAACAATTTCATTTCATTTCTATGATTGGGTTTTTCCAATCTGATAGTAATGGAAGTGTAGTTTTGTTTTCTAAATTAAGTTCTTTAACGTTTCAATAGCATTTATGACTAGTTTCATCTTCGAGGCTCTTGAGTCGAGAGTATTGATCCTTTTCCCGGGTTACTCCATAAGCAGTATCTGTAATCCTTGCTCGTTGTCTGTTCCATTTACCACATGACTGTCTAAGCTAGAAACACTTCATTTCAGCCATAAAATAAACCTTTGTTTTCGTCCTTCAGGCTCAGCCTCTGAGGAAAGAACCTGAAATAATCACTGTGACTCTTAAAAAGCAAAATGGGATGGGCCTCAGCATCGTTGCAGCAAAGGTAGGGCACCGTGGGTGATGTGAGCTGTCACACTCCATTCCTGGACCTTGACTCAGTCAGCGCTCGGCCGAGTGTGTGGGAGCCCTTTGCTGCCTGAGGACGAAGTGCGCCTACACTTCTGTTTCTCTTGGGGGTCGGTGGTGTTACATGAAAGAGGCCACGGCGCTCAGGCCCAGGCAACGGAGGGACGGCGTCCTGCTCTGAACACAGGAGCCGTAGAGAGTGTGACCTTGATGTGGAGCCAGGGGTGCTCCTGAGGAGCAGGCGGTCAGAACTTGAGCCACAGAAGAGGATCCCTTAGCCTGAGATGGGAGCTAGGTCTCGCACATGCTGGGAGCGGGCACCGGACGTCTTCTCAGGTGCTAGTACGTGGACGCGTCCCCGCACACTGGTTACCCCGGCGGCCTGCTGCCTCCCCTGTCTAGGCACTCTCTTCCAGGGGGTGTGCCGTGGGGCCTAGGAGGTTGCACCCTTCCCCTGGGCTGCACGTGGGCCCGCTCCGTACCGAGTGCCGCAGACCCACTTGCAGGGTGTTGGGAATGAAGTGCGTCCCAGCTAGCCTCAGAGTGAGTAGTTGGGGACAAGTAGGGATGGCACGAAGCTGGGTACAGCTAAGGGAGAGTGGAGTGAGGGAAGTGGTGCTCAAGTGATTCTGGAAACTCCTGATTGACGGCTGAGGGGTCTGCACTGTGTCTTGTAGACCCCACAGAGAAAGGAAAGGGCCATGATGGAACTGGCATTTCAGGAAGCTGTGTCTGGGAAGGGCGTGGTGTGTAGGATGACTGGAGGAACCTGGGACCGCAGGTGGGATTCCAGGTGGGAATCGGCTGGCGGAGGCGAGCCTTTGTCAGGTGTGGACTCAGTAGTCTGCTTCTGAAGCGCCAGGTTCTGTGGGGTTGCCCAAGATGGGCCAGAGGGTAGGTCCAGAGCCTGTTGGCCCAGCTCGTAGTCCAGAGTCCCTTACTCCTGATAAGGCTCATGCTGGTGTGCCATATTTCCAGACTATTCTAACTTAATGGACCCAGAACTCAAAACTTTGGAAGTTGTGAATAAGAAGGTATTAGATGTGGACTATTTTCTCTGCTTACCAACTGAATCAAATGCTCATTTTTAGGGGAAAAAAAAATATCAGGATGAAAAATTACCTTGCCACACTCAGATACACAGGAAGACTTTAGCCTGTGTGTTTCCTATTATGTGTTTATGTATATGGATCTTCTTTCCAGTATTCATCTTACTTGGGATTTGAAGTACTAACTTGTGGGATGGCAGGGCCACCGTTCATCAGCACCTCCATCCTTTTCAGCTTAGAAAGTTATGCTCTCTCTCGGTACAGAAAAACCTGTTTTCTGAAGATTGAAGTCTGATTTACGTAAGCATCTTTGATCCTTTCCTGTAACGTGTAAAGGCATGGTATACAAAGTGAGGCTGCATGCGGGCCCCTGCGGCCCCCTCTGGCCTCTGTTCTTGCCGGGCGGCCAGGTGTCAGTGGGTGGTTAGGACAAGGAGGTGGGCTGAAGTCACAGTCACGCCTGGATTCATTTACCTACGCCTGTGGGTGAGAGGTAGAAGGGAGGGCACTGGCCCCAGGCCTCTGTCCTCCCCAGGAATGGTTCCTGCTAAGGATCAGATGGCAGGCAGTGGGGAGAGTCCTCTCACTGCCAGGAAGGGTCCCTCCACCTCCAGTCTATAGACTGGAGCAGGGGAAGGAGTGAGAAAGCAGTGAGTGAGCCTAGAGGACAAGACCTCAGCTGAGGCCCCGTTAGCAGGTCTCTGTGTGGAGGTGCTTGGGCCAGGACCAGTGAGGACAGCTGGCCCGCCTGGCCTTTGCCCACCACCGTGGCTGCTGGCCACGTGGCTGTGCTTCTGTCCTGGTGGTGGTTCCCTGCACTTGCTCACTTCTTCCACTCCCACCTGTGCTGACCTCCACCCCCTCTGAGCTCCTGTGCCTTCTGTGTGCGTCTGCATTCACGCGAGGAAGCGTGGGGAAAATGGTGTTCTCCCTCCAGTCAGTAGGAGGTACTTCGTCATGAAAACAGAAATGACTCTGGAATCCTCGCTCTTACAGAAGTGTTTGTGACTTGTGCTAAGAAATCGTGGTAGCACGGTGACTGATTTCCGTTAGCCTCGCGTCAGTTGGGAACACGCAGGATTTAGCTTCCGGTTGTGTAGTAGTCTTAAGAGGTCTTTTGTTCCTTTCACTAATAATAGAGTAACAAACTCAATGTGAAAGTAGTAGCTAATTGTTAGGGTGCTGTTTATTCCAGTAGAGAATACCAAGTGCCTGCTGTGTAAAAATAAAGTATAATTTTCACTTTTTAACTTTGAAGTCTCTAGGTTTCTGTTGGTGGTGTTTTTTATACTGACACATTAAAAAAAAAAAAAAAGATTTGTAGATAAAATTGGAAAATACCAGCGTTAGCATTTCTAATTGGGATATAGGATTATAGAATTGGGGCTTCATGGGGACTAGGAGCAACACAGGAAGTTAGGTAGAAACCTTACTGCCCGAAGCTGAGACGGAGAGCGCAGCGCCTGAGTCGCGTCTACGGCAGACCGGCTGTAGCTGGTTTCTGAAAGCAGCCCGCTCGCCTTCCTGCCAGCTTCCCATGTGGCGCCTGCCGCAGGCCTCCCCTCAGAGCCCGAGAACCCAGGACAGGGGGCACCTGCTCAGTGTCTTCCGCAGGCCTGCTCCTTCCTTTTCTAAACTGGGAAGGTGGCACCCTCGCCAACATTTCAGGGATTTCCACACTGTTTTTGTTTCTGGTCTTTTTAAATACTTTCCACAGTGAAAGTATAAATTTAGAAGCAGAAGAAATTTTTTGAAAAGAGATTCCAGGGCGCCTGGGTGGCTCAGTCATTGAGCGCCTGCCTTCGGCTCGGGTCATGATCTCAGCGTCCTGGGATCGAGCCCCGCATCGGGCTCCCTGCTCGGCGGGAAGCCTGCTTCTCCCTCTCCCACTCCCCCTGCTTGTGTTCCCTCTCTCGCTGTGTCTCTCTCTGTCAAATAAATAAATAAAATCTTTAAAAAAAAAAAGATTTAATGCTAAGGTGGTTAATTCATCAGCTTATTAAACAATAGATTTAATAAAAGTAAGTATGCACCTGGCTCTCATTGTTGTTTCTCCCACCGAGAATATCTTTATCGGTACATACACCCTTGGTCATTTGAGGTGTGAGGCAGAAATAAGTAGGGGAGAGTGAATGACATCAGAGGTCATTATCCAGGGGTATTTATTGAATGTCTAAATGCCCGTGGAGAGTGGAGATAGTGAAGGCCTTCTTGAGGAAATGCCTTCAGCAGCAACTTGCAGGGTGCGCACGTGTTAGCCAGGTAGAGGGTGGTGGGCAGAGAACTTGAGAAGAGGGGCCGCGGGCAAAGGCGCAGCCATGTGGCTGCAGCACAGCAGCGGGGGGCAGGCCTTCCGAGGTGCGTCTGGGAGACGGGGAGCTGGGACCGCGGCTCGCACAGCAGAGTCGGCGCGCTTCTCCTGCGAGGGGCGGGGTGGCAAGTGTTCTCTGCTTTGTGGGCCTTGCGGCCTCTGCTGCGGCCACAGGGCGGCGGCCAGTGCGGGAGGGCGGCTGTGCGGTCTTGACGGGGTTGTGAATGTTAGTATCGGCCAGAGAAGTAGCCGTTGAAGGGTTTCAGATAAAGGTGCGACAGGATCAGAGTGGGGTTTTGAAAGTTTATTGTTGGTCCTTCAGAGAGCACGGGTTCGAGGGGCTCAGGAGTGCAGGCAGAGCTGCAGTGGGGGTAAGCCACCAGCAGTTTGCTGATGGAAAGTGCCGGAGGCGCCGGCCCAGGAAGCGGCCGCGGAGGCAGGTGGTTGGCCGGCCGGAGGAGGGGTAGAGCCGTCGTTGAGGTCGGGCCCTCGGTCTTGCTGCTGGAGTATCGTAGGTGCCGATGCATGTTTGCGGAACAACAGCTTTCCGTGTGATGGATGAACTGGCTGTGGTGGGTGGAAGAGAGAAGTAGCAGGTTGCACCGTGCTTCTGTGCTCAGCGTGGGGCATCTGGAAGTGGCATGCACTGAAAAGTGGGGCTGGGGCAGGGAGAGAGTCAGGTGTTCAGTTTGCGCAGGCTACCTTGGAGATCTGGGACGCCGGTCTCGCTAGGGGAGTGAGGATATTGTGGAGCAGACAGAATTTGGATGTCAGCACACCGACAGATGCTCTAGAGAAAGTAACTCAAAGAATACGGTCTGTTAAGTGCACAGTGTGCCCCTCGAAGACAGGAACAGGGCGTTTATGCCTGCTCTTGAAACGAGACAGGAGTCTCGAAGTTCCCCAGTGCTTCACGTAACCTGTTTTTCTCCGACTTCTTTGTAATGTCTTTGGTACTAGAAAAGGAACATTCAGCAATAAAAATCAGAAGTCATTTAATTTACACGCATTGCTAAAGCAGCGCCGTGAGGCTGATACATCGCATAGGTCTGCATCACTTATAACAGTAGAAAGAGATTTGTTTTCGGGATTTCAAGAATGTGTTTTAAGTGCCAGGCCAGCCGGCGCACGGTGGGGGGGGGTCAGCACGATTGGGAGCTGTCACTTCGCTCTTGCCAGGGCTCAGCTTGCTTCCTCTGCTGGTCCGATGCCACGGGATCTGCATGTGCACCTCACAGCCTGGAGCCCCGAGCAGATCACGCTGGACAAGCCGCGCTGGCCGCACGGTGCCGTCTGTCATCTTGCTCTCTCCTTGCTGCCGTGTGGTTGGCAAAGAAGAACCTGGAGGCCCCAGGAACTCCTACTGGTGTCTGTGTAGTTTGTGTTTTCTTTAGGCTGTTGTGGTCTTTGTATCTGGCCTAGTCTTTTTTTGATTTTTTTCCTAATTAGTGTGTGGCTAGCTGCTGTGAGCCTGGATGATGTTTTGATGTTAAGCTCCCTGACGCCCCTTCCACAATGCGGTTCAGTTTTATGAAATCCAGATGATTTGGAACAGTATGTGTGTGCAGTTTACTTTTTTAAAACATTGCTTTTGGGGAAGTTTAGTATGCTCCTTCTTACTCATCTGTGGGACAACACGATGCTTCCTGTTTAATTTGGATTTTTAAAATACAAACAATTCCCTCTTTATTTTCCTAGCTCTTTTTAAAGTTTAATAAAGTACCAAGTGAAGGCAAGTCAGAGCTGACTGGTTACGTAAGAGTCTGAGCGCGGCACTCGCTGCAGCCCGTGCTGATAAATGCTGCTCGGTGTCCTAATGTCCAGCTCGGAGCTGTGCGGATCCGGGTCCTCAAAGACCAGCTCTGTTGGTTGCTGTGGAAAACTGAGGGAAGCAGACAGTTGTTTTTTTCCTCAGTTCGAGAAGTTGCTGTAGTCCTGAGATCAGAATGTGGTTCTCTGTTGTCGGAAGAACAGGATCGGCGGTGAGTTTCTTGAGGGTGCTGTTGTGGACGTGGATGTTCTTGGGCAAACTCTTAACTGTGATCCTTCCAGAACGCTGCTGCTTCCATTAGAACTTGTTTAAACCTGCCAATAACTAACTTGCTCATGAAGCAACCGTTTACTGTAGCTTGTAATTACACACCCAGGATTTTGTTGCTCTGTATTTTAATGTTGCACATTCTTAAGGTTCATAAAAATAAAAGGTTCCTATATCCTTTTTGCACATACACACGAAAAAAACCCCATAAATGTACTCCTGCTGATCATAATATGGTGAAGATTGCTTAAAGTAATGCTGAGTGCCGTTGTAGAGCTTGCTGAGAAACAGGAGCGCCGTAACTTCCTGTGGATGCGTTAGGTAGCTTTTACTGTCTCTAAAACCCATTTTTGCTGAAAGTGAACCTAAAAGTGACCATCTTAAAGGTACTTAGGATATTTTACTATTTTATTTAAAAATGAACAGTTGAATAGTGTCTTAAAGGTGTTCTAGTTTGTACTTTTAGACTATATACTAATTTTAAGTTTTTAAATTTTAATTAGCTTAAAACACAAGAAAGATCCCTATGCCTTAGGAGAAGATGAAAACAGTGTTTATTAATATACCACCTTCTCGCTGTTTGAAGAGTAAATTCCTGACATGAACTACAATTAAGTCCTTTGAAGAATTTGAGACCTTCGTTCTCACATTCTTTAATCACATTCTTTATGTCCTTATTGTGACCACATGGGAAAAACCTAGTCAAAAAGATGAAGTCAGGAAATTTTGGTTCCGTTTTAAAATCAGTTTCAAGGTACCCAGTGCGACTGCAGAATTTCTTCCGTGGAAGTGTCAGAAATAATTTTCCATTAAGTTGTATGAAGTGACTAGTACCCTCCATGGCTAGTGTTCGTGAATTTGGAAATAATGTTTTATATTTTTGTTTTAAAAGCAAAATAGTAAATTATATAAAAGAATAACTTTTTACCTATTTTATAATAACAGTCTAAGCGCTAATTTCTTGGATTGATGGAATTACTGGATTTTATTATAGTATTAACGTAATAGAAACATTAAATGTTAATGCTCTAAAGCAGAACAATTTCACATGATAGGACACACGGTAAGAAATGATCTTTATGTGGCTCAGTGGGTGCAGGGGATCGGTTGTGGATCATCCCAGTCTGAGGAAGGTCCAGACTGCCTCAGCCTCGCCCACTTGCTCTCAGCCAAGGCTTGGGAGTCAGGCCTCACCCCTGCACGAGGCACACCTGCATGAGCAGTGGACAGAAGCCAGGAGCTCGCCTGTATTGGTCTCAGTTCTTTCATTCCCAGACCACTCTGAGATCTCGGGAAAGCCCTCCACCTTTGCCGTCGTGCAGTGCGCACCGCGGGCCTCCTGCAGCCCATCTGAGAGACCCAACTTAAGAGTCCCCTATTTAGGTCATTTCCTTCATTTTAAAAAGAAGGAAAGGACAGATGGGATGTGTTTTGTTTTTTGTGTTTTTTTTTTTTAAGATTTTATTTATTTATTTGACAGAGAGAGACAGCGAGAGAGGGAACACAAGCAGGGGGAGTGGGAGAGGGAGAAGCAGACGCCCCGCCGAGCAGGGAGCCCAATGCGGGGCTCTATCCCAGGACCCTGGGATCATGACCTGAGCTGAAGGCAGATGCTTAATGACTGAGCCACCCAGGCGCCCCTGGGATGTGTTTTGTGTTCTCTGCAGAGGGTAAGCCATGAACAGAGCTGCACCTGGAGGCTGGTTCACAGAAACCAAGCGTAGACCCCTTTACGGCATCCCACCTGTCTGGTGCTCATGCTTGCATGAGCTTGCCACCTAGCTCATGCTTGCAGCGCTGTTGAGGGTGGAATGTGTATCAAGAACGAGTTTTACAATTGATTGTTTCAGAATTAAGGTAATTCCTACCAAGAAGAGAGAGCTCTTCAATGTTTTTAAAACCCTATTCTCAATTTTAATAGTTTACGAATCGGAACTCCTTGTCTGATGAGAAACAAAGCCGCTTTCAGACCCTGAGAAAGGAGCACGTGGGCAGAGCGCTGTACCGAACATCCTGATGAGTTTTAAATGCTGCTGGGCTCTCAGGTCCTCCCAGCCCACTGTTGTTCTGGAACCTTCAGTAAAGAGCCCAGACTGGGTCTCTAGCCCTGGAAACAATAGGCTTGATTCTCTGCTGGCGTATCTTCCTTCCTCCTCCTGCTGCCTTTTTTTTTTTTTTTTTGGGTTGTGTGCTAATGATGTTTTTATGCTGTTAGTCATACATACTCCCCCACACACTCAGCTGGTCACTGGGCGTTCGAGGAGTAGGTTCCTCTGACTGGGTTTCTGTGCCCGAGGTGAGAGGACCTCACCCTCCGTCTTCCCGAAGGTGCGCCAGCAAGAGCCGGGACCAGCTGTCTGGGTGCGGCCTTTTGCCTGTAGCCGGTCCTCACGCCACACGTAAGCAGCTAAGCCACGGGCGCCTCTCGTCGAGTTCTAGGGAATGTATGGCGCGCGTAGCTGCTGAGTTCTTCTTTCTGCCTCAATCTTTGTATTTGGGAACCTTTTCTGTTAACTTACTGCCATTCTTCTTCTGCCCTTTTCCACACAGAAACCCCAGTACCCCAGTATATTTCTGCTAAACCTCTCCTCTCTCTGCCCTGCCCTCCTCTTCCTCAGTGATCCCACCTCCCTCTCCAACCCCTCCTTTCCCTTTGAAAGGAAAGACAAGCAGATTCAAGGTGCACTAAGATCACACATGTGATCTCTGTTATTTCATTTTAACTGCTTTTCTAAGGACTGAGGATCTAGCTCTTTGCGTTTCATTTGCACGGCCTGGCTGGGGCATATTTGGTCCCCATTCTCTACTCTCTAGGAGTCGGGAGTGATGTTGGAGAGCACAGACACCAAAAAAGGGCAGCTCTGGCACTGGAACACCGTGTTACTCTCAAAGTGTCTTTGGAAGGGAAAATGTGGCTTTGATACTTAAAAATTTACTTCTCAGTAGTTTAATTAAATTCCAAAACTGTACTTAGTCATTCATAATTCCTGGTGCCTTTGAAATATATAACTGCTTTCCAGGAGACCCTTAAAAAGGAGTTTGAGGGGCGCCTGGGTTTCCTCCTTCTCCCTCTCCCTCTGCCACTCCCCCTACTTGTGCTTGCACACTCTCTCTCTCTCAAATAAATAAATAAAATCTTAAAAAATAAGAAAAAAAAGAATTTGATTTGTTAAATGGGGAATGGATAAATCTGAATGTTTCTGATTAATCTTTTAATTTTACAAATAAAAGACTAAGAATACAGAAATATCTTCAAATACCAGCTTAGGTAGTAGCTTTAAACAAGTAATCCTTAAAATTATTTAGCCTTTCCATTTTAATGATTATGGTTACTCTTCTCATGGTTGGAAATCAGGGTGCATAATGTTATTTATGATATATATTATATTGTGATAAAGTCTTGTTTTTACCCAGTTATCTGTGTAATTATAAATTTATTGCTAGTACCTGTGGTTACTAATAACATATAGTATGAAAAGTCTGTAGTTTTAGAATAATGTTGTCCAATAGAATGTGTGAGTCACAAAGGTAATTTTAAATGTTCTATTAGCTGCATTAAAAAAAAGCCCTGAAATTAATTTTAATAATGTATTTTATTTTACACAGTATATCCAAAATGTTATTGATTCCAGCATGTAGTGAATGTAAGTCATTAGTGATATATTTAGATTCTTTTTTCCATACAAAGCTCTGATATCTGTGTATGTTGTATACTTAGTACACATTTCGGTTTGGACTAGCCACATTCCCACATTCTGAGTGCTCAGTAAAGCCACGTGTGGTCTCTGGCCACCATACCGGACAGCACAGTCTTCATAGTATCTAATGCCATTGCACCAACATTTGGTTAATGTTTACATAGCTCATATTTACATTCTTTTACTGACAGATAATGTTACATTGGTATGTAGCAGCAAAAACTTCCTGGACCCCATTTTCCTTTCTTAATTGGAAAAGGAATGGACTTGGGGCGCCTGGGTGGCTCAGTCAGTTAAGTGTCTGCTTTCGGCTCGGGTCATGATCCCAGAGTCCTGGGATCGAGCCCCACGTCAGGCTCCCTGCTTGAAGGGGAATCTGCTTCTCCCTCTCCTTCTGCCCCTCCCCTCCCCTCGTGCGCTCTCTCTCAAATAAGTAAATAAAACCTTTTAAAAAAAGAAAAGGAATGGACTTGCCGTACAAAGTTCAGTCTTCCTAGGCTAGGTTAGTGTGTGCATTATTATTCAGAAATAAGACATAAGTGGCTTAATGCTTCTGAAATAATTTTGCTTTATACAGTTTTTATCATCGTGTATAATTTTATTTTTATTCAGATGAAGTGGGGCAGGTAGTGAGAGCTTCGTAAAGTTAAGGAGTTATTGCCGCCTGACGGGTGGCAAGTTTGCCTCGGTGCTGAGCTGTTCCCAGTCCAAGTGGCATTAGCAGGGAGGAAGCAGCACCTATATGCTCCTCTGTCCAACCTGTCAAGGTGGACATTCCAGACCAGGGCTGCTGCAGCCAGGTGGAAACATTGGGTCCCCTTGGAGTTGGCCAGAGATTGTGGTGTTCTGGGTTGAAAGTAACTACCCATGTTGATTTTATGTATATACACACATATGTGTATGTGTGTGTATAGTTAGAAAATTCCTTAGACTTCTGGGGTGCTTGGGTGGCTCAGTCGGTTAAGCGTCCACCTTCAGCTCAGGTCATGATCTCGGGGTCCTGGGATCAAGCCCCAAGTCAGGCTCCCTGCTCAGCGGAGAGTCTCCTTCCCCTCTCTCTTTGCTGCTCCCCCTGCTCGTGCTCGCTCTCTCTCTGTCAAACAAATAACATCTTTAAAAATAAATTCCTTAGACTTCTTTGATTTCTGAGTATCCATCTTTAGATTTGTTTTTCTAAAATAATAACCAGTGGAACTGGTCATTTCTCTGTACAACAATTGTACTGCAGTTTTTTATGTCCAGTTTATAACAGTGAGCTGCATGTGAAGTATAGATAGGATTCAAATAAGCAGAGGTGGGAGGGGGCCAGAATGGGAGGATGGAAGGGAGTTCCAGTGGAGTAGATCTGCTAAAGGGACCATGTCTCCAGGAGAAGGTTAAAGGTTAGCAGAATGGCAACATGTTTACAGAAATGTAAGCAGTGGGTCTGTTAAATAAAGAGTATTTCTAGGTAAGTAGTGCAAGGTTGAGACCACATTAGTAAGATTCAGATGCTAACCAAAGCTTGGATACCTCTTTAGAATATTCTAGATCCACATTCTTCACTTGTGTATCACCCTCCCCCAAGAGTATTTTTTTTTTTATGTATTTCATCATGCACCGTCAGTGACTTAATTATTAAGTCTGTTTTTATGACCAACCTTAAAAGGACCTTTTAGAAGCCTACTGGGTCTTTGCAATTGAGATCTCTAAGAATCATTGTCTGTAATTCCTCAGATGAAGATCTCCTTTTCTGAGTAGCAGATACACTGATAAATTGAACTTGGAATTAACGTGATTGTAGCTTAGAACTTAGATAAATTCCCATCGTCCATTACCCAGCAACAGTAATGGAAGATCGCTTCTTTGGAAACAGTATGTGTGGTACCGTAGTCAGAAATGCTTAGGGCTCCTCCTTGTTAAACTAGGAACGTTCCAGTGTTACCAGCTCGGTCTGTGTCAGCTGCGTCAGCTGCTTCCTAACCCACGAATATGATACCGATGTACTCATTCAGTGGATTCTGGCCTGCCTCGTGTCAGGGTTTGAGAGGACGCTGTCGACCACACGGTAGGAGGAGAGGAGGCAGCAACCAGGGAAAGCGGGCGGGGAGAGCCGTCTGTGCTGTCAGCTGGAATACAGGACAGAGCAGCTGTTCCAGGAACATAGCACATAGGTGAGAGAGAGCTTGTATCCATCCTGAGGTTGGGAAGGTATGTGGCTTGGTGAATAGTGGCAGGTGAGCCCAGGAATCGAATGACGAAAGCGTTTTGGCAGACAGATTGCATCAGACGTTTTGTGTGCAAAGTACAACGTAAACAAAGGCAGGAACACGGAAACAGGATGGAATGGGGGCACGTGAAGGAGCATCTGGATCAGGCCGAGCGTGTGGTGAGAGGGGCGAGAACCTGACCTCGGGTTCGGGGGGCGTGGTGCTGTGCACAGGCGGGCAGCTGCGCTGGTCTTGGGTCAGGAGCCCCACGGGGCGTGCTTCAGGAAGGGGTTCCTGCGGCAGGTGGCACGGAGGGGACCAGCAGGACAGTGACAAGGAGGGCTTGGTCAGGACTGTTGGGAGATTTATGCTGGAAACTTCTGCCTGTATTTAAAGATGTGACGGTCATGATTCTGTCCAGTATCTATATTACATGATCAGTTTTACTTGAATATTTGAACGTAGACTTCATAAACCTCACATCGCATGTCAGATCCTAAACTGCCTCTCGAAAGGTGCTACGGGGTTTCCAGTAATTTACATAGTACTTGCAGTTCGTACAGAGTCTCCCACATGGAAGCCTGGATCAGTTGTCTAAAATGGAATGTGGGGCCTGGTAGCTCCCCTCAGGGGTGTGATTCCTGGTCTGAACGAGAGGCTGAAGGCAGAAAGGGGTATTGCAGTGGAGCTTCCTCCGTTCATGCTGAGTGTGGAACTCCCCTTCCCAGAGTGAGAATTGTGACAAAGGAGCAACAGAGGCTGTGTGAGCAGGGCCTTGACGGAGGGAGAAGCAACGGTTTTTTTCTCTTGTTCTTTTATCATTCCATTTTGTGATTTTTAGAAAGACAGAGTCCTCTTACAGTTTGTCTAAATAAATGTTATTTGTTTCATTATTAATAATTTTTCTTATAAAGAGTACCAGCAATGGGGGGGGAGGTCTTGGTTTATTGTTTTGAAATGTATATATTTTGGGGGGCACCTGGGTGGTTCCATCTGTGAAGCGTCTGCCTTCAGCTCAGGTCATGATCTCAGGGTCCTGGGATCGAGTCCCGCATCGGGCTCCCCACTGGGAGCCTGCTTCTCCCTCTGCCTCTGACTCTGTGTGCTGCTTCCCCTGCTTATGCTCTCGCTCTGTGTCAAATAACTAAAATCTTTTTAAAAATTGAAAAATTTTTATAAAAATGTATGTATTTGGTATTTTATTATTTATATCACTGTTACTAAAAATATGCTATTAGTATTACTAGTAAACATTTTTCTTTTCAAAGATGGTAGTAATTAAGCATCTTCTTAAAAGGACAGTTTTTACGGTCTATACTACATCATGAAGATGTAAGTGCCCACCCATTCACACTAAAACTGTATCCTGAAATGCTGTGAACATTGCTTTGCTCTCGGTCAGACACAGAACACAGGAAACCGGTAGTTATGCTTAGAACCTTTGAGAAACAATCTGGCCTCAGGTATTAGCTGTAAGGAAATACCCTGGAGCATTTGCAGAAAAGGAAAAGAAGGGGATTTTCAGTGCCCCAGCCAAAATTATTAGACAGCTACAGGGAAGACTACTGTGGAATATAAGCTTCATGAGGGCAGGGGTGTTTGTCTGCTTTGTTCACGGATGTGTGTACAGAGCTTAGGATAGTATAAGGAAGCATTCAGTGAATATTTGTTGAAGGAGTAAAATTGTCATTTAAATAGCTGAGTTGTTGAATTAAGCAGTCAATCGCAGATTACATAAAAGTATGGAATATATTGGGGAAAAATCATTTAAGTAGATGACATGAGAAGGAATACCCTATGTCATATAACAGATGGGGTCGGGGTGGGGCCGGCTTAGAAGTAATTCCCCCGATTGCATGTTAGGTCGCTAGGTTCAGGGAAACCCAGGATTGGCCTGGGCGAAGTCAGGTAAAAGGTGTATCTATTGCTCTATTTCTCTCTCGCTAAGTGACATGCTAAAATTCAGGAAGTTGCCATTTATTGAGTGCCTACTGTATGTATTTTTTATTGTGGAATTTCAAACTTAAAGTACAAGCTTTGCCAACTGTCTCAGTGCTGTGTCGGTGGGGGGGTGGGGGGGGCGGGGAGCAGAAGGACCAGGCAGAGGTGTCAGCTTGCACTTGGTTATCCTGTTGTACTGGAAGTGCTGGATGATTTGTAAGGGGCATGCGTCTGTCTGTCTGGTAGGCAGTCGGGTGTCTGGGGCTGGGCAGGAGATGTGCAGCGAGGGGATATGGTACAGACAGACACCGAGGAACATTTGGAGGTGAACAGATGGGAAAACCTAGACCGGAGGGTGGGGAGCTGCAAAAGAGAGGGCTTGATTTTTTGCCTTGTGTAGAACTTCTATAAACTCAGCCCGCAGGTAATGTAACCACACGAAACTTGAAACACACGGTTTCCCAAAATTGAGTTGTTTTGTTAAATTGAGACATCCTATGCCATTTTCGTAATGAGATACGTAATAGATGGTTTTAGGCTCTTGAAACCGTGGCATGCTACATGCCGGATTTTCCCTGAGGGGAGAGCTCCCCAGTCAGGCTGTAGTCTCCAAACTGGCTCTCTTAGCGAAAAGGAGGAATGAAGAGTTTTCCAGTGGAAATTATGTACTTCCAGAGTGTTGTAGAACATTTGTTTCAATTAAGTCATTTATTGAAATCACTGTATCTACAACTCTCTGGGATACCTTGTATATTCTTTATTTATGACCCAGTACTTCATAACTATTGAAATTACCCTGAGCTAAGACCCGTACCCTTGGTTGTGGAACATGGGCAGTGCTCTCCAGGTGAGATTTCACACATGCGATTGCTTCCTGCGGTCATCCCAGTAAGTTATCCATAATGGATTTTTATGTTCTGGTTGGAATGTCCAAGTAGAATGTTGGGGATTCTGTACAAGAGTTGTATGTGTTCTTGAAACCTGTTTCACAGAAGCTGCTTGTCCTGATGTGCATTCCGTGTGGATCGGGGCTCCTAGCTCCATATTCATCTAGAGTTAGAATACATGATCCTTCAGTTGAAACGATGCACAGGATTTTCTGCAGAATCCTCCCTTACTACCTAAGTCCCCCTTCCTGGATGCCACAAGAAGTTTTTTCTTAAGTTTTAAAGTACAGCTTTGGAAATAATAAGGGGATATAGGCAAATATTGGAATATAAAAATACTATAGTAAATTGCTTTTGTATCTAAGTGATTAATAGTATATGTCATGAGGGTAGTTTTAGCTCACTTAAACTTAGCCATCTCATCAACTGGTTTATTAATAATCGATTTTTCCAGAGTAAGTACTCTTTGATTTAGGAAGATAAAATAGGTACATTTCCTGTTCGTTCCTTTATATTTACCAAATAGAGTGTTAATTTTATTAGTACTAATTTTCATGTAAAAGCAAGAACCAGGACTTTTGTTGCAATTATCTATGTACTAGTTTTATTTTTTTTATTTTTGTTTTATTTTACTGAGTATTGTATTTTTTACTGTGTATTTTCAAGCAGTGTTGCCTTGTTTTTGTTTAGGGTGCTGGCCAAGATAAACTTGGAATCTATGTCAAGTCTGTTGTAAAAGGAGGTGCTGCTGATGGGGTTAGTGTCATTTTTAAAGATGTAAGTTTTCAGTATGTCCTAGTCAGCAAATGACCTGCTATGACCCACTGGTATGTGTTGTTATAAAACACCATGTAGACTGTTTGCTGAAAAAACAAATGTGAGCTTCCTTGCCATTGACTTTCCTCTTCCTCCTCTTGCCCTTGGCTGTCCCCACCGCCCAAAACACATGCCTTTTGGGTGTGCACAGGATGGACGCCTGGCTGCAGGAGACCAGCTCCTCAGTGTGGACGGACGAAGTCTGGTAGGACTCTCTCAAGAAAGGTATCATTTATGTATTTGTTTAAAGCTGCATATTAATGTGTTTAGGGATGTTTTACGTTTGGAATTAGAAGACAAAAAATAATGCTAAAAAGCTGTGCCCTTACTCTTCACCTTTTTAAATGTAAACCAGTGTATATGACACCTCATTTGTTAGCAGATTATAAATATGTATTTTGGTTTGGAGCAGTTTCTTTGAAGCTTAAAAAAAACATACTCTTGGCACGTCCTGGGAATGTCTGAGTATCATCTTACCGTTCTTAATATGACAATAGGAGATGCGTGCTTGGTTAATCTTTAAAGGAAGGGAATGGGCAGTAGGTATCTGTCTGAAGGTCAGAACTGTTACTCAAAATAGCCGTCGGTTGCTCTGGTCACAGGCTGTCGTCGTGACATTTTCTTTATGTTTGTGCTACTCTCCTTTTCCTAGGGCGGCAGAACTCATGACAAGAACAAGTTCTGTGGTAACACTAGAAGTGGCAAAGCAGGGAGCAATTTATCACGGCCTCGCCACCCTGCTCAATCAGCCGTCCCCAATGATGCAAAGAAGTAAGAGCTCATTGTGGAGAATCGCATGCCGTCTCTTCCTTTGACCGCTGCCAGTAATAGCTGGCTTGTATTGATCACTTACCGCGTGCCAGGCATTTTACTGTCCTGACCTTATCTTCGTAGCCACAAAAACCCTAGACTAGGTGCTACTGCTTTCACCATCCCAGCTGGGGATGCAGGCACTTCGGCAAGATGCCCGGGATAAGTAGCCAAGGGCAGCGTTCAGTGTCTGACCACGTGGTGATGCACTATCTTCCCGCCCTCCCGGAACCCCCATGGGACTGGCTGGCTGCTGGAGGGTTTCCGTCCATCCTGCACTAGGCACTTAGTCGTAGTCAGCGGGTGATGCGGGGTAGAAAGTCTTCAAAGAACAAGCAGGATTCTCTACTGAAACAACGTATATGAGTGTGTGTATGAATAGTATATTCAGTCCTGTGTGTGCAGGACATGGTTATCCTGTTACATGTAGTTCACTTTAAATTAAAAGCTCAGTTATTCGGATGAAGTAACCTGTTGGTGGGAACCATGATTTTGTACCTACGTCAAAAATCTCAGAATAAAACCAATATAAATTTAAGGCTTTTTAAAAAGGATTAGTTCAGAAATCACAGAGGAAAACCCATTAGGACTCACATTATCTTTTTAAATCATTATATACTTTGCATTTACTTTGTTAACTTTGTGCACAGCCGCTCGGTCTGGCCTTGGCGGAGTTCCCTTCTTCATCAGTCAGTGATCCGGGAGCTTCCACCAAGTCCAGGACCTGAAGTCGACCTAAGGGTAACACAGCGACAGCAACCAAAGCTTCTGAGAACCTGGGCCTGCTGTTTACTGGAATAAACTGCGTATCTTCACACAACCATGTGTTGTAGTATAGACCTCAACTCAGCATATTTCTCACTTTTTTCAGGACGGTACCATATTGGTGGTCTGATGTCACAGCTTAGGGTCATTTCCGAGAAGCAAACCAGACCATGAGTTAGAAGTCAGAGGGAAGCTGTTAGAACAGAGAACACTGCGCACAGGGAGACGTGGAAGCCAGAAGTAGAGCGTGGACAGTCAGGCCAGCTGATGGCAGTGCCGGCTACTAAAAGGAGGAGTGTGTTTTAGAAAGTGAGGGAAGTATATCTTTTAAAAAGTTACTTTAGAAGTAGGCTTGTGACTTAACAGGTGGAGCTTATGAGAAAAGAAGGTTGGAAAGAGCACCTTTTCCCATCAGTGCCAGTTACGTGTTGCTTTTAAGGTTCTCGAGAAAGGTTTTACTCTTAGATTAAAAAAACTGCCTTATTTCTTCGCTAAAAATAAGGTCTTACAAAATTTTAAATATTTATAGATTCATCTCTCTTTAAAGACTAAATAGGGTGTTTAAAATCTTGAATAAATGAGGAGAGCCTGAATGCACTTTGATTTCAGTTTCAGATCGTCGTGGCTCAGGTAAACCCCGACCAAAGAGTGAAGGTTTTGAGCTCTACAATAATTCAGCTCCAAACGGGTCACCTGAGAGCCCTCAGCTGCCTTGGGCAGAATACAGCGAACCTAAGAAATTGCCAGGTGACGACAGACTGATGAAGAACCGGGCTGATCACCGCTCCAGCCCCAACGTGGCAAGTAAGAAGGGTCACTGTGCTTGTCCTTCCCTGGCCTGGACATGCTCAGTCACCGTCAGTGTTGGGGGGACACCCCGTGCTTGCTTAGTTATCAAAGCAGTAGGATTACCTGCCTATCCTGGCTAACAGAAATGTGCTTTTTTGTGAGAGATATCAAAAGTAATGTTCTTCCAATAGAAAATGAAAACGAGGTTAGAACACTTGGATTCAGTGGATGCTCTAGACGAGCCATTGATCCTGTCGCTAGCAGGAGTTGGCAGGCTGCCAGCAGGATCTCAGATGGTTTTTATACTTTTAAAGGGTTGTTAACAAGAAGAAGAATCAATAGAAGGATATACAACACATACAAAGTTTGCAGCACCTAAAATATTTATTGTCTGTCCCGTTGCCAGAAATGTTTGCCAGTCCCTGGTCTGTCGATGAAGCTTGGTAGCTCTGGGCTCTGATTATTCAGGAGAGAGGAGAGGGTGTGATGAGCCCTGATCTGTCCCGTGGCCTCCAGTGGTCTCTGCTGACTCCTCACTGGCAGTTTGAAGATGCGGGACACATGGTCACTGCCCTTAAAGAGCTTTTGTCACGTGACATGGAATAAACATTGTGATACTTGAAAAAAAAAAAACAAAACCTTGCTTTTCACTGTCTCTTTCCAACAGATCAGCCTCCTAGCCCTGGAGGGAAGAGTGCATATGCCCCCGGAACAACAGCTAAGATAACGTCTGTCTCCACCGGGAACCTCTGCACTGAGGTGTGAGAGTGAAGCGAACATCCTCACTACAGCCAAAACTCAGGCCTCCCGCAGAATCCCTAAACTGTCTCCTCGTGCATTTCTTCTGCACATCAGCAGTGTTTAGAATTCCTGGGGGCTTCTTCATTTTTAACATAATAAGGAAATTAGCTTTAAGTTAAGAAGTCAGGGCAAAATAAAAGGTTTTTCATTATTCTCCGTATAGGATCAAACACTTTTAATTTTTAACACAGTTTTAAATGTATCTACTATATTTTAAAACAGATCTTTGGAAATTAAATTAGTTTATGTACAAATTGCCAAAAGCTCACTTTTCTTTCTTCTTCCCATTTTACAGGAACAGACCCCTCCACCGAGACCTGAGGCCTACCCCATCCCCACTCAGACGTACACCAGAGAGTATTTCACCTTCCCAGCTTCCAAATCCCAGGACCGGATGGCTCCTCCTCAGAACCAGTGGCCAAATTACGAGGAGAAGCCACACATGCACGCAGACAGTAATCATTCCAGTATTGCAATTCAGGTTAGAGAGAAGGAGTCCATGAACATTCGCAGCCGTCAAAGATAAACCAGTTTGACAGGATAAAATCTGGATGATTTCAGAGATACAGTCGTTATTCTCTGTAGGACAGCACTGAGACTGATACCTTTTTTTTTCTTTCCTGGTTTCCTGGTTAACTGAGGAAGAGTGGATAGGAAGGAATACTAAATATGGAAAAGGAATGCTTTATTCCCTTGATATTTGATTAGTGAAGGGTTAGTAATATTACACCTTCATTACAGTTTGTGAGGCAGGATTCCTGATTCAAGGAGTGAGAAATGAGTGATGTGTGTTTTTCTTTGCACCAGAAGCTGTCCGGGCACTGGGATGCAGACATAACCGTGGTCCCCGCCAGTAAAACTAATGATGTGGTTAAGAAATGAGACAGATAAAGTCAGTATAGTGTAGTAAGTCCTGCTGGAGATCTGGGTCCCCACTGAGAGGCAGAGCTACCTTTCAGTCTCGGTGTGACTAGCACCCGGGCTCCCGCATTACATTACAGCTCTCTGAACAGAAGAGCTTTTCAGACCAAGTGAGAAGGCACAGAGATGTGCCGCTGAGCAGGAACCAGGCTCGGGGCAGGGGGCAGCGGCAGGCCTTTGCAGCCTGGAACCATACAGCAAGGGCTTGAAGTGATAAGCTGCAGAATTGGGGTTTTATCCAAGTTAGAGAGGGGAGCATCATTCTTGAGTCATTGAGCTGGGGAACATTATCAGATGTGTTTTTCTGTTTGGAAAGATAACGTTGCATTGTGGAAGACTGGGAGAAGAAATCAAACGTATGCGTAGAGATAGGCACAGTCTAGGATATGTAACAAATACGGATCCTAGATAGTGAATTCTGGATGTGGTGCTTTAGTTGAGGTGGTCGGAGGAGCCCAGGGATGGAGGCGCAGCTGAACTGAGCCGGGAAGGCCGGGAGAACAGAGGAGGGCTCACAGGCACGGGGAATGGCACGAGTAGCCGTGAGGAAGAGCCACATTCTCTGAGGGCAAGAAATTATCCTGAGGTCACAGATGTTGTCATCTTGTCCATGGGGCCCTCCTGCCTGTTTCCTAGGGAGGCCTGAGCACTCCCCCCCACCCCCCAAAATCTGTCTGGGACCATTGGATGTCTGGCTGGAGCTGGCAGAGAAGGTCTTCCTCCAGATTTCTCTTTCACAGTGAAGTACTTGTGTGCCCTGCTTCCTCTAGCGTATTTTGTTAGCCCTTAGGAAAATCTCCTTCCCCTGGGTCATGAGCATCTACACGTCTTCTCCTGTTTGACGGGAATACCATTATTAAGCCTCTGGGTTCATAGTGTTATGTCTGCTGTTTGCTTCTGCCTCACCTCAGAGATAAATGAGCTAGAAGGGGAAGTCAGGATGCTGTGAGAGGTCAGCGTGTCGATGGGTTACTTATGTGGATCTTGACATGACTGAGCCTCAGGGTAGGACTTAGCAGGGGAGACATGGAGAAATGCAACAAGGGCACCAGGGGGCTCGTGAAGTCCGGAAGAGCAGGGCAGTGATCCAGGAGGCTCGGTGTGGCAGCAGAAGGAGAAGCTGGTGGAGAGTCTGAGGCGGGACCTCTGACATCTTGTATTTTAATAAAAGTATCTGTTCCTACAAATAGTAGGAAATTGAATGATACTGTTGACTTGAGCAACATCGGTTGAACTGCTCATGTCCACTTTTATGCCCATGTTTTTCAATACAGTGCTGTAAATGTATGTTCTCATCCTGATGGTTTTCTTAATGATGCCTTCTCTTCTGTAGTTGAGTGTATTGTAAGAATACAGTGTATAATAAGACATACCAAATACTTGGTGATCAACTGTTGATGTTTCCCGTAAGGCTTCCAGTCAGCAGTAGGCTGTTAGTAGTTAAGTTTTGGGGAGTCAGAAGTTGCGTGTGGAGTTTTGACCACCCAGGGTTCGGTGCCCCTAACCCCCGCCTTGTTCGAGGGCCTGGACTCGGCCCAGCGAGCAGGAAACTGTTTCTGTGGGCACAGTACAGCTATAGCGAAACATGGGCAGTAAGTAAGTACTCCATTCTTCTCTCAGGCTGCTGTTTTCTTCAAGTGCTAGTTCATTTTTTTGTTGTTGGCTTATTTTTTAAGGAAAGGAAACAGCTTATTTTCCAGATTTGCATCTTCATTTTCTATTTTGCATATTAAAAGGATAGGAAAAAAAATGTTTGACATCATAGTGAATCCATTTCTGTCAGTTGAAACAATTTTTAGACATGCCATTGTGCAGAGACTAGCCCTTTGGAAGAGTGTTCATTTTGGTCTCTTCCACACATACACACTGTTTTGTACCTTTCTGAGACGGGGACAGAGACACCCGGATGCCTGGCTCGTCCTGGCGTGTGCCCAGCTCTGTTGGAGTGTTCCCAAAGTCAGTCGTCAGCTGGTGGAACCATGGCTGATGTGGTTAAGATTGGATCATGACTCTTACTCAGAATTTTACTACGGGGGAGTAAATCTTGTTGCTCTTCATGTAATTACACTAAACACATTCATCCTTTCAAAGTCAGTTGCGGGAGGAACCCCTTTGCAGATGCGTGCGAGGGCCCACGGACGACTGGGGAGGGCCACGCTTGTCCATGAAGTACCTGCATGTGTATGCCTTGTATGTTTGCCAGTGATGCAGATGGGAAGTACAGCTCCTTCCTGTTTGTAACAGATAAATTCCCTGGGAAAGCACTGACCCCACCCCCACCCCCGGACATGGTGCCCCCTCCCCCCCCCCCAATCATGCGTCCCGCAGAGCTACAGAGCTGGACGGTCTCAACCTCTGTTCGGCACTCTCTTAACAATTTCCCCACAATGTTTTCTCCCCAAAGATAAAACATTTACGCGTTTTAGTAATTTTTTTCTAAGCGGCTGAAATAGAACAGTTTTCCTTTTTCCTTTTTCCAGCGTGTTACCCGTTCCCAAGAGGAACTTCGGGAGGATAAAGCTTACCAGGTAGAGCGGCATCGGATCGAGGCAGTCTTGGATCACAAGTCTGATAGTGATATGTGGATCCATCAGAGCTCCTCTGTGGGCTCCAGCACCTCCAGCCAAGAGCACCTGGACCACTCCTCCAAGTCAGGCACCCCCGCGTCCACTCTGACCAAAAGTGGCCCTGGGCGCTGGAAGACGCCAGCCGCCGTGCAGCCCGTGACGGTGGCCGTCTCCCAGCCTGTGCAGACAGACCTGCCCCCGCCACCCCCGCCGCCCCCCACGCACTACGCTGGAGACTTCGACGGAATGCCCATGGACTTGCCTCTCCCTCCACCTCCTGCCGGCCAGACCGGACCTGCATCTGCTCAGGCAGCGGCTGCAGAGCGGAGGAAGCGGGAGGAGCACCAGCGGTGGTATGAGAAGGAGAAGGCCCGTCTAGAAGAGGAGCGAGACAGGAAGCGCAGGGAGCAGGAGCGGAAGCTGGGCCAGATGCGCTCCCAGTCCCTGAACCCGGCCCCGTTTTCTCCTGTGACCGTCCCACACGTGAAGCCAGAAAAACCTTCTACGCTCCAGAGGCCCCAAGAGACGGTCATTCGGGAGCTGCAGCCCCAGCAGCAGCCCCGCACGATCGAGCGCAGAGACCTGCAGTACATTACAGTCAGCCAAGAGGAGCTGTCGTCCGGAGACAGTCTGTCCCCAGACCCATGGAAGCGGGATGCCCGGGAGAAGCTGGAGAAGCAACAGCAGATGCACATTGTGGATATGTTGAGCAGGGAGATCCAAGAGCTCCAGAACAAGCCTGAGCGCAGTGCAGAGGAGAACGACCGTCTGCGGAAACTCATGCTGGAATGGCAGTTCCAGAAGAGACTCCAGGAGTCCAAACAGAAGGACGAGGATGACGAGGAAGAGGAGGACGATGACGTGGATACCATGCTGATCATGCAGCGCCTCGAGGCTGAGCGGAGAGCAAGGGTAAAGGGGAGAAGTGCTGTGGGCGTGCGTACCTGTGCGTGTCGCTCGTGGGGGTGGCCACACCCAGGCTCCCGGAGGGTTGGCAAGGGCCCTGGCCTGTCGCATGTTACTGTACCTACCGCTGCTAGCTGGCGTCCTGCAGGGTGAGCCAGGGTTAGAGGCTTAGATGTTGAAAAGTAAATACCATCCACATGGAACTTTGCTGTTTTAATTAGCAAACTCGTAGTTGTCCTTCTCACTAACACTTCAGTTGAGAAAACAAGTTAATAACCACTAATTTGTTAGTAACCAGTAATAATCCTCATCAGGGGTTGGCAAAACTTTTTCTCAAATGGCCAGAAAGTGAGTATCGGAGGCTGCGTGGGCCGTACGGGCTGTTTTAATGGCGCAGCTCCGTGGTCAAACGACACGAGCCGCCTTAGACGGTACCCGAGCAGCGAGGGTGCGCCCCGAGACGTCCTTCACAGGTGGCAGGACGTCTGCTGACCCCTGGTCTCGATGATCAGCGAGGGATGGTGGGTAACAAAGAAGACTTGAGAACTTCAGAGTTACGGGTTTAATGTCATTACCAGAAAGAGCACTCTGCAGAGTGCTCATTTGGTTGATGAGGCAGATACTTACCAAATTAAACAACTATATTTCAGTGGTGTAAGTATAAAGATTACTGAGAATTTAGGATTTTATTCCTATTTCTCCATTTGATAAAAGTAACTTATTCCTTTGTATCAAAATAAGTGAAATTTATGTTAGTTGAATACGATAGATCATTAAAGTGCCAAATTTAAGATTCTTTGTTACCCTGTCAAGAGAACTGTTGAGGGAGAGGCATTTGACTGTGACATGTCAGTGAGTTCTCTACAGTGCAGTGTTCTGGGGAAAGACAGCCTGGAGCATGACTTCTGGATTTTGTTTCTAATTGCAACTTTAATTTCATGCTGTCTGTACTAGAGATCTAAACAAATTAACTGTTAGGTCAGACATTTCAGTCTTTCCACATTGTGATGCAGCTTAATCTTAGATAATTATTAGTACATAAAGCCAACAGTCTGATCCCTTTTCGAGTTTGCCCTGTGAATTATTTTCCTGAAACATGTCACACGCTTATTATTATGCACATATTCTCAGCAAAAGGTATATGGAACTTGGCCACAAATTCAGCTGGAACACTGAGGTATCTTAAACAAAGGCCCAAATCTTAACTGTGACATGATTTTATTAGTATTATCCGAGTCACCAGGAATAAACGTCCTTAAAAACAGCTCTGCTTACCATCAGTATTGTTATATTTTGAAAGAGCAACTGGTGGATCAGTAACGGGTCACTTACAGGGTTAGGATTCTTTGCGCAGTTTCCACTCTGGGGTCAGGCCCCCAGGCCCCCGTGTACCCGGTGGCTGAGTGCTCGGTGCAGGGTCCTCTGCTTTGGCCCGTGTCCCTAGTGACAAGCAGGTCGTCCCAGGAGCTGCGTGTGCTCCCGGCCTCAGATCTCTCACCCCCAAAACAGGAGAGCGTGCCATTCGCTGCCGTCCGCGCTGAGTGTGAAGCTGAGGTCTCTGGTAAGTCAGCAGACATCATGAACCTCCGTTGTGGTAACTGCGTCCCAGAGTGGGACGTTAGCATCTGCATTGTGACATGGCTGCATTTATTCTTTACAGTGGATTTTTATTAAGGGTCTGTCAGGTTTTCCAGGTTGTTCAAACAGTGACTATTTCAAAGCCTTTTAGTATGAATTATGACATTTGGAAAGTTTTTTATGATAATTTAGTTAGAAAAGTATCTGTGTATTTATCACTAATCATATTTAAGATTAATATCTTAGTCTCCCAAGTAATGAGCTCAGGGAAATTACACGTTTTAAAGTTTCTTCCATGTATCTTAAAAACGAAACTCAAGTGTTTAATACGTTTGTGGACCTTTTCCTATTTCTGAGTTTGGGAAGCCGGTCTGTAGCGTTTACTGTTCTTGTTGGGTTGTCCTTCAGACGCAGATGAAATGCGGGAGCAGCCGACGCGCCGGTGGTGGTGGAATACAGGTCTAAACTTGACTTTTTTTCACACTTCATCTTTCTTTTTTTTCCTCTCTGTTACCTGCAGCAGACTGCTCTGCCAGCAATCTCTGTTCTAGATTTGGTATGTTCTCATTTCTTTCCTTTGGTACTTTTTTCCTGTCTTGATTTTCTTTTTTTCTCTCAGTGGTGGTGGTTTTGTGTTTCTAGTAGACCAGTTCCTAGGGGTGTCCTAGTGCAGGATAGTTCGTGCCTCTCAAGAAGCATGCCTGCAGTGTGTTTAGATTTAGTTCCTCTTTGCTTTTCCCCCTTAATTTTAAGTGTTACTGTTTGTTTATGGTTTTTGACCTTTCCTCAGTCATAAAGTTGATTCTGTGTATTCTTACGTAGTCATAAACACATGAGCAAATGAAAGAACTTTTGCAATGACTAATCTATTTCATTATTATTACCTTGGTAATAGATTTTGAATAATCAACTATTAGAAACTCAATTGAATTGGTATTCACATTGTTTTGCCAATTAAGATGTAACTGTCCAGGATATTACTGTTTATTGGTAGAATAAGAAAGCTTTTCGGTAAACATTTGTTCCTTGTTTTCTTTAATAATTTCGCATGGACTTCAGTTTAGTTCATCAGCCGTACCAGTTTACCGTCTGCCGAAAAATGCCGGGGTCCTTTTCTGTTGCAACTTCGGTGGGTTTGACGTCAGTAGTGGGAAATATGGTGCTATTACCTGTGTCACTGGCCAGAGGATTACAGACTGGCTGATGTATCTGTTGTATTAACGAGGTCATTTTTTGTTAGTCAGCTTCTGAATGCCTATGGGCAGCATCAGACACCAGGACTGTGGACAGTCCCTGAGTCCAGGTCTGACTTTGCCGGCCTTTTCAGCAAACAACAGCCCTTTTTCTTCCGCCTTTAAGCAGTGTGGCGACACTGTCGCTCCAGGGAGAAGCCTCTCGTGCACGCAGCTCCTTGACGGCCGAAGGGCAGATTATTTTAGCTTTCCTTTTTTTTTTTTAAATAGGAGACAAAGATAAAATATGTATGTTCTCTCCATGCTCTGTGTGGTAAGGTGTACCTATGGCAGGGGGTTTCTCTGTGTCAGGTGCTTATTCCGCACACGCTCCTGGGGGGCTCTGTTACCCCCGGGTGCTGACCCGACGCACTGGCTGGCTGCTGTAAGGGGTTCCCCAGCTCTGTGGGCCCGGCCAGAACCCACAACGCAGATGACGTGACAGGTGAATGATACCTAAGGAGAAAGGATTACACGAAGATTTGTATTTTAAAGACCCAGTTCAGTTTTTATTTCTTTAAAAGGTAATTATTTTGAGTATTAATACTGACTTTTTAACCACCACATTTTTGAGCATTTCTTAGCCTGATTCCCCAGCGAATATTAATGTTATTAGCAGCAGTGTCAGTATCTAGAGAACCCTTTTGTCAGAATGGGCAGGGTGTGTGGAGGGACCTCCGCTGCTAGGTGTCAGTCCTCTCCCTGGGATGAAGGGCGGTGGCGGGTGTGACCGGATGGGTAGGCAGCGCATGCCGTGCAGTTTTTACAGTGTGCCCTTCGTACGGAACGTCACGGGATGTTTGTGGGGATGACTGGGCTCATCCGCTGACTCAGATGACCTGACAGCTCAAGGGGAAAATTCTTCTTCCTTGGGGTAGTGCCAGCGAAGGGACGTTTTCAAGGATTTCGGTGGCTCTCCTGTTTTCCTCCAGGCTAGATCTGCCCTCGTCCCCTGCCCTCCTGTCTGGTCTTGATGTGGGACGGTAGGAATTGGGCAGACCCGAGCGACCTGGGCATAGAAGGGGCTGGACTGAAAGCAAGAGTCATTTGGAAACCAGTTGCAAGGTACCCTTTCGGAGAGGCGGGCTGCTCACTGCCTCTTCACACGGGAGTGCCTGGCTGCAGGAGCGGGCAGTGGGAGCCGAACGATGGGCCGTCCTCCCAGCAATGAGGAGGAGAGTGTGTGCGTAGCCAAACCAACTTGCCCATGTTGCCGAGTAGAACACAAAATTCACATGCTTGTGTCAGGTATGACCGTTGCGCAAAGAGAACTCTGGGTGCACATCGTGGGCCCTTTGAGCCGCACGGCCTCCTTGGGGGTAACTTCATGTCTCTGCCGCTGTTGGAGCAGCTAAGCTGTAGGTCCTGCAGCTCCTGGCAGAGTTGTCCTTCTCCGTACCCCGCAAAGGCAGAAGCACGGGCCGCGCCCAGGGAAAGGGAGCTCGCCCACTGATGGAGTGCCCGACACTGTGCGGACGGCTCTGCTAAGGACGGCGCCCTGTCCTCAACGCCCCCAGCGTGGGGCTGCCAGCTAGCTGAGGACTTGCTCTGGACCCGAGTCGGGCCAGCGCCCAGCGGTAGGAAGGGGCCTGATCATAGTGGTTCCTCATGGGTGGGTATTAAAATTTTTAGGGTGTTTTTAATGGGTGGGAACATAGGCAGAAAAGTCTTGCCCAAGTTCTTAAGGACAATCTGCTCAACAGACTTTTAGTGATATTTTCAGTGAAAATGTCAAAAAGTAAGGGACACCTTGGTCCTCTTTTGTATTCCGATTATCTCGGTGTGATTGTCTCCCTTAATGGGGCTTTTACTATAAATTTAAGATACAGTTTAGGGTCTTGTGGTATAAAATCATAAACACATAGATTTCAACATATTTTTTTTTTTTTTTACCTGAAAATGTCTTTTTTAGAAATGGGGACCACCAATGTAGCAAAACTGGTTCAGGCTTAGAGGACTGGCTTTTGAAATCCCAGCTTAAGTTCTTGGTTTAGAATAGCTTTAGTCTGGGCTGCCTTGTGTTCATTCTGTAAGAATTCTCCTTCCGTCTACTCAGATCTGTTCCCCTGAATGTAACTTCCTACCAGACGGCTTTGATACGTGTCACTTGGCATTCCTTTCCTGTAAAACAGTGAGCTCATCTCTATTCATTTAACTCCAGTGTTAACATAGTTTGTCATCGGATCTCAGCCATGAAATTTGTAACAAGTTGAGCTGCCCTTTAACTGGTCATGACTGTCAGCTCAGTGTACCGTTCTGAGCTGTTATTTGGAGTAAATTAAGCGATTGGATTCTCTTTTCTGTCCTTAATGGTTTTGGGGGAGGAGGGTAGAGTAAAGCAGCGTACATATGAAGAACAAAACAGTCTGAGTTTTGAACAAAACAGATGAGAGGACATGAAGCAGCTTACCCCTGCGGTGGAGAGAGGCTGCCCTGGTCCTGACTGCACCAGCTCATTGGTCGACTTTAAAAACAGGCACTAATGAACCCAACCCAAGAGGCGTCTCCTTGCTTACCCCGTCCAGATTTAGAAGAATGAAGGCTTTTAAGAGAAAGAGTCTGTTTACCGATTCGTAAGGTGTAGCATTCTATACCTGTAATTATGAGAATTATAACTGTTCTCATTTCTTAAAATCATACTCCTCTTTAATTTAAAAGAACGAGTGGGCTGTTTCAGTGGATACGGGTTTTCTTGCTCAGACTTGTTTTCAATTAGGTCTAGAAAGTATAACATGATGAATTAGTTTGTGCTTTATTGGGTAACAAAAACTTCTTTCACTAATGCAGTTTTACATTCTTCCATAAGTTACTCTTCTGTAGAATATTTACTGTTCTCAGTGGCTGTTCATTTTGACTGTTTCTCATAACTTGGACTGATGACTCTAACATGCTTGATCAGTCTTCACGCTGCTGGCTGTGAGCCCTCCATGGGGGACTCTCCCCAGGGCAGGACGCTGGACAGTTCTTCCTTGGTGCTGGGGTTCTCAGGTAGCAGCACCTGCCCCTGCTCCAGAAGCCACCCTGCCCTCCCTCCTGGCCTATTTCTAGACTGTACTGAAAGAGGAAGTTAAGTAAATTTGTCTTCTTGACGAGGCAGTTTTCATTTTTTCCTAAGGTGTCTTAATATTGCTTGCTGACATGAAAAAGTCTAGTGACGCAAGTTAATTTGTTACTTTTTCCACCAGATGCAGTGTGAAGTCGTTACATTTTTGTTTAAAAAAACAAACATAAATGCAATTTAAGTCCAGTTTCTATTTTTTGCTATGAACAGTTTATACAATAACTAGTAATTCTGTAAATACTGAAACATACCATCAGGGATTTTATGTAAGGGATTCCTGCAGTGGTTTTAGCAGTTAAACGAGGTGGCGTTGAGTTACATTTTCATTTTTTAAAGTTTGAATCCACTGCTCTTGATGCCGAGGGTGGTGCAGGGCTGTGGGCGCTGCTATAGGCCGGCTCTGTCACAGACGACAGAAACGGAGAAGCAAGCTTCCAGAGTTACCTTTATCCTGGCCTGTAACAGCAGAAGGGCATTCTCTGTTCTGTTCTGGTCAAAGGTGCCCTGAAGTCGTAGTACTTAGAGAAATCTGACCAGGAGGATAAAGGAGCCGGAAACCAAAACAGGCTACGTCGTAGATTTTTGAAGATATCCTGAAGCATTTGGATGGTGTGAAGGAAAGATAATAAATTTGTTTTGTGTTGTTTCAAAAAGGCAAAACCTGAATGATGAAAAATAGAAAGCAAACCATCAGGTGATGAATTTTAGACCCACAGAAGAACTTTTTGACTAGTAGTTACCTGAAAATAGAATACCTTGTCTCGGGGAGGTAGGCAGTAGGTTCCCAGACACCAGAGTTATTCAGACAGAGTGGATAATTACTTGGCAGAGATGTAGCAGGAGGGAGGTAGAGTAAGGTTCCTTCCAGATTTTAGGTTCAGATTCTCTGACTCAGTTTGGGGGTATTCCCGGGCTGAGAAGGAATTCTCAAAGTCCAGGATGGGGTCCAGAGAGAGCGGATGGCCACGGGCCGGCGTGCTGGAAGCTTGGTGCCCAGGCAGAGGCGGGCCGCTCTGCACGGGGCTCTCCGCAGACCCACGTCCCGCTGCAGTCGTGAGCTGGGGCCTGCACCCCGCCCCGGGGAGGCCAGCATCTGCGTGCCACAGCTCACAGGAGCGCGGCCAGGAAACGCAGGGGGTTGAGTGGGTTCCAGAGTTCCATCAGTTGAGGGTTTTGTCTGTTGCTGGAGTCTGCTGATTTACAGGAGCTGGTTAAACTTCTATTTATTCTAATACAAGAATGATGCTTGCTTAATGTGTGAATGCATGAGACAGAGTCCTCCTTCTTTGAGCCACAGTTAATGGGGAAATGAACGGACCTGTGGGGACCCTGCTTTTAGGTAACTTATTTTTGAACTACAGAGCTCTAAGGTGTGTGTGTTTTACTGTCTTTCAACAGTGCTTCTAACCTGGTATCTTGTATTTGACTGTGTGTGTGTGCCTGTGTCCGCATGTGCCCGGTACGCCTCGTGCAGGTGGGTGAGCAGAGCAGAGCTTCAAGGCACTGTGTTGTTAGTTACAGGATGAGGAGCGGAGGCGTCAGCAGCAGCTGGAGGAGATGCGCAGGCGGGAAGCAGAAGACCGCGCCAGGCAGGAAGAGGAGCGGCGCCGCCAGGACGAGGAGAGAGCGAAGCGAGATGCTGAAGAAAAGGTTATGGTCCTCTAGGGGCAGCTAGCACTTTACCAGATTAGCCTGAACCCGTCGATGGGCTGGGGAAAGGGGCTAGACCTGACCTGTATCCTAAGATGTACAAGACAGAACAGGGCCTGGATCCCCACTTGTGTTATCGGACCCAACACTTGAGCCCGACCTGGCCGACCTACCTCCCTTCCGAACTGTGTCCAGACTCTCTCACCCTCTGAGTCTTGTCTCTCTCCTACTTTGGAACTCGTAGGCCTGGTTATGATGAGTGAGCCTCTTCGCAGCCCGCCCGTGTACTCCGGGCTCTTCCTTTCCTGGACGTGGTCCAGCTGGTTACTCTGAGGGGGATGCTTGTGCGCTAGGCGGGCAGAGGGAGTGCGAGCCGTGGGAGGCGCCAGGAACGTAGTAACACAGTCCGTTCACACTCCGCACTTGAGATTGTTCACTGACATCACTCACTGCTGGTTGATGGCTTATGAAAAACACGATTCAAGGAGAATTCAACTAGGATCTAATCTGATAAGTATCCTGAGTTACTACTTGGTTTCCATACGTGGATTTCTTTTTTTTATGAAAGTACTCTTTTAAGTTGAATTTTAAAATGACAACTGATTTGCCCTATTCTGCCTGTGCCCTGTGGCCTCCTGCTGTGTGTGCCGGCCCGGGCCCTCCCGCAGGGCTTGCCCGTGCTGGATGCGGCCCGGGAGAAGCGCATCTCCTCTGCTGCTTCCCTTCCGTGAAGGCAGAGGCCGGGAGCACCACAGCTGCTGATGGGGAGAAGTTCAGTTCTTATTCATCACTCCTTCTTTGATAGTCCAGTGAACTGTATTCATAGAGCACCCTCCTCCTCCCCCAAAAACAGAACTTTAAGGAAGCTTTCGTAGCAATAGAATCTATGCGGATATATAACAAATGAAAAGCAAGATGACAGAAACGATGTGACTCATTTCAATGAAAGTAGAGTAAATAACGCTAGCACACGAACCTGTATGGAAATTAGCGACTTCTGCGTCTTCTAGACCTTCACCGTTCCTTAAAGTTGTCATGTTATCTCCAAAAGCTGTGTCCCAGTAGATTTGCAGTTTTCTGAAGGAGTCTGAGCTTTCAGGGTTAGGTCTCCCTCGACTCTTTACTTTGTGTCATGATGAGTCAGATTCAAAATCAGTTTTCTGAAACGTGAGCCGTGTGGGTCCTCCGTTGGGGTGCGTGTTGTCTTGCTGTTCCTTGGCCGTGTGCAGCCTCTGCCTGCCCGGGAACGGCCCTGCCGTGGGAGCAGCGCGCCTTCTGTGGGGACGCTCGGGCACTACTCGGGTTTTCCAGCGTGTGTGCTCACAACTCACGATTTTGTCAAATTCGCTTGTGTCTTAGGAACTGCTTTCTAGAATTGAGTGCTCACTGTAAAAAGAAGCCGAATAACCTATTTTTTATACAGAATGTCCACAGTTGTTGGGCTTGCTTTGTTATAGAAAATGTGCCATTCATTTGTGGTAGAATAATTGCGGGGTCATGTACTTGTATCTGCTCTCCATGTAACCAAAGGGTATTTTGGTTTCCTCCTAAAATGTTCTCCATGTCACACTAAGATTCCTGACAACTTGATGTAAAGGCCACAGGGGTCATTCTGAATTGGATTCCCCAACCCCAAGCAAACACTTACTTTGTGTAGAAAATAAGGTGCAAAATGTCTTTCCTTCAGGATGTCTCAACACAGAGTGAGAAAATCAAGTGAGGAGTCGGTGTAGGGCCATGCCTGGGGCCGGCACTGGTCCTTGCAGTTTCCTCCTTCAGAAGGGGAAGCGCTGAGCACTGTTGTCCGGTGCATGCGTGTCCAGAGGGAGCAGGGAGGAGACACGAGTGTACGCGGTAAAAGGGGGCCTCGAAACTTGTATCTTCGTGCCAGCGAGGGCCCCCAAATGAGTTTTCGTTTGCTTGAATGGATTGAGAATTCCCTCCGTTCTGCAGCACCACACACCCAGGTTGAGGCACGTCCTTCTGTCTGCTCTTGTAACCCCTTTCTTACACTCACTCTTCCCATGTGTTCTAGAACTTTTGTCACTCTTTAACAGAACTGTGCTGTTACCTTTTTTGATGTGAAAACAATTTCAACTCTGTCAACTGTAGTCTGTGCAGATGTACGTCGGAAGAAAATGTACAGTATGTGTCAAAATATATTTGAATATCGTGTTGCTGTTGTTATTAACTCCTGGCTCTCTAATTTTCTGTCTGTCAGGGAGTCTGTTAAGATTTGAACTATAAATTAAGAACTGTGGAAAGCATATTTGTTAGATTGTTCCCTTGGGAAAATGAGTAATTTTTTTTTTTTACAGTTGTTGGTTTCTGTTAACTTTCCTCTGAATAACTGGAAATTAACCAGGTGACTTAATCGTCCTTCTGGTCGAGGAAGGGGAAGGGCTGCTCTCTGGACTCCCGGGGTCAGTGAAAAAGCATGCGTGCCAGGTCGCTGTTCTTGCAAGTACCAGCTGTAGAAAGCCAGTTAGAGCCTGTTTGGGTTTCGTTTTGTCTTTAAACCGAGCAGGCGCAGGTAAGTTAATACTCTACAAGAGCAGGAGGAGAGAGAGAGACAAAGGAGCAGCAGGGAATTAAGGGTCTGGAGGGATAATTGAATGGGGACAGTGGTGTCGTAACGGGAAGCTGGAGCCTGCGAGGACCTAGAGCGCACTGGTTCGGTGCTTTGGAGCAGTTTTGTGCCAGAAACCCCACGATAGGATGAACGTGCCCGGGAGTCTCCAGACTGTCTCCAGGCGGATCTGGCCGTTTCTGTCGTAGACTGTTACGTTGAAACTTTGCTGTCCCCTGGACTCGTGATCAGTGTGGAGACGGGGGGCAGAGGGTAAAATGCGCCCTTTCGTGCCCCCAGAAGGCCCCTCCTGACTCTGACCTTTGCGCTTTTGTCTGTTCCGTGTGCAGAGGCGACAGGAAGAAGGGTATTACAGCCGCCTGGAAGCCGAGAGGCGCAGACAGCACGCAGAGGCCGAGCGCAGGTTGCTGGAACCGGAGGAGCCGGGTCTGTGCAGACCCCCGCTTCCGCGGGGCTACGAGCTCCCGTCCCCGTCCCCTCCGGCCGCCGCTCCTCCTCCCCCACCTCAGCGGACCGCCTCCTCCCTCCAGGCCCAGACCCTGTCCCCAGACTCTCTGTACACCGCCAGGCTCGTCTCGTACCACGAGGGGGAGGAGGAGGAGGAGGACTGCAGTCTGGCAGGTCAGGATAAGTGCTCTTGCACGAGGAAGCCCCACGGGCACTTTCTTCTTCCCACCGCCCTTAAGTCACAGCAGCCCCCCTGCCCGCCGCGCCCGGCCTCCGATGGCACCTTTCTCTCCAAACCATTGCAGCCACCCTCGGCCCCTGCCAACAGTACTGCTCCCAACACAGGCCAGCCCCCGCCCCCTCCAAAAAAACCAGGCTTCTACCAGCCCAGCCACTCGAAAGGTAGAGGTAAAATGTGGGATTGCAAATCAAGCCCTCTTTTATCTTCCTGATTGGAATCGGGACCCTGCACCCTGCTGCTCTGTGGGCCCCCTCAATCAGCACTCGCTTTGGAATTTGATTTCGCCTGATCACTAGTCTCAGTGTGGTGATCTCCCCCTACCTCCAATTGTCCTGTCTGTGCTGAGAGTCGTTTTGGCAACTACACCAGCTCCCCAGTTGCTTTCTACCTGCAGGGTTCTGTCCCTCGGACCTGCCAGCAGTGGCTGGCCCTCCGGGACCCCCCAGTCACTTGAAGTACTGTTGGTCTTGGCCTCCATTCTCTGCCTCTTTAAATAACTCTTACGTTTGGTTGAACACATGCTTTTTTCACACATCTTGGTGTCTGAAGATGAGAGTAAGACATTTTCCCAGCAGCGTCAGGGTCACATGCTAAGTTCTGTTCTCCAACATGAGTAGAACTTTCTGTTCTGGCTTACGCACCACATGGCAGTGGTTTACCAGATGACCCCTACTTTCCATGGTAGTTTGGGTGGAGTAGTTGGCGCTATGCTGAGTTGATGGTCCTGCTGTAATGTGAGCTGCCTCACGCCAGGGACATGGAACCCAGTCGTTGTGAAATGACTCCTTTTCCCTCTTGCTGGTTTCATTCCTTCCTGTTAACGGACGTTCTCCGCATGTCACAGTCCTGGTACCCAGACCCTGACAGGCACGCAGTTGCCTTGAGTTAATACGAACTCTGACGTGACGGTGGTCCTGCCCACAGGCGCAACCGCCATAACCAGTGTCCAAGACGGCACTGGAAGCGATGTTTACAATATTCAAACTCCAAGTTCCTCTTAAAATCTTAAATTAGAATGCTGGCGATAAACACTGTCAGATTTAGTGGTCTTCATGGGCACAAGGGTCTTCTAAAATGCTCCTGGTGCAATGCCCGGGACTCAGAATTCTAAAAGAAGATGAATGGTCAAAAACACGCGTGACCTTCGCTCTTCCAGAACAAATGAGTTCTGCCACGTTCTCTTCCCATCGGCGTCAGAGCTTTGATCCACTCCGAAGGCTCAGCGTATAATATTGAGACTGAGTCACTCAGAAGTCAAAATTAAATCTTTTTATAAAATATCTGTTGTTGGTGTCTAGAAAGACTTTCCTGGGACAATAGTAGTTTTTGAAGTGAGATGCCCTCAGTCTCCTTGCGTCACGTTACAAGCTGCAAGCTTGAGGTCTTGTGTGTCATGACACAGACGAGGTTTGCTAACGCGATGTTGGGCTGGGTTTTCATTTCTGACCACCTTGGCTTTCACTCATACCACTAACCCTATTTTATTTCACACTGAAAAGACCACATAGGAGCAGGTTATATCCTGCGTCTGATGGCTCGTGCCTCTTTGAAGACTTCCTTCGTAAAGCACAAAGCTGTCTGCACCAAATGCAGAGCATTTCTGACCTCCTCACTGCCATCCCATTAACACGGCTGCACCCCCGGGTTCAGCTCATGTTTCTTCTGTTGTGAGCACTCTCATGCTTCTGCGGGTGGGCTGGTTTCTTCCACTGGGTGCCTGAGGAGGAGGAAACGGGTACGAATTGGAATAAACTGTCTCATTCTAGCATAGCAAGGTATTTTTTTTTTTAAAAAAAAGGTTCTTTAACTGGAGATCTTTGAAAATTACTTGAAATGTGCAGTATTAATTCATATAGTCCACTGAAAGTATTTAATATTCTGATTAACTTTGAAGAATTGATTTTTACCAGTGGAAGAAGCAAGTATCATTCTTACAACAAAACTCAAAAGATACAACGCAACATTTTCTAAAACAGCGAAAATTTAGAATTAAAATAGGAAAAAATTCTACTCTGCGGATAATTGCTGTGGAGGCCTGCTCTGGGTTGCTCCACGTTGGAGATAGGGGTCTTTTTCATCTTTTGAGTCTTTGTGGAGGATGACTTCCCACATGGCGATCACGGGGACCCTGGCAAAGGACCGGAAATGATGCAGTGCCCCGAGGAGCCCCAGCCAGCCCTGCGCTGTGTCTCAGCCAAACAGCTAGGTCTGCACAGCATGTTCCTGCATCCAGAGAAGAAGCTAGAAATCATTTTTATGCTGCTGTCTAAAAAGGAAAATTCTACTGTTGAGATACTGTAGTGATTTTGTGGCCTGTCTAATCCAATACCCATGCTGTCAGCGTTTGCTGAGTATTTTGAGCATTTATTGCTCCAGCTTGTATCATTGTAAGCAAAACGCTCTTCAAAAAGCATGAAATTTTTTTTTCTTGCTGATGTTATAATTAACTATATATGAGTGCTGACATAATGCACTATGATTTTAATAATATACCATTAGTGGTAATATTTGGATGCATTTTAAAATTTTTATCTGTGTCATCTTTTTTGATCTTTAATACTGGCTAGAGAGGGCGGTGCTGTTCCCAAGCTGGCTGCCGTCAGTCACCCCAGGCGTTGGGCCAGGCGCAGGCCGAGCCAGGGACCCAGGCTGGGCATCCCCACAGGCTCATGCACTCCTCCTTTACACTGCTTTGGGTCTGGTTTTGAGTGAGTTTGTATTTACAGCATTTATATCAAACACTAGGGTTTTTTCTATAACTCGTTTGTTTAAAAAGTTTTGTTTTAGTAATTATAGCCATTTATGTAGCAAAAAAATTCAGGAGCTGCCCTGAAAAGAGAAACTCGAGGCATGTGATCACTGCTTACTGTTTGGGTTACATTTGCTCTCAGTTATTTTGTAAGGAAACCCTTTGCGTCAGGAGCATCTGACAGTCTCATTTGAATTAGTCTTCTGTGGATTTTTCTTACGAATTCATGGTAATTATGCATCTTAACTGATTTGAACCTTTTGGCTGTCGCTCCCTAAGGACATGGCTGGCGTGGCTGGTTCGGAGCACCGTGCACCTGCGCAGCCTGGTGATTGGGTTACTCGGGCCACTGAGAGACGCGAACCCACAGGGCTCCTGTCAGATTTTCAGTACTCCTCCGTGGGCACTGCATCTTGATCATGAGTAAAGTTTTGGAAATTGTGCAGGCACTTTAACTTTGATATTTTTTCTTTTATGGAAAAGGACCAAACTCTTACATGGGATCGGCTGGGACAGCTGTTGGTGCCCATGATGCTTATCGGGATCCGAGAGAGAGACCGTCTAAAAGGTATTTACAGCTGTGCTAGTTCTGTAGGAGGCTGGAGTGGAATTTTAGAGACTTCATTATCATCTCAGACGTTTCTCATTGCACGAGTGTGTGAGCCTAGAGGCCCTTTTATTTTGCATTGCGTTTCAGACAGTGATGTGGGTTTCAGGCTTAGTGGTCAGAACTCCAGAAGGAGGGGGGCATGATGCTTCTGCCTCCGCCGACAAGGGTGGAAGATTCTAGGGCAGTGTCCAGACATCCTGTTAGACTGCCTAAGGCCAACCCTGACGATGCACAAACAGTAAATGGGCGTCGTGTCTCCACCGAGCACCCTCACCTAGACTGTAGTCCAGACAGTTCTTAGAACACGGATGTTGAGCTCATCAAGAGAATCTTCAGTATCTTACACTAACTTGTTAAGGTAAGTATACGGATAGATGCCTCTCGGGTCCATGAGGACTCATTACAATTACATGTTTTTAAGCTGTACCTCTTTAGCTAGCTCACCTATTAAGAATCCCCGGCCTGCTAATATTGAAGTGACCGGCGTTTTGAGAGTTGGACGTGGCTGGAGAAAGTTAACAGTTCAGTCAGGAGAACGTTCTGCCCTTTTTGCTGCCTAGCGACAACCCCAGTGATTGTATTCATGGGAAGGATTATGGCACATTTAACGAGGAATGAGTCTCCCTCATGGAGAGTGTACTTAGTTGCCCATTGTGTCAGGTTACCTCACTTTGAGTGGCATTAGTGTTGACAGCTTGGCTCCATGTGACCAGTGACATTTGCATTTGCTCTGCTGCAGCCACGATGCCGATGTGCCTGGAAGTTCAGGAGCCCCTGAAAACTTGACATTCAAAGAGCGTCAGCGTCTGTTTTCACAAGGTCAAGATGTGTCCAACAAAGTAAAAGCCTCTCGTAAATTAACAGAACTGGAAAATGAGCTGAACACCAAATGAGACGGGGCCGAGGTGCCCGTGCGCCCCAGGGGCCTGTCGGCGCGTCTCTGGAGGACGGGCTCGGGGCGGGGGCCGCGCGCAGCGTGTCCGCGTCCCAGAAGCACGGTTGCTGAGACGGCCGGGATCCAGAGATGGTCCCGTTCCAAGACGCTCTTTTCATTCACCAGGAGATGATCACTTATACAACGTAAACACTGTCTAATTTCTTAATCTGACTCACGTGAAGATACGTTTTTTGTTTCTTTTTTTAGCGTCTGAGTGGCAGAGGGGAGAATGCAGGGCAGGAGAGCACGGTGGGGACACGTCTTCGCCCTCGCCTGGCGCAGTGCAGAGAGGCCATGTGTGTTCTGGGTTGCCGACGGCGCTGTGGCGACCGGGCAGGGAACCGCCTGACCTGCCCAGACCTTGTTTGTGCTATTGAGTAGCAGCTGCAGACCGTGTCCCCCGAGGGCGAGGTGTCCCCTTCCAGGAGAGAGAACACCTGAGCGTACCCCGCATGGGGGCTCAGTGCAGAGCCTGCCCCGCCGCCTTGCTCACTTGTCTCCCCGCCCCGGGGAGGGGGGTCCCAAGGCAGCTCAGACCCACGCGGCCCAGAAGGGAGGTGGTGCCTGTCAGGACCCTGCCCCCTCTGCTTCCATCCAGGGACAGCCCTCCTGCTATATTCTAAATAGGTAATTTAAGAAAAAAAATTCTCCAAGAAGAAAATTTTGAGGATTTAAGCTTAGGATATTTTATTTTTGTAAATGCCAGATTATTGTTAGACTAATAAATCATTGGTGATTTTGCAGATGGCAGTTCAGTTAGGGAGTTCACTAAGTATCTCGACTATTCAAGAGAATCTATAAAAGAGGGTCTGTTTAGCTGGGCCGTGTTGATGTGGAGAGACGCAGAAGTATGAGAGGGACGGGAGGTTAGTAGTGACGCTTGACATGGCTGGGGCTCAGGGATTCTACCTTCGAGGAAGGACCAGTTCCATCCACGTGTTGTCTGGGAAGGAAGGCTCGGACTGCAGTTTAAGCGATTTTCTTACATCGAATAGAGTTACTTAATTTTCATTTTTGAGTCATTGGGCATCGCAGTTGTTTCTTCAGCTGTGACCGTGTGGCTGATGCTGGGGAGATGGATCTCATGTCGATTTCTACTGTGTGCCGTGGAAGTGCTAACTTACTTTGTGATTTTGAGCAAATTTTCTACTTGACAAAACCCTGCTGTGGGGTCTCGATGATTCTTCTGTACCAGATTGTTCTCTTACAGATATGTATGTTAGAAAAATACACACACTTGCAAATAGAAGAGGGAGAGGCTTTTTAGCCTGAGAAATCACTTTAATGAGAGCTGTATGATAAATCATTGAAATGCGAGTGTAAATATTTTTACGTCTATCGGGGTTCTTATTTGGAAGTGTGCTCTCACCGTTCCCCTTGTTTAAGAGAGTCACATGGTTCTAAGTGTTTATGAAGGATGTGGGTGTTTGCTCTGGAGGTTCCAGGAAAAGCAGGCCCCTCCCAGATAGCTCGAGAACACTGGCCGCCTTATAGGGACTAAATTCACACTTTCTTCCATGAAAAGATGCAGATGAATTACTTTTCTGTTAATATATAGAGAAATAGCAACTACGCGTAAGTACATGCAAATACATGTAAATACTGACATGCAGGGGTATTTGTGTGTGTGGTCATCAGGCCCGTGGGCAGGTGGGCTGGGCCACCCTTGGGTGATCAGGTCAAATGTGAACACATGCTTTTCATAACTGCATCACTGGGGACACCACAACTGCTGTACTTTCCCATTTCTACTGTACTTCATTTGCAATCTATTTTTAATAAACTTTGTATGTATTTAAGTGTGTTTGCTGTTACTGCAGTCTCGTGCGGGCAGAATTACATCTGTGATCTGCACCTTTGCCTCCCGTCCCCTTCTGCCTGTGACATCATTCACGAGAGGTCCCCCAAGGGTCCCGTCTGTGTCAGGCGCTCTTTCTGGTTTGTCCTGATCGTGCAGGCTGTTGGACAGAGGCCGCGGGCCACTCTTGCCGTGGTCCCCCACGCTCATATGCCCACTCCGGCTCCACGACCTGCTGGGCACGTCAGCCGACCCCGTGGTCATACAGACTCACACGGTCCCTTCATTGCCTCTTGGATTCTTAAGCACACCGGAACTTACTAAGTTGTGTGGGTCAGATGTGCTGGCGATGCGTCAGCAACGAAGATCCGCCTGAGGTGGCTCATGGGAGGCGGTCACGAAAGCACACAGGTGGCGCGAGAAGGGAGCCGGCGCTCTGGCTGCACCTGGGGGGGCCCTGGCTGCACCTGGCGGGGGCCTGCCTCTCCCCAGTGCTGACTCCTGTGTTCCCTGTGCCCAGTCCACCTTCCTTTGTGGCCCCGGAGCAGGCGTGCTGGGTGAAGGAGCGGCCCCAGAATTTCAAGAAGGGCTTTCCTGAAGGAGGGAATGTCTTAGGGCTGCAGAAGCTCAGGGTGGCCTTTGGGTAGGACCAGCTGCTTATATACTGGAATGAGGATATTCGCTGGTAATGTATTTTTAATGCCCAGAAAGGTGCTTTAAAGTTTGGGAGGACCGAAACTTAGAGACTGACTCAGGTTGTCTCAAGGACCGCAGTTCTGTTGCTCCTCGTGGAAGTAAGGAGTCTACCCTACCGAGGCTTTCTGTGGTGGACATCACAACAGCAGCAGGCCCTGCAGGGTTTTCTAGCGTGTGCCATGGGAAAATGATCTCCGCCGCTCTGTTGCTCGGGGAGCTGACTTGGTTTTGGGGGGGAGGGGCAGAGGGACAGTCTAAGCTCCATCCCCAGCTCAGGGCCCCGTCTGGAGATTGTGACCCCAGCGGAAATCAAGAGGTGGCCACTTAACCGACTGAGCCATGCCAGTGCCCTGCGTGGGAAGCCGAGTCGTACCTTCAGGATCTCCATGCCCCTGTCACCTGCAGCAGGGAGTCTCCCAGGAGAAGAGATGCCGAGTGACCGGTTTCAGTGCACAGCTGTTCATCCAGTTTGTTCAAAGTCATGGCGCCGCAAAAGATGCGAGTACAACTCCAAACATAAAAGTCCATTTCTCTCCCACTTTATTTCACAAACACAACTCAGGAGTGCCTGCTCTGTGTCAGCCAGTGGGGACGCGGGCTCCAAGTGTCCCACAGCCGATGTGGGAAGGCAGGGGTCCACAGTTAAGTGAGCACGGCTCCTCTCGGTTTGTACACAGAGGTGCACCGGGCACTCTGCCCAGGAGGACCCATCTAACTCCTGCTGGCACGCCCTCTGCGGAAATGGCTTCCCTCCTGAGAGGAGGGGCTGTCGCAGGCAGAGGAGACTGCTGGGCAGAGAGGCTGCCACCCGCAGACGTCAGGAGACCTCGGCACGGATCGCGGGAGCCGAGGGCACCAGGGAGGAGGGCCTCACGCTTTGGAGGAACATTCACGGCCCTCATGCAGCTGCCTGCACGGGGCTTGGTCGGCGGGGAGAGAGCGCGGGAAGGGGTGGGAGGCCGGGCTTGGGGGCATCACGGGACCGCAACACAGCACTTAGGCCAGCCGCTAACCAACCCCCACTTCATCCCCTGGAACAGCTCTCCGCATTCTCCCGGTAAAGGTGATGGTCCAGCGCCCCTGGTCACTTAGGACATTCCGTTCTTGAGCAGCCGCGTTGGAAGAGAAAAGGCAAACGGGAAGTAAATTTCAGCATATCCATACTCAGCCCAGATGTCCGAAAACTACCTGGCACTATGCGGTCGGTACAAACCGTGCGCACGCAGGAGTCCGCATTCTTTTTCGTAGGAAGCCTTTGAAACCCAGCGTGTCGTTTCCCCGCGGCCTGCAGCTGGGGTCAGCCTCAGGGAGGACTAGGCTCTGCCCGCAGCCGCGACCCACCGTGCTGAAGGCGCCAGTTCGGAGGAAGGCCGGTGGATGTGGCACCAGCAGATGCCTTGAGACGTGCCTCGGGCAGGTGCAGTGGTGGGAGGGACATGGCGGGCCGGCGGGCAGCACCCTGCCATCCGGCCAGTGCGGCCGGCCTGTCCCCGTGCCCAGGCGCCCCGGGGCGTCTATTCTAGGAGGGGTCACGCTCTATCCGTGTGCAGAGCACACACACGTCACACATGGTGCATCACGTGTGTGCATCACAGGTGTGCTGGAGCTTGCCAGCCCCCAGCAGCACAGAAGGAGGCCTCGCACCTCCCGGCTGCCCAGCGAGCCCCAACTCCGCGCCTGTCTTTGTCATTTCTGTTTCAGGCAGCTTCGGAGGAGTGTGCTGTGGGGGAGGATGCGGCGTATTCGCAGCAACGTGGCGCCTTGCCTTGCCTGTTCCTTCGGATCTGTTCAGTGAGGCAGCAGATGCTGACTTGAGTTCCTGTGTGTGGACCCCACAGATCAACGTTCCTATGGGAAAGGAAGCCATGGTCACTTGGCAGATGTAAAAAGGGAAGGACAGAAGTTAAGTTCGTACCACCCAAGAGGCTTGTCATTTATATGGGATTTGGAACACCCACGATATTTCGGATAGGGTCTTCAAATGCAGCCGCTCGCTCCCCTCCCCACGCCTCCCCCCTCCCCGGCAGTCCCCTGACCCCGTCGCCGTGGGAACCACGGGGCGCAAACTGCCCACCCACGCGGATTCTGTGGCTGAGAGCTGGGCCTGGTGATGGCCGCGCAGGGCCGCCGCCGGGGGCGCTTCTTGGAGCAGTGGGCCAGGCAGCTGCAGCGCCAGGTGCAGGTGAGCAGGGGCAGGTGAGCGCAGCTGCGGCCACACCTGCAGCCCCACTGGCCCGGTTGACCGCCCCCTCCCCTCCTGCCTCTGAGCCTTGGGGGTGTGGCCAGCGTGGGAGGGTTGGGGTGATGGCGCCAGAAGACCGCGTTGGGGGTGGAGGCCCCATCATCTTCTACCTTCTGCCCTATAGGGTGCGAGGACCTCATCTGTAGTCCCCCTTGGGCCTCACCCCACCCACACCTGAGACCTCATGCCCCTCATCTGAGCACCTGTGTCATCCGCCCAGGGCCCTCCCGTTACTTACTGGGCGTTTACTATTTACTGTGCTAAATTTTGGAATACAGTGGTTAAGCAACAACCCTGCTCTCTTGGAGTACAGCCTTGAATAAAGGAATAAATAGTCACAATAAATGTAAGCCATCAAAGTGGCCCCAAGATAATACTACAGAGGGGAGGTACATGGTCTTATTAGGGTCTGTAGTGCAACAGGTCTGGGTGAATCCCAGTCGAGGACTTCCCCTGGGGGCAGAAATGGAGCTGAGTTCTGCTGGGATGGGAGGCTGCCATCTGGCAGCGGGGTTGAGGGTCAAGGACAGAACAACCTTATCATGGTGTGTGTGTGGCGGGCGGGGTGGGCCTTGGGAGACTGGCAGAGCACAGGAGAGAGCGGATAGTGGAGGCTGAGAGGTGGGAGGAAGGCAGCCCACACAGGGTCAAGCAGGACTAAGGATGTTTTTCTTTGTCTTGAGGGCCAGGAAAGGCTAGTGAAGAGATCTTAAGAGGGGGATGATACAGTTAGATCCGCATTTTGAAAATGTCACTCATAGCAAGTCCTACTTGAAGGACAAGCATGAAGATGTAGGGTGGAGTTAGAAGGTGCAGGGCAGGACTGCTGGGATGGCAAGACGAGGACCTCTGTGAACCTGCTCCCAAGCAAAACAAGCACATCTGGGGAATATCATAGGAAAATGGTGTAAAGCCCCTAGAAATGGCCCTAAGGGCATACATCACATGAAGAAACATTTATGCAAAAAATCTGCTAAAAATCTCTGTAAGAACAGTGAAAGCCTGTGGCTCCTTCCCTCCCACCAGCTGAGCTCAGCTTGACAGAAGGTCCACTCTGGGTGTGTGTATCCAAGATGGGGCTCCCCCTCTCCTCAGCTTCTGACTTAGGGTCACTGTATCTCACCACCAGTGGGTGGGGTGGAGGCTTGGGGGTTCATGTGGTTCCCCACTCGTATGACAGAGGCCTCACCCCAGAACAGAGGCCAGGAATACTGGGATCCCAATTGCTCTTTCCACCGTTGATCAGCACAAAGGTTTCATAGTGAGAAAGCCAGCCAAAAGACCGGAGGCCACAGCCCTGCCCAGTGCCCAGAGTGGGGATTTAGCCCATGGGGAGAGGCAGCCCATAAGAAGAGAGAGCTCTGAAGCTCTTCGCAAAGGAACTTTCTCCAAACACACTGTGGGGAAGTTCAGAAACAAGAGTTCTCCTTCATTAAAAGCAGTTATTAACGTGTGCTTGGGCAGCGTAACAGAGCAGCACAGAAACATGTTCTCAGTTCTGGAGACTGGAAATCTGGGACCAAGTTATAGGCAGGGGTGGTTTCTCCTACGGCCTCAGCCCTTGGCCTGTGTGTGGCTGCCTTCTTGTGGTCTTTCCTCTCTGTGTGGGTGTCTCTGGAGTGCCCTCTGTGTCCTGATCTTCTTTTCTCATAAGGACACCAGTCAGGTTGGATTAGAGCCCTTTCTAGTGGCCTCATTTTAACTTAATCACCCCTTTAAAGGCCTTGTCTCCAAATACAATCACATTCTGAGGTCCTGGACTTGGGACTTCAACAAGTGAATTGTGTGTGTGTGTGGGGGGTGGATACAGCCCATAATTAGCTACAACCTAATAGGCCACCTAGTTCACTCAAGGCTAAGAAGAGCCTGGGGTTAGGACAAATATCAAAGACTGGCTTCCAAAAGTAGCCCTGCCCCAGTTTAACTGGACCAGACAGTGGAGAAATTTATGGCCCAGGCCATTATTGAAAACAATAAGGCAATCAATAATCAGTGCGGTGGTTGTGATACCAAGGGAGACAGAGTAACAGAGATCGGGGAGAGGCGGTTAAAAAGAGCCCTGCTTAAACTGCAGTCTCCCAGTGCCTGTGTGCATGCCCGCAGCTGTGTCCTTCCCTCAGGGGTTGGGCAGACTTCTGTGGAAGAGGCGAGCTAAATCACTCAACAAAGCACACAAGTAGCAACAAAAAACAAAAACAACAACAAGAACAACAACAAAAACTGCAGGTGGGGGAAAGGCATCACTAAAGTTTCTACAATATATTTCCTAAAATGTCCAGTTCTCAACAAAAAATTGTAAGACATGAAAGAAACAGGAAAGTGAGACTCATCCACAGCAGGGAACAGACAACAGGAACTGCCCATGAGAATGCCTGATGTTGAAATTAATAAGTCAAAGCAGTCATTATAAATATGTTCAAAGAACTAAAGGAAATTGCATTATAGAAGTGAAGGAAAATATGTTAATTTCTCATCAGATAGAAAATATCAAGAAATACCTAGAAATTATTTTTTTAATTATAATCTTAGAGTTGAAGATAACTGAAATGGGAACATTCTCTAGAGGACTCAAGAGTAGATTTGAATAGACAAAAAAGGAATCAGCAAACTCTTAGATTGGTAGAAATTATGCAATCCTAAAAACAGAAAAATAGAAGAAAAATGAATAGAACCTCTGGAAAAGGTGTGAAACCTGTAAGCACACCAGCATATCTGTCATGGGAGCACCAGGAGAGGAGAGCAAGAAAGCAGGGAAAATATTCAAAGAAACAATTACCCAAACTCCCCAAATTTGTTGGAAGTTTAGGTACACATAAAAGAAGCTTAATGAATTCCACTAAGTATAAATACAAAGAGATCCACATCCACCTGCACTTTGTAAAAATAAAGAGAAAAACAGAGAAGAACGACTTGTCGTGTCAGTTCACCATGACTGTCAGCAGACTCTCATCAGTGTCAGTGGAGTTCGGGGCGGTGGGTGACATGTTCAAAGTGCTGAAGGACGAAAATTCTGTCAACCAAAAATCTCACATCCAGCAAAACTGTCTTAAAAAATGAAGGCAAAATAAAGGCATTCCCAAATAAACAAAATTGCAGAAAATGTGTTGCTAGCAGGCCTGCCTTTTAAGAGATACCAAAGGAAGTTCCTACACGGAAACACAAATCCACAAAGAATGCCAGTAAAGACCGTCAGGTAATTATAAAACACAGAAGAAAGGTGTAGTTCTCTTTGTTTCTTTCACTGACTTAGAAAGCAATTATGTAAAACAATATATGTATAACTGTATTGTTGAAACTATAACATATAGAAATGTAATGTATTTGAGAAAAGTAGCACAAAGGAGGTGGATGGAGGCAGTTTTCTTGGAGTAAGGCAATGACAACAGATGGTAGCTTGAATGCACAGGACCAAGTGAAGAGAAGTCGAAGTGGCGAAGAGGGCCGGCAGAGCAAACCCCATAAATACATACTTACTGTCCCTTCTCTTCTCAGACTCTTTAATGAACATGAAATTATGTAAAGGACCAGTGATCACACGGGATTGTTACATCTGTAACACACATGACATGATGTGTAATGGTACCAACACGTCAGCCACAACAGGCATGTTTCTGCATCTCACAGGAATCGGACTGTAAATGTGAAGGAGACTGTTCCAGGTTCAAAGTACAGGTGAGCCCTCGAGGAACCACTGAGAAAATTATTCAAAAACTAGTGGAAAAGGTCATCAAAGAAGTTAAGATTTCACCCCAGAAAATATCCACTTAATGCAAAAGAAGACAGTAGATGAGGAGCCAACAGGACACGAGACACGTAGAAAACAAAAGTGAAATGTTGGGCATAAAGCCACATCAGTGACATTCAATGTAAGTGGACAAACTGTCAGTCAAAAGGCAGGTACTGTCAGACTGGGTAAGAGGCCACATCTAACCACATGCTGTCTGTCTACAGGGGACATGTTTTAGATTCAGAGATACAAGTAGTTGTAAGCAAAAGGGTGGGAAAAGACATCATGCCACCATCAGCTTCAAGCAGACTGAGTGACTATACTAATATCAGACGAAATAGACTTTCAGATGAAAACAGTGTTACTACAGATAAAGAAGGACCTTTGCTCATGATAGAAGTATCACTCCATCAGGAAGATAGGAAAATTATATGTGCATCTAACAACATGGCCCCCAAATTGGCAGAATCTAAGAAAAAGGCAACTCAAAAATGATAGCAACAGATATCCACCCTCCCGACTCTCAGTAATGGACAGACTGGACAGAGGACCAGCAGGAAGACAGACAACTTGAACAACGCCCCTGAACCAACCCGACCAGGCAGACATGCACAGAACATCCCACCCACGTAGCAGGAGGACACACTCTTCCCACATGCCTGAGACGTGCTCTCTGGGTTAGACAACCTGCCGGCTGCAGAGGAAGCCTGAACACATGGAAAAGGATAAAGAGCATATAAAGTATATTCTCCAGTAACAAGAGAGGGGGGTTAGAAATTAATAACAAAAATAAATTTAGGAAATTCACAAATAGGTGAAAATTAAATAAGACAGTCCTAAATAATCAGTGGATGAAAGAAGAAATCACAAAGAAGGTCAGGGAATATTTTGAGAGGAATGAAAATGAAGATGCCACATAGCCAAGTTTATGGGATGCAGCTAAAGCAGCACCCGAAGGAGCATTCATAGACGTAAACACCTACTTTAAACAAGAAGATAGTTCTCAGATCAACACCCTAAACTTCCACCTGAAGACACTGGATGAAGCCGTGAAGCAAGACTGAAAGCCAGCAAAATAAAAGCACGACAGAGACTAGAACAGAAACAAGTGCAACAGAGCCTGGAAAAACTATACAGAAAATCAACAGAACCAGAGGGGGCTCTGTGAAAAGATGAACCAAACTGACAGACCCTTAGTTTGACTAAATAAAATTAATAAAATCAAGAATAGAAGAGAGGGCATTACTACCAACTTCACAGAAATAAAAAGGGAGACACAAGAAAACAGCATGAATATAGATGTAAAAATCTTCAAAAAATACTGGCAAACTGAATCCAGTGGTATATAAAAAGGATTATAGCTATGACCAAGTGGGAGTCATCCCTCAAATGGTCTAGCATTCCAAAGTCAGTTAATGTGATAGACTGTATCAATAAAAGAAAGGACAAACCCCATGATCATTTCGATAGATCCAGAAAATTGCATTGGACAAAAGTTAACTCCACTTCATGATGAAAACATTCAACCAACTAGGAACAGATGGTGACTCCCCAAGCTGATAAAGGGATGTCCACGAAACCCCCCAGCTGACACGCATAAGGTGAAAGGAACAAGATGAACAGCCCCGCTCTCATCACATCCATTCACCATCTTCCTGGACGTGCTCATCTGTGTGGTTAGGCAAGATGACAGAAGGAAAAGGTATCTATATCAGGAGGAAAGAAGGCTATTTCTGTTTGCAGATGACATGATCTCATATATGGAAAATCCTAAGAAATCCTCCAAAAACCCTATTAGCCCTAGTAAGTAATTTCAGCAAGGTTGAAGGATACAAGATCCAGGTGCAAAAATCTGTATTTCTACTTCATAGGAATGAAAAAAAAAAAAAAAAGAAAAACAACAATTCCATTATCATCGAAGATAATAAAATGCTTTGGAAGAAACTTAACTAAGGATTGCATGACTTGCACATTGAAAATGATGGTCAGCATTAGCCATCAGGGCAATGCAGATCAAATTGCAATGACACGCCACTTCCTACCCACTCGGACAGCCGTGCTCAGAGAGACAGATGGGGAGTTTTGGCGAGGGTGTGGACAGCTTGGAACTGCCACGCACTGCCGGTGGGAGTGTGCAGTTAGTTCCTCAGATGCTAACCAGAGGTACCGCGCACGGTTCCCATCCTAGGACTACACCCAGGCAGAAGGGAAACGTGTGTCCCACAAAAACTCGTTCAGGAATGTCATAGCTGCACTACTCAGAATAACAAAAACTGGAAACAGCCCGAATGTCCTGCAGTTGATGGATGGGTAAATATATGTGGCACAGCTCTACAGTCGAATATGATCAGGCAATGAGAGGAAATAAAATTCTGGAAGGACGCCATGACTTGGTTGAGCCTTGAGAACAAGGTGCCCAGTGAAGGAAGCCGCTCGCAAGGGGCTACATATCCTGTGATTCCGTTGATCCAAAATGTCCAATGGCAAATCTATAGAGACAGAGTAGATCAGTGGTTTCCTCGGGCTGGGTTGGGGGTCGTCAGGGGTGGGGTTTCCTGTTGGGGAGATGAAAATATTCTCAGACTACTTTCGGTGACGGTGGCACCACTGTGAGGATACCAAAGCCGCCGACCTGCACACGTGGGCCGGTGAGTTGCCTGCAAGTGACTCACAGCTCCATAGCACTGCAGTCAGGGGCGGCATCTTGCTGGATGCCCAAAGTGGACTTCTGCAGAAATATTCGAGGTTTTTTTTTTTTTTAAGAGGTAAAATTGACTGAACATGGTAACAAAATCCAGATGACAGCCAGGTTTCTGGTTTTATAACCAGTCACAAAGAGATTGTCCCGAAATGATCACAGTTCTCTGAGAGCTGCACATCAGCGGGCTTGGGGAGGGACTCCCTGCAGAAAGGACGGCCCCTGGGCCACTTTCCCAGAAACCCGTGCTTTCCTGTCCACCGAGACCTCCAGGGGCTGGCTTGCTCAGCGTTTACTGTAAATAGCTCATATTTAAACTCCTCTGCTTAAAACCCTGCAGATAACACTCCCTTCTTCCCTGTCGTCCCTCCTCCCCGATCCCAGCCTCCTCCCCAGAGTCTCACCTTCTCTGCGCCTCAACTCAGCAAACTCATTCCTGCCTCAGGGCCTTTGCGTGGGCTTGTCCCTTTCCTCCGGTTTCCTCGCTGGCCTGCCAGCCCTCCTCACCCTTGGGCAGCCGCCCTGCCTCTGAACCCACATCACTGATTTAACTTTGGCGTCGCCTCCCCAGCTCACTTACCCCACGCACTGGCTCTTCCACGTCTCCCCATGAGGATGGGAACCCTGCACCTGATCATTCACGGCTATGTCCACAGCACCCAGACAAGTGCCTGGCACATGACAGATTTCTAACAGATAGTTTTTGAATATGAGTTAATGCAAGGAAAGAAATGCTGATTTTGGTGCATTCCAGATTTTAACTTGCATATAGGTCACCTGGAGCTCTCGCTAAAATGCAGACTCTGGTAGATTTGGGGTGGGACTTTTTCAGCAGCTTGATTGGGGTATAATTTATGTGCCATAATGCAGGATTCTGCATTTCCAGCAAGCCCCCAGATGCTGCTGCTGGGGACCACCCTTGGAGTAAGGGTTGTAGACGTGGGGCAGGGGGGTGCCCACCCGCGTCAGAAGCCGCCCCCACTCCAGCTGACTCCCCCTGCAGCTCGTCCCTGATGCCGGTGCTGGCTTCCCTCTGAGGATGGAATGCTTACTGATGAGTATCAGTTATGGTGATAATGTCCCTTTTTTGTCCTTGGTTGTAGGCCAAAGAAGAGCGGATAGTTGAACTGGAAACGGAAAATGCTGTTCTTCACCTGAGACTGGCCCAGGTAGTGCCCCCCTGCGTCTGGCAGATGGAGCTGGACTGAGTCCTGCCCGGGCTCAGGGCTGCAGCCCGTCCCGGGCCTTCCCTTTCTCCCGTCCACTGAGGTGGCCTCCTGTAATGCATGAGCTTCAATCCCCGTGCTCACGAGTATCTAGTGAGTCAGGAATTAGTGAGGTGCCTGCCCTTCATTGAGGTCGAACTTACAAACACGACTTCCCCCCAGTTGAAGCATACAAGTGGGCGTTCAGTCCACTCGTGGTTGCCCGGCCATCGTGACACCCCCTACACCTGCCCCCCAAAGACCCTCGTGCCACTCGGGTTCATCCCCTGCCCTCCCCCACTTCCAGACCAGTTGTGGCGTCCTGGCACAGATGCTCACGTGATTCGGCCCAGAGCAGCTGTCCACCTCGAAGGAAGGGTGCGCGGAGGAGAGCGCCAGGTGGGAGCCTGTCCACTTTGGTCTCGCACGGCCAGCCGCTGCAGCCCCCAGAAGACTCGGGTGGGCCCCGCATGCCACGGCAGTCCCTGCAGGAGGAGAAGGCCATGTGAGGATGGCGCAGGGGCCATCCGTAGAGGCGCGGACGCAGCCACAGCCAGGGCGCCCGGTGGCCACAGGAGCCAGAGAGGTGGGCGGACCTGCCCCGAAGCCTCTGGGTTCCAACGCTGGCCTCTGGAACCGTGAGTGGATGCCCTTGTGTTGTCCCAAGACTCCCAGGCGGTGGTCATTTGTTTGGAAAGCTATGCACATCTGAGTTCCTCATCTTTAAATTGTGACCCCTGCAGATTTCTCCTGAGGGCCTCACGGCAGAACCCAGTCTTCAAGCTCTTGTCACTCCTCGAACAACCCGTCCAAGTTTCACTGAACCAAACTTAGTTGCACTAAATTGTAGATTAAGTTAGGGCTGTTCGTACTGCTTCCTAAATTAAGTATTCATTTATTGGTTCATTTTGCCGGCGCTTCTGGCCAGAGCCCTGGCCAGAAGCACATCTCCTCTGCGTTGCACCAGAACCTTCCCACAGCGCTTCCAAGGGGCACGGATGGTCGGCGGCGGATGTGGCAGGTGTCTGGGTTGGCCGCAGGAACCCCGGAGCCGACGGACAGCCTGCGCGCCGTGGTCCTGCCCCCCGCCCCCCCCGCTGCAGGACTAGAGGCACAGGGCCGGTGGGATCGTGGAGTTCACGACCCTCCGTCGGTGAGGGCTACCGCAAAGCTCCAGCAGTGTTTCTGAACACCCTCAAGATGAAATTAAAAACATTTTGTTTCACATTTAAGATCATTAGGCATAGCCTGTAACATTTTTGGCATTTGTATGCTAAGTCCCTCTAAGTCATTTCTGATGATTATGAAGCAGAACATCTTCATTCTGGGGCCCACGCCTCCCGCCCGCCCGTGTGCCTGGGATGGAGACGGGCGGCCCGCAGGGCTCTGCCGAGAGCTGCCGTCCACCGGCCTCTCTGCACAGAGTGGCCGGTCACGGCTCCGCTGCAGCCCCTCCGACCCTCGGACACTGTCCCTGTTCCGGTGTCTCTCCCAGAGCGCGTCCGAGCGCCTCCCCAGAGCCGTGTGCTCATGCTTACGCAGCTTTGCTGCCCACTCTCCCTAGACGCCCACGGCTCTCTGTCTGTTTCTGCCAAACCAGCCTGGCCCTGGAAGCCAGGCAGCCCCACGTCCCGTGTGCCAGACTCGGTCGCTCTACTCCATTTCCCTTTGAATTCCTGTTGGACATACAGTCAGTACCGGAGACTTTGGAATACAGGTCTGGATATTTATATGTACATTATTTTTTTTCCGGAGAGAATCTGAGCCTTCTGAGTTGAGGGCCTTCATTTTGCTTCAGTTTTGTCTTTCGCCGCCTGAGGGGTAGAGGCAGTGAACTGCGTGATGTCCCTGAGCTCTAGTCCGTCTTCAAGTCCGTGCCCACGCGGCTCCCGGCACCTGCTGTGCCGCGTGTTCTCTGTCGTCTTTATCATCCCGCGGATGAGCGGGTTCTCCTGAGCTTCCCTGTCGTGTCGGTTCTCTTAAGTGTGAAGATTTCCCATCAAGAAGTACTAGATTCTCCAGCCTCACCAGGGGGCCCTTCCCACCTGCTACCTCTGTGTCCGGTTCACTGTAGCTCGGGCGTCCACCCTGGTCCTGGCGCGGAAAGAATTTGCTTGATGTGGTTTCATGAGCCTTACAGTCAGAAGCTTTGACTGAAAGAAAACACCCAGCCTCACAGTTTGGAGTCTAGGGAAGACGTTGGTTTCAACAACCATGCGAGCCGGCGTGAAGCCTCAGCACCGGGGGTGGAGGAATGTGGGCTCAGCTGCACTGGGACAGCGCAGACCCCTGGCCATTCAGGCAGGTCTGGCCCACGAGGCACGAACACGCCTCCTCTCTCCTCTCTGGCATTTAGCGGACTTCTCCGGTCCTGGAGCACCAGTGAAAGAAGGGAATGGAATGCTGCTCAAAGTTCACAGAACTCTCCGTCCCCCTCCGCGGCTCCCTCGTCGGATAGTTTGGACAGAATTCATTTACCATCATGGTGCTTTCCTACTTTCAAGGTATTGAGTGGAATTCAGTCCGAAGCTCCCGAGCAAATGAGCCTCATTACATGAACTTGCTAGCTGGTTTATTTTATTTCCTGTCACCAGAGGCGTGACCCAGGCCTGCATGACTGTCAGCCAGGAGCAGGGCCTTGAGCCTCCAGGTCGTGTTCCTTCCGAGCTCACCTCCATGAGATAAGGACTGTCCCGCAGTCGTGGGCACGGCGGCAGTGGGATGGGCTGCAGAATGCGGAGCCGTGGATCTACAGGGCTGGCTTCCCGCCCGGTGCAGAGGGGGGCCAGCCCTGCCCAGCTGACGGCAGCCTCGCCTCTGTTCCCTGCTGTAGAGGAATCGTAGTGAGGAACAAACACCCAGAAACTCACGTGTGGCAGCCGGGCGGGGCCCCCTGACCCCCGATGCTCAGGCAGCACCAGTCCTCAGGGTGCTTCACCCCATGGCCTGGCCTGGCCTCCACAGCAGCTCCTGTTCCAGGCATGCCCGTCTCCGAGGCTGGCGTCCCTGCCACTCTCCGTGTCGTCCCCCATCAGGCGCAGACACTCGGGAGAGCCCTGCACCCGTCAGGCCTCCTCCTCGCTGCAGGGCCCTGCATCGGAGACCGGCGTGTCCCACGCTGACCCCACCATGTGGGGAGGCCTGCATCCTCCGCCTCTGTGCTCCTCCCGAAGAGAAGCCGGTTCCTGCTCGTGAAGTGAGCACGTGCGCCCTGCAGCTTCATGTCAGGATACGCGGTCGGTTCATGGAAAGTCAGTCTTACTGAGCAGCGGTGGCAACGATGCGGCGCTCGGCTGTTATTCGGCTGCGTGTTTTCACCAAATGGGAAGGCACGGCTGCGTGCGGAGGGGGAGACCATCTGCCGTTATTTATGAGCTGCAAGGACACAGCGTGAAAGCATCGACACTCAAACACCGTGGAGAACAAACCAAAATGAAGCAAAAACCCAAACACATCACCTTTTCCTTGGGACCTGAGTTATGGCCCCTCCGCAGCTGGCCACGCAGGCCAGGGACCTGGGAGCTGCAGTGGCCCCTGTCTCGTCCCACCGCGTCACCTCCCAGACGTACCAAGGTTGTCCCTGAATGTGTCCTGACTCAGCCCCTTCTCCCCTGAGGTCCCAGAGCCATCATCCTGAACAAGTATCTGTCCTGAAAATCTTCGCTGGCTTGGCTTTGCCCTGAAGAAAATACCCAGGCAGTGACCTTATCATTGACGAGGCCCACGGCCTCCCCGTCACCCCCATCCCCTTCACTGTTCTCTCCTTTGTTGCATCGGCCAGACGACCTGGGCCCTTAAGCACCTGCCAACGCAGATGCCTTCAGCCTCGGCCACCCTGCACCCGCTGTCCATACAGCCCTACCTGTGACCCCCGTCCCTGTGCCCCCCCGCACCCCTGTCCCCGTGTCCCCCTGCGCCCCCATCCCCGTCCCTGTGCCCCCCCGCACCCCGTCCCCATGCCCCCCTGTGCCCCCGTCCCGTGCCGCCCCCCCGCGCCCCCGTCCCCGTGTCCCCCCGCGCCCCCGTGCCCATCCCTATGCCACCCCACACCCCGTCCCCGTGCCCCCCCGTACCCCCGTCTCCGTGCTGCGCCCCCCACGCCCCCGTCTCCGTGCCGCACCCCCGTGCCCCCGTCCCCGTGCCCCCCCCGTGCCCCCGTCCCCATCCCTGTGCCCCCCCCGTCCCCATGCCCCCCCACACCCCCGTCTCCGTGCTGCGCCCCCCGCGCCCCCGTCTCCATGCCACACCCCTTTCCCCCCGTCCCCGTGCCGCACCCCCCATGCCCTGGTCCCCGTGCCACCCCCCACCCCGTGCAGGCCCTGCATGCAGGTGGGGCTCAGCGGACATTGGGTGAATAGTCTCCCCTCAGAGAAAGCGCACCTGCTCCGAGGTGTTGAGACTTTGGTCTTTTATTCTCTTCTGCACAACAGTACCAAGGAATGACTGGAAAGGGCGGCAGCGCGGCCGCCGGGCTCTGCTCCCGGTGCCGAGAGCGGGACCCGCCGCGGAGAAGCGCAGCCCCGGCCGCACCCCAGCTCCGCTGCCAAGTTCAGGTAGGGGCAGCTCTATTTACATGGCAGACGCTTGTGTCCGTAACTCACAGCACTGGTTTTCTGGTGAGACTGTGGACCTCATGCCCGTGAGGACGGACCTACGCTTAAGGGGTTACAAGGAGCCCGATGTAAGGAGGCAAAGCTCCTCGGTTAGCAGTAGTGGATCTTCCAGCACAGTTGACCCACGTGGCCTTCTTTTTTTTTTTTTAATTATTTATCTGTCAGAGAGAGAGAGAGCACCAGCAGGGGGAGGGGCAGAGGGAGAAGCAGACTCCCCGCGGAGCAGGGAGCCCAACGACATGGAGCTCGAGCCCAGGACCCCGGGATCATGACCGAGCCAAGGCAGACGCCCAACGTGTCTCACTGGCGCCCACGGCGGGAGCTCGCCTCCTTTGCGGCACCTGCTGAACAGGAGGCCTGGGGTCCTGAGCCCACGCGGGAGGGAGAAGCTCCATGTGGCCGTGGCCGGGCCGTGGGACACAGCCCTGCTCCCGATACACTGGGAGGCAGGGTGGTCCTCTTCTTTATCCCAGTGTCAAATGGTAGAAGACGGCTTTATGCAGGTCAGGTTAACCAGGACGCACATCACCGTGGTCACCGGGGAGCAGGTCCTGTGACCTGCCGGGCCATCTGGAAAGAAAAGTCGGAAGCGGCGTGGCCGTGGCCCTAGCACTCCTGGCAATGCTCCAGGGCCACGTGGTGCGGGGTATTTTTATACCATCATGTGATTAGGAGCATTGTTCACCTTTTGTTGCAAACAATGTGACCGGGTCAGAAATTAGAAGGGAAAAAAAAGATCATTATGACAACAGCAAAAACGCCATCTGTAAACATGATTAGTCTGCCCTGAGAGGCTTGTTTTTCCTCCCCACGAACTGCGGGAGTGTGTGTAGAATCGATTTACGGAGGATTAATCCTTTGTCCTCTTACAGCTCAGTGGAAGGGGTCCATCTCTGACGGAAGTGTGGGACTTTATCTGCATCCCATGTACTAAAGATACTGTAATTCAATTCCGTATGGACATTTTATCAGAATGTTTCCAAAACATACGGAAACGGTCTCCGTTTTACAGAAAAGAAAGACGTAAGAATCCAAGGACATGTATCTCAGATCAGCTGGGGTTTTGTGATTCGCTTGCTAGATGTCAGACCACAGGACATCAGCTCCTTCCTTCTGGGCCTCTTGTCTACTTGTGCCAAACAGTGTCCCAGAAGGAAGAGCCCCTGACGTGGGGGATACCGCTTATCGGCTCCTTTGTCCCCAGAGTTGCCTAAATGCTCTCGCAGGTGCACCTGGACGTGGGTCACACACGCCCAGGGGCCATCATGGCTCTGGCCATGTGCTCAGGACAGTGTGGCCCCAATCGCAGTCAGGACAAGAGACCAGAGCCCTGTTCCTGCATGCGGAGGGTGGCGTGGGGACTGGGGCCCGGCCGGCCTCACGAGGAAGTCCGCAGCGGACAGAAAGCTGTCCTCCCTCTAACGTTTAAGACCTTCAGCTCTAAATGGGTTTAGTTCATGGGAGATTCATGCATGGCTGTGTCATCTGTGTGGCTGTGTTCTTATTTTATAGACACTTACATGACTATTCCATATGGTGTGATGTGATCAATAACATCATCTCGGTTGTGTGTTCTTGTGGTCCAGAACCTGAAGCGAGACATGAAGGTGCTGCGAGCCTCTTCTCTGGAGGTTTTCAGAACTTGCCGGGAGCACCTGCAGGATGGTCTTTCCGCAGTGGTGGCGGCCGTCCAGAGGGCACAGCTCTGCCACGAGGCTCTGCTGGGTAAGCTGAGGCCCTAGCCCAATGGCAGCCTGGCCCGTTGTGCAGACACAGAGGACTGCCAGGGATTGGAGTTGGCATCTGCTGTGGCTTTGTGCCCCTGCCTGGGTGCAGACATGAGCAAACCCCGAGGCACGGGCTGGCCATCGTGGGGCTACAGTCCCGGTGGCCGCGCCCCTCAGGGAGGTCCCTGTCCTCTGGGGACGGCAAGAGGCTCTCTCCGATGCCGGCCCTGCGCTGGGGCTGTGTCCCTGCTGAGCCTCCCGTGTCATGTCCCTGAAGTGCAGTGTGACGGTCCCTTCTGTCCATTCAGCTCTTTCTCAGGCTCGGTCACTACTGGGTGGAGACGGGGATGTTCTCATCACCGACCAGACTTAACAGCCCGGGGAGCAAGGTCCTTTGGCCGCGGGGCTGTAAGTCCTCACCCCAGAAGCACCGTAGAAATGAAGGCATGCTCCTTGGGTGGGTTCCGCTCAGGGACCCTCCTGCAGGGTCTCCGGCCAGGTGACAGGTGCGCACGTGCGTGTGCGCCTGCGGTCCTCCGTGTCACGTGCTCCAGAAAAGGGGACAGCATGGTTATCTAATGGGCATAGTGTGCCTCTGACAAAGAGGGGTGCTTTACAGAGAACTGGGAGAAGAGGGGGAAGAGCCGTGAATTTCCCTCAGGACGCGAAAGTCTCCTGCAGGTAGGGCAGGTCACGGGGAGTGGTTTGAAGATCCTCTCCTGAAAACCTCACTCGCACCTGTGGTAAAATTGTCCCCACAGCCTGGCAGTCGAAGGCGGGTCACCTGGAGCGGTCCTTGCAGGAAGTAAGCGCGCGGTATGAGCTGGAGAAGCAGAAGAGGAAGATGCTTCACAATCGTTTGGTGGTGAGCTCCATTCACGGTTCAGGTTCCGAGGAGGGTGGTGGGAAAGGTGACCTCATTGAAAGGTAGGGGTGGGGGTCTGGGTGGACAGCCAAGGAGGTGTGGCCAACAGGGAGGCGTGGCCCGTGGGGAGGTGTGGCCAGCAGGGAGGTGTGGCCCGTGCCGGAGGCGTGGCCCGAGGGGAGGTGTGGCCCGCGGGCGAGGAGGCGGTGGGGCTGAGCTGCCCCGGGGTGGGGTGGGACGGGACCAGTGCCTGAGGCCTGCAGGTGGGGGGTCAGACACCTGGCCGAGCGCGAGGGCGGGGGCCAGGCAGGGGCACGCGTGTGCCCAGGGGTCTGCGGAGGGCGTGCCCGGAATGCGTGAGCCGGGATCCTCAGAGCTCAGCCTCCCTGGCCAGCGCGGCTCCAGCTTGCTTCGCCGTCAGCAGGACACCGAGGATGGCTCACCTTCCTCTTAAGCAGTGTGAGGCCTGAGGCCCAGGAGATGTGAAGTCTCGGGTTTCCATTTCTGCGCACGATGAGGCTGGAGTTGATGGTTTGTTGGATGACCTTTGCTCCCGAGAGATTTGCTGGCGTGCTGCAGCCTGGGCCGGCTCACAGTCCCACTGAGCCTGTGCTTGGCAACTCCGCGGCCCCCGGCTCCCCCAGAGGTTAGGAGTGGCTCTCCTGTCTGCTCGCTGTCTCCCCGTGTGGTTCGGGCTCTGTGCGCTTTCTGCTGACCAGGCACTCTGTGAGCGCCTCCGTGCATGTTCCTGCCTGGTCTCGACAGCAGCATCACCCTGGGTCCAAAGGGGCCAGGCGGGCCCTCGGGCGGGAGCCAGGTCCAGGGTGGGACGAGGCTTGGCGCTCTGGCTGCCGCGTTCTGCGCCCTGGAAGACACACCGACAGCCTGTAAATCAGCGGGTGTGCATCACCTACTCAGCGTTCAGGAAGTAAAAGCAGCTGCGCTTCACGACTAGTTGAATCAACCAGCTGTGAGTCCAGGGTACGATTCAGAACGGATCTCCAGAGAATGCTTTCTGAACATTTAGAGGGAAAACGCGTTGCTCACGGAACCAGCAGAAGTGTATGAGAATGACAGTGTTCTCGTCCTTTCCAGGTATCACATCAAGAAAAGAGGAGAGATGTAGAGTATCTGGTCTTCAGCCAGGCATTTGCAAAAGTATGACGTGAAATATTAATGAACAGAACGTCAGCATAAGAGCTGCGAGCCATCCTTCACAGGCCAGCCCCCGCCCCCCCAGGTTTTTGGCGTCTGTGGAGGCCGAGCAGTGAGGGAGGGGCAGGCCCGCCCAGCCAGGGACCTGGGCCCAGATGACGGCCAGGAGAGGAGCTGTGTAGGGATGTCCTCTGGGCTCTGTCCAGACTCTTTGGATCCTAATTCTTACTGACATGATGGAGACAGAAAAGCATATTATTGTATTTGAGGATATGAATTTGAAAGGAGTATCCCAAAATATTTCCACAGGCTAGAGCACTAGGCTCAAGCAGAGCAAACAGGCTATGGAATGCCAAGTACGCAGATGCTGGCTGATGAGGAAATGGGATAAGAGCAGGTGCCCGGGAGAGGTGCACAAGGGACAGGTGACCGCACGTAACAGCATCGCCTTGTGAGCTAAGATCAGTTTTTAAATAGAAAAACATGTTGGAACTCACAGCACCATCATCGTCATCGTGATTGTTAGCAGGAGTCCCTCTCCCTGCCACAGGAGCTCAGACTGCAGCAGGCTCAGTCTGGGGACCTGGTCCCTCACCCCAGGCTCCTCGGACCACACCGGGCTGTGCCGATGGATGCCCTGGTGCACATGGAGTGGAGGTGACTGTCCCTTTCTGTGGGTGACACTTCTTTACTCACGGATGCAGCCGCCTCTTAGGTCACCTGACACTGCCCTTCACCTGCCGTCTCCCAGTTTCTCCGGCCTGGCCCTCCCCATCCTTCCACGTGGTCTTTCCTGTCTTGTGATACGGTGTGGCTTGGTTCCCAAGGCCACGTATTCTCCCACGGAATGCTGGATTCTGGCAGAGCTGCAGCCAGCAGTCCCCATGCTTCCCCATGGATGCGTCGTCTCTCATCTGGGGGGCTGGGGAGGAGCGGCTGGCCGCCTTCAGGTGGATGCAGAATTCCTGGTTTTAGATGATGATCCCAAGCACGGAATAGGTCGTTCATGTCCGGAGCTGCCAAGTAAGCTAGTGGTTGCTCGGCTGCAGGAACAGAAGAATATCAGAACGTCAGAAGCAGCTGGAGATGGGTTCTCATTGTGGACGCGGCACTTCAGGAGCGATAAGGACAGACTCCGCTGCTTTAGGCATTTGGGGACTGCGGAGGCAGCCACGCGCCCAGGGGCTGGTGGGAGTGAGTGGGGAAGGGTGGTTTCCGGAGGACACGGTGCCAGAGTTTGTGTTTCTGACATGCTGTCCTGTGGAGGAGGCACAGAGGTCTTCATTATGGTCCCAAGGTTGCGCAAGGACCGGTGGGCAAACGAGGCCGGCACGGTGCCAGGGAGAGCGGTGGGCGCGGAGCCAGTGTCCCCCAGGAGCTGGCGGACCCCGCATGGCTCCCGGCGTCTGAGCGCGGACGTGCCCGATGCTGTGCTCCCACCAAGCGGACCCGTCTCCGACCGCAGCGCCCTTCCTCCGGCAGGCACGTGAGGAGCTGTTACCAGACCGCCCAGTTTGTCCTTCTCACTCTTTGTTTTGGTCTCCGCGATATCACAGCCTGCTACGATTCAGACGAACGCTTTGCAGGGTCTGGAAAAGTAGCAGAAGTACCAGGTTTCAGAAACTTCCCCTCAAATGCCTCACAAATTGGATGCAGGTGGCTTTTGAGAGGTGTTTTCTTGATACTTCTCACCACACCACACGATGATCATTTGCCAAGTGAACACATTTACGTGGGGATTTTGAAAAGCTGTAAAGGAGCACCGACTGGCAGTGTTCCTTCCTGGGGACTCATTCGGAGGCCGGGGTGTGGGTGGGCAATCCAAGGCTCCCATCCTGGGGAAACGGTACGGGGCGCCTTCTCTGAGGGAACAGTGTCTCCGCTCACGGGTGCAAACTCTGTTGTTGTAGGAGCTGAAAGGGAACATCAGAGTTCACTGTCGGATCCGTCCTCCGTTGCCTTTCGACAAGGAGTTTGATGATCTAACCTCACAGGACGGGTAATTTGCTTTTGCACTGGGGCGGGGGTGTGTGTGCATGTGTGTGCGTGTGTCTGTTTTAAGGAAAAGAAAGTGCGGCCATTTCCTGTGCCTCCTGTGTTCCTACCCCTGGCCCCAAAGCCGAATTTCTCATGCTCTGGGTGAGGGTGGTTTTATGGAAGGAACTGAGTAGTTAGCAGGCTGCTGGAATGTGGCTTGAACGTGGCCAGAATTTCTGAGCGAGCTCCTTGTGTGTCGTAGGGGTTCTCCTGCCCGATGGGGTCAGGCTTCTTTCAGCGACTGGCAGGGCCAAGCTCTGGCTGGTCCTTTCTCTGTATGTTAGTGCATCATAGGGGAGGGGTGTCCTTCTTTGTTTACTCCAGAGACCCCTCAGGGGTGCGAGAAGGTCACTAGTGTTGCTGGTATTTGTGACTTAGAGTTCTGATGGTATTACTGAATAACACAGAATTATCGGAAATGGTTTTAGTGGGCTGTTTACTTGAAAACCATACTCAATAGGACTTTCCCTTCTTCCCCGGATGAAACAAAGCCGCGTGGAAAGGTCCACCCCGTTGCCTGCGGAATGGATTCCACATTCCGGGCCCTCTGACCACGTGATGCCGCACACTAGCCCCCTGCTTCCCTTAGGTCAGTCTCCTCGGCTCTGTGGCCGGCAGGCACTCACCTCTGCCCTGCAGGTTGGCTCATGTCAGGGTCCTCCCCTTGTCCGCCCAAATCTTGTTCTCCTGGAAGGGCCTCCCTTGCGCCTCACTGATGTTTAAATCATACGGTCTAGCCTGTGACTTTGGAAGGTCTTCCGAAGGCCCTGGGTCAGCCCCGCAGTATGAAACACAGTTTGTACCTCTTTGACAGCGACTGAGCGCTGTTTCCGCCAACGCTTTTGTTTTGCTAGCTTAGTCCTTCCTGAGCCGTGCTGGCTGGGGCCGCAGCCCATGTCAAAGGGCCTGAGAGCGTCGGGAACGCGTGGTAACATCACCGCTGGCCGGCCTGCGCGCCGCGCGTCCCGTTGCCTGAGCGACCTTTCAGCTGCTGGGGCCGGGCTGCTTCCATCATGGCACGAAGGCCTGCTGGACAGTGTTGCTCCCACTGTTCAGCTTCTCAGCGCTCACCAGACCCCTCGTGAACTTTCGTTTGTGCTCCTACCTCGCTTACGTTCATTTGACGTTTGCTCTGAAGCACGATGCATTTTTCCAGGTTCCTGATTGCCCCCAAACACTCGAGAGACTGTGCCGTAGGGTTTCTTGTCCATTGGTCACCCCCGAACTCGGGGTCGAGATGCTATATCACTGCTATGGCCCACAGGGACTATGGAATAAAGCAGGGGCGTGAGAGAAAACGTTTCCAGAGGACGTGAAAAGGAAGGAGGAGAGGGGAAACTGAGGAACGGGGAGAAAATCAGAGACGTTGATACAAGAGGTATGAGGCACAGAGACCGAGCCAGAGGCAAGGAGGGGACCAGTGGGGAGGACCAGAAAGGGAAAACAAAAGGAGGCCTCAGCAGAAATACGAGTGTTGAAGAGTTTTGCGGTGCCTGGGAGGCTTCAGTCAGTTAAGCAGCCAACTCCTGCTTTCGGCTTAGGTCACGATCTCAGGGTCCTGGGATCAAGCCCCACATTGGGCTCTGTGCTCAGCACAAAGTCTACTTGAGGTTCTTCCTCCCTCCCCCCTCTGTGCCTTCCCCTCACCCTGCATGCTGGCTCTCTTTCTCTTATGAAGGAAGGAAGGGAGGAAGGGAGGAAGGGAGGAAGGGAGGAAGGGAGGAAGGGAGGAAGGGAGGAAGGAAGGAAGGAAGGAAGGAAGGAAGGAAGGAAGGAAGGAAGGAAGGAAGGAAGGAAGGAAGGAAGGAAGGAAGGAAGGAGTGTGAAAGTTTGGATGGTGAGGAAGCAGACGGAAACTCCACGTTGATGTGTATTTTCACTGTCCTCCTACCCCCAGCTCGGTGCCTGCAGGAGTGGTCCATGCCATTGATGACGTGAGTGACATCCCCAACACAGTCTTTGGAGAAGCTTCCTGTGCGATGGTTCACAGAGTGCCCAGATATTTCCACCCTGAGAGTAATTCAGAGAGCCTCTTGGATAATGCGGATGGGTTCTGTTGCTTGATTTCCCCGGGAGCGAGAAATTAACGAGGCTCGGGGGCACTTCCCTCATGTGAAGCCACAAGCTCCTAACTGTGGATGTGTGTGAGGAAAGTCACTTCGCCTACGTCTTACGTTGGTTTCCCAGCTCCCAAATCAGTCAGCACGTGCACGAGCGGGACCTGAAGTTTAGAGCATAAGGAAGGAAACACAAGCCTAGAACCGATGCAGCCGAGCATGACCTGTGTGTTCTAAATTTATGCGATGGCCGTATTTACTACCAGCTCAGGGTTTGTGTTCTCTTCAGAACCTGTGTGTTTCTTAGCCTTCTGTACCCAGAAGGCCTGGAAGTAATAGCAGGAACCCCAGCTCCCAGCCTGGCTTCCACGTGCGGGGAAGTGGGGCTCCTCAGGGACCGTGGGTGCAGCGTGCTGGAACATCATCAGTCTATTATTCTAAAAAGTTACAAAGAGGTAAACATTTATGATGCCTTTCCAGGATGAAATGCATTTCAGGGTAAACAAATAGTTGACTAGGGAAAGCTTTTCTTTGTAGAAGAGTCTACTTAATACATTCAGAGTCAGTGATAAAGTTAGAAGTCGGCACTTCAAAGTCCTGATGGCTCTGGAGGATAGTCTTAGGGGTCAGCAGGATCTTCCCCACGGAAGGTTCCAGAATCCCTCAGAACCCAGAGCCCTCGAAGTTTCCCTGAAAGCAAAATGCTCAGACATTAGGAAGTGGTGATGAGATGCGGAGGGGTACACAGCCCCACAGTGGAGAGACTGGGCCTCCCAGCTGAGCCTGTATCTAACGGAGCCTCAGGGTCTGTCATTTTGAACAGGAGGAAAAAAAAAGCCCAGTCAGAATGTGCGACACTTCGCAGGACGACTGACCCGACTTCTCTGAGAAATCGGGAACACCAAGAAGGGAGACAGGACCAGAAGGAGAGACGCACCAGGCTTGTGATCACAGCACCTGAACAAGCCAGCTGTAAGCCACACGTTCTGGGGACAGCCAGAGAAACTGGAATACGTATGGGGTCATGTTAACTTCAGACAGTGAGATTAGTAACGTATGGTGGGCATGCGGAGAAAAGAGTCCTCATGGGTTGAATCCAGTGATGATGCTGTCCGATATTTTATTTAAAATATGCCAGAGAACTGGCAGGTGAGTTGAGCACGTGTGTAAAACCAGATGGACCATGTGTCAGCGAGGCTGGGGGACGGCCCGTTATCCTATTGCCCCCTGTTTTGTGCGTGTTTGAGAGTCTCCATCAATGAAAGTTAAAAATCTGCTGGGCTTCTGCGTCCAAGCAGCGTGTCCTGACCGTGGCGGCATGAGCGTAGGAAGCACGTGGGATGTGAACTCTCAGTGGCCTCTAGACGTGGGCCGTGTGGAGGCTGCACATGGCTGCCCCCCACCTCACCACCGCCACAAGGTGGGCCGTTGGCATGCGTCCTGTGCTGGTCGCCTGCTGTAACCTGCAAGGACTCTTCAGTCTGCGGATTGACGGCTTCGTTTTCTACAGAGAGGTCCGGGGAACGGCTGGAGCCCTGTTAAACACCCCGACGGGCGACGGAAGTAAGCACTCTAGAAAGTCCTTGTTTTTAGTTATTTTTTCACCTATCATTGGATGCATTGTGTGTTGCCTGAAACACCAGGAGACAAATTAAATTCTCATTCTTAGGAAGTTGAGTTAAAAGGAGCCCTCGTGATCATCCTGTTAATCGCTTTTCATAGGAGAAGACGCTGAGTTGTGGTGGTTAAGTTCTGACCTTTTCTACCCTTCGCGTGGTCTCCAGGCGCCCTGGGGGACCTTCAGGAGTTATTTTTCATTAGGAACACGTCTCCTGAGCCGGGGGCCTGGCCCCCGCGTGCTGAGGACCTGCTGTGCCCCTGTCCCGTGTTACTGCTGCTCTTTGCCCTACAGCCATCCTTGTGACTGTCCCCTCCGGTCCCTGTCCGGGTCCCACTGAAGTTTCAAATTCAGAAGTTGGAGGGTTTTGTGTTTTTTTCCATCTTACCCATCAAGATAAGATAATACTGCTTTTCACTGGGTGATTTTGGTTTTTGTTTAAAGAAATCGGTGGGTTCCAAGATGTTTTCTAGCCTAATGGAGCCGTTAGTTCGGGAACGTGGTGTCGCTGACTGCAGATGGGGCCGCGTGGTCGGTGCCGTGGCCTGAGGCAAGCTCTTATTTCCAGAGTGGGAAGAGGCTGCGAGTTTGTGTTGGATTTCCTTGCAGCCTGCCGTCGAATTCAACACTGAATAGTTTTGGATTCGACCTGTAAATAGAATCCGTGTCAGACGGAACAGCCGCCTGGCCTCTCTCCTGGCCCTCGCTGGCTCGTGGGACTGGGGTCTGCAAGAGCAGGTCGCTGGCTCTGTCTCCTCGTCTGCAGTTCTCCCTTACTCTTCACTCTTACTAAACTGGTCAGTCCAACCATCAGGGACTTGAGTTTCTGAAGGCAGCTGAACAAAGCCTATGGGTCAAAGGATTCTTATGCAAATACCTGCAGCTGAGGTCAAAACTATTTTTGAGAGGTGCTTACAAAGACTGCTGTTTTTAATGATCGAAGTTCTGTACGGTCCTTAACAGATGCCTTGTCCTTTCCGTGGGGTTTACCTGGTCCTCGCAGGGTGGCTGGCACCCTCTGCTGCAGCTTCTGGAGGAAGCGGAGACGTGCGGACTCGCCGCAGGAACTCTGGCGTCTGCCCCCCGGGAACGCCCCAGCTCTGCTGAGATGAGGTGAAAAGCAGCTCTCCCGTTTGCGTCCCTGCTCCAGACAGCCCTGAGTCTCAGAACCGATATTCGGGATGGCTCGCATGATCTCCAACCAGAACGTCCAAAACCGAGCTCTTGGTTTCCCCTTTGGACGGACTCATCTTCCTGTCTCCCTGTCTTTGCAGGTGGTAACTCCGTCCACTCGGTTTCTAATGCCCGAAATGGAGTCACCATCGACTCTCACCCTATCAGCGCTCAGCAGATCCTGGTTCTGCAGGAATCCCCTCCCTGGGTCTCACTTACTCCATTCCCATCGTCTTTGCACTCAGGGCTGCGCTCCCCTCCCTGGAGCTTCTTCTTTGATGAACGACGAATTTGATCTGAAGTTTAGAACTGTGGGCCCCTGAGGTGCCGCTGGGCCTGACTCCGCTGCCAACACGTTATACAGATGGTAGGAAATGGGACTTTGAAAGGAAAATGAGCCCCCAGGGTCACATGAGTTGTAGCAGAGTCAGAATTAGCTAGTAGGTTCTGTATTAGTTGTAAAGACCGCTGCGCCTGCTTCTCACCAAAGACCCCAAAGAACCACGGAGCCTCTGGGCGTCGTGGTCCCGGAGGCCTGGGCAGGGTCCGCCGACGGGTGAGGGGAAGCTGGATGCCCCCGCCAGGCGCTCACGCGTGATGTCCTGTCCCCTCTCCGCCATGTGGAAACTTGCCAGCCCCTCGCCTCGACGCGCCCACATGCCCGTGTGCCTGTGTGAAGGGCCGCCCTCCCGGACCGTGTTCCTGATCTCGGAGGGGAATGCATGGCCAGAATGCCTGCAAGTGTAGGGACATTCAGCCCAGCCCGATCGGTCACCAGCACGCTGTGAATGGGGAAGGAAGCAGCAGCTACTTAATAATATTTATTAGCAACACACAAACATAATAAATATATTCCTCCCGCTGTTTTTGAGGAAAAGTAATGCCAACAGGACATGAACACCCTCCTTTGTGTCCTCATCGGGGTCGCAGTAAAACAGCATTACCTACTACCGCTCTGTAAGCCACGGTAACTGACACAGAAGTTGGCTGCTTCCCGTCTGTGAGCACAGCGTGCGGGGTCCTTGGAACTCCCCTTCTCGGTTACCGGCGTCTCTACCCTTAAGTCATCATAATGTATGACACATCGTTTGGCACTTGGCGTTGGGTACACGACCTGTGGTCTTTGACTCCTGGACGAGACACCAGTGAGCAGGGGGTAGATTTGGGTGGGTGGGGAACAGGTGTTGTGTTCTGGGGATGAGTGGGCAGCCGTGGGTGGAAGGGGGGCTGGGCGGCACCCCGCAGACCAGCTGTAGGGGACAGGCCCTGAGGGATCAGCATTGGCTGGTGTTCCCAGGGATAAGAACCGGGGAAGGAAATAGGGATGCTTAGGGGCGAATTTACAAACAAAAGGGGCATCTTTGAACTTGTCAGAGGCAGAAAGGTGGGGCGCCCACCTGCAGGCTGACAGTCTCTCGGAGCTGAGCTCAGCGTGCACGAAGAAACAGCCGGATTTGAGCTCAGTCTGTCGCCCATGGGAATGTAGAGCCCAGACGAGAGAGTGGGTTTTCCTGAAGACTTTCATGAGATGCATCAAACACTCCTACAAACCAAGACAAACAATCCACTGGGAACACGCTGAGGCTGTGAGCAGATGGTCCGAGAACACCAGCTCGGCCCTTCTGTCTCTGCACCTCTTTCTAGCCCTGCCCCCTCTGCCGTGCTTACAGGTCCTGGTCCCCATGTCAGCCTCTGTGGCCCGGAGGGAGGCCCCCAGGCCTCAGGGCACTTGGAATGCAGCTTGGGCACTCCCCATAGTGTGACCTCTCTGTAGTCAGGTGCTCCCTGAATGACCACATGGGAGCAAGATGACAGATGAGACACAGATGTGACCATCTGGCCTTCCTGTTCTTACCAGGAAGATGTGGGTGACCTTGTACCAGCCACCAAATTTCCCTGGCGTCCTTTCCTCATCTGTGTACCTTGCTGGAATCACCTGGTTTCTTTTTCTTTTTTTTATAGTTTAGAGCACCTCCCCTTGGCTTTTGGGCCACTGGTGCCCGAGGACCTGGGGAGTTTCTCATCATCTGCATCTCCTTGGTGCAGCTCATCGTGTTCCTTTGTCCTCTGCATGTCCTGTGGAGAGGCAGGAGGACCCAGAGGCTTGGCCAGACCCAGGTTCCATCCCTGAGGCAGGAAGGGGATGAGTTCTTTATTGGGAGGTGCTTCTCTGTGAAGTGAGCAATGGTAAAGCTCATTCATGTCACCAGGTTGCAAAATGGTGTTAATCTAGCTCTGTCATTCCTTCTTCCTTTACTCCTGGAAACTTTTAAAGAGATACTTCCCCCATGTCCTTGCTGTTACCCAGAGGGACAGTCCATGGGGGTGCTCTGCCCTTTCCCCTTTACTTATTAGCTTTGAAATAATGAAGGGTTCCCTGGCTTCCTGCCCAGGTGACCAGTGAAGGTTTGGGTAAGTGTCATGATGATGGGTTTAGTCCCCTGCATCACTGTCTGCAGCCCAGAGGCCAGGCTCCAGAGTCAGGGAGACCCTGGGACCTTCGGTCCTCACGCTCCGTCTACGTGTCCTCACTCCCCCATATTTTGCAGTTCAGAGGGAAACCTGCCACTTTATAGTAAATGTCCATGGGGTTTGTTTTGTTATCTGGTTGTGCTGTTTTTTTTTTTTTAATGCAGGACTTAGGGTGATTCAGAATCCATGCCTGCTTGTTTATTTTACTAGCATACAAACCTCTATGAATCTATCACCAGTGTGGGAACTGGACATAGCAATGACCCCCCCACCTTAGCTCCCCATCTGAGGCCATCACTACATCAAATCTCATTTGAGCTGTCTTGCATTAAACAGATACTCTAACTATAGATGCTAATAAAACCTATAAATTATACAATATTTATACTTACAATACTTATAAATTAGGTATAAAAATTTACCTAAATTATACTTACAAATAAAACTGTATACACTATAGATGGTTATATGTATATAAATTTTCCTATCTATATTTGCTCCTAAAAAGTCATTGGTGAGTTTTGGTTGTATTTCAGGGGACTGGGTTTTTCAACTCAACATGATTTTTTTTTTTTATAGACAGGTTCTGTGTTTTTTTAAAAAATATTTATTTATTTGAGAGAGAGAGAAAGAGACAGAGAGAGCACAAGCAGAGGGAGTGGCAGGCTCCCCACTGAGCAGGGAGCCCAACGCGAGACTCAATCCCAGGGCTCCAGGATCATGACCTGAGCTGAAGGCAGACGCTTCACCCACTGAGCCACCCAGGCGCCCCAGACTCAACATGAATTTGCTGAGATTTATCCGTCTCGATGAAGGTAGTGACCCAGAGGCAACTAGTAAAGACCTATTGACCACAGCGATGACCATCTTTAACTGTTTTAGCTCTTTGGGCCATGGAACCCAAACATCTCCTCCTGGGAGAGGATTGTTGCCTTATGTTTGCAAAACTCACGGCCCATCCAGCAGGTTTCTCGGAATAAGGAGGTGATACTCCCTGAAGATGGTGTTGAGTGCCCGCCTCCCGAGAAGAGAGAACTCAGATATTTGTGGTGGAATCACAGTGCGTCTGACCCTGGCCTCCACTCTCCCCAGCGGAGGTGAGCAAGCTCCCTGTGGTCAGCGTGGAGAAGGCCAAGGACCAGGAAGGAACACCGAAGGGCAGGGCCTTCCATTCTGAATGCCCTTCACTTAGCTCCTCCTGGTCTGAGCATGCGGCAGTTGGATTAAAATTGACTTTTAGTTTCAAAGTGTGAATGGCTGAGTTGATGGCAAAGAATTGTACGCCCTGGATGCTTTTGAAAGCTGTCTGAGGGGATTGGATACAGATACGGAAGCAGCTCAGTGTCGGGAGAATGACTTTGTCCATTACCGGCTCTGAGCTGGGCACCTGCCACATGGCGCCCCATGGAGCCTTGGGATTCCACGAGCAAGTGTGTCCGCGCCACAGGGGAGCCCCGAGGGTCTGCCTCCACCACTTAACACATCCGGGCCATTCCCCTTCGGAAGGGAAGGGTGTCATAGGGCAAGAGCTTGAAATTTTGGATGAAAGGATATTATCTTAAAAGGTCGAGGGCATGGATCTTACTTGTGAGGAGAAGGGATGTTTAGCAGTATGAACGAGGAGGTATTTGTTTGGATAGGCAAGAAAGAACACTTAAGCTGTGTTTGGGAAAATGAAACTTTGCTCTTGGAATCATTTCAGATGTTTAAGATCTAGTGATCACACTGTAGGACGACATTCTAAATAGCTATGGGGAGCTTTTGGACTCAGGCTTGTTTTTATGGCTTTTTATGTTCCTTATATGGCGTCCCTTGAGCTTTTGGGTGAGACGTTGTGAATCTTAGCATTTTTCATTTGTTTTTCTTTATGGTTAAAACTTCAGCGTTGGAAAACATCAGTAAAACACTTTGGGGTGTGTGTTCATCCTGAGGCCCTGTGGTTACGTCTTGGCATAATATTAAAGGAATGCCACCACGATCAGGCACAGAAAAAGGAAAATATGCCTCTGGGAGGGAGTGAGGGACCGAGGCTGGTGGTCAGATTCTGGGGCTGGGAGCCAGGAATCTGGGCTCTGCTCTGAAAACCGTGTCCGTGCCTTTGTCCTGGGGGGTGTCTGAGAGCTCGTCCTTCCATCTTCTTTCAGGGTTTGGGAGTGGGATGCATGGAGGATGTTACCACTGTTACATAATGTCGCTGTTACCGTGTGGGGATAGACAGCCCCTGAAACCGCTCTGGCACACAGCCGGTGCTCAGTAGATGCTCAGCGAGAATGAACTCTCCATTAGCGGCTCCCCTGCGAATGAAACCTCCTTCTTGAAAGCTGGGCTGGGACGCGGCCGCACGCAAGTCTCCGTGTATTGACCAGATTAGGCGTCTCGGCAGTTGCGACGCGAAGGAGGCCGCGGTCAGAGGCCCCAGCTCCTTGCTGGCGAGGCCACCTGGACTGGGCTCCAGCCCATGGGCTCTGCTGAACTCTCCGTTACGGGAACACGCGGCCTCCTCCCCGGCCAGGTGCGACTGACGGCTGGAAGTCAGGACCTGAGTGACCCCCACGGGCGCCCCCGCTGCAGCCTGGCGCTCCGCGCTGCCCGCTCCGCACACGCTCCTCGTTGTTACACTCTCCTCATCCCCTTCCTGTGCCATTTACATTTCGGGAAGGTTTCTGAGGCAGTGACACGAAGAGTGAACTGGAAGGACACCAGGCTGGGGACAGAGAGGCCGAGGCGGCAGTGGCGGCGGGTGTCGGCAAGGGGAGAGGGACGCGAGACGCCTGACTGAAGGTGCTGGTGACGTGTCTCACAACCTGACTTCCCCGGATGCCCGCCGGTGGTTAAAGCATCTCACCCTCGATTGTGAAGACAGCCAAGGCTCAGCTCTCTGGCGAGATCAGTAAGTAAGCCAGAAGGCTTTGCAGAGTCCACAGGGCACGGCCCCGACCGAGCGGTTGGCAGAAAGGAGGTGACCACCAACCGCGTGAGGAACAGCCAGCTACCGGGTCCCACAGCTTGTGCGTTCAACGCCTCAACAGGCCGCTTTTGGGACATGCGTTTCTGTTTGCAGGTGGATCTCTCTGTCTCTGTTTCTCTGTTTCTCAAAGCTCCAGTAAGAAGATGGGAACCACATCCTCCAACAGCTGTCATGGAAAAATCAAACGTCTACGGGTTATTCACTGCTGCAATTGTTGGTTTGTTTTTTTACTTCTTTCTATACGCCTGTCTTTTCATGAATTTGCATTTCGTTTTAGAATTGGAACCCCTTCAAAGTATTTATTTTTTCTTTGCCTAAGGACAAGTGACCTAGAGCTGCGTTTCTTGCTAAAGACAGCTTTCCCTTCTCTCCACACACGATGGCACTGAAGATGGTTTAGCTAGAGCAAAAGTGATGTGTTTGAAACAAAGAAAACTTTTAGCGCCTGCAGTTATAATTAAATCGTAGCATGTCTGAGGTGGGACTTCTTGAGTCCCGGGCGGGTGAGTCTTACACCTGCCTTGAGCTGTCAGGTGCCCCGAGAGTCGGCGTCCTGGGCGGCTGTGCTTCTTAGAGAAGGAGCCCACTGTGCAATCCTCCGCAGAGGCGGCTTTCTTCTGCCATCTGCGCCTGGCCCACCATTCCGCTGGAGGGGAAGGAAGGGTCACAGTCTTTGAGGACCGTATGGTCTCTGTCTTGTTACTCAATCGTGCAGTCGAGTAAAATGCATCCGTAGACAATCTGTAACCCAGGGTTGGCTGTAGTCCACTAAAACTCCGTTTACGAAAACAAGCGACAGGCTGGATTGGCCCAAGGGCGGTGGTTCGCCAGCCTCTGTCCAGTGTTATCAGCATGGCCCCGGCTGAGTCCTGACGCCTTGTTTCCTCTTTTTTTATTAGGAAACCATCCTGGTGAAATGTGATCGGCCTGCTCACCCTTTGATTAATAAGACGTATAATTTCGAGAGGTAAGTGCTTTGATGCCTAAAGCGACGTTACACAAACACGAATTTCACGTTAGCATTTGGCTCACGAGATTCACAACACGTCCTGCCGTTTGCACTAATTGCCCAGAAGCAAAGACCGTTTTGCGGAGCGAGCGAGTCTTTCCAGCCAGTGGTGCTGGAGCCGTGGGGCGACCCCTGCAGACGGGAAGTGACCCTTGATGTGTGTACCACACCTTTTGCAAAAAGTAAGTGAAATGGAATCTAGACCTAGATATGAAGCATAAAACCGTAGAACACAGGAGCTTGAGAAACGCCACTAAAAGCGTGATCTATACACGAAAAAGATCTGCCGGACTCGACCACAATGAAACCGTTCGCTCCGTGTGCGACCTTGTTAGGGGGACGAGCCGGCAAGCCCCACGCCACAGAAACCTCGGGAAATCAGAGCTCCCCGAGCACGTGTACCCAGCAAACAGAACAAACCAGCCGCCTCAGCAGGCGGGCAGAGTGTCGGGACAGAGGCTCCCCCAGAGCCAGATGCTGACGATGAGTTTCCCGGGAAGGTCAGCTGAGAGCCCGGAGAGCCGCCCGCCCCCCGCCCCCCGCGTCAGGATGGCCAACCCATCAGACTGACCGGACCAAGTGCTGGTGGCCTGACATGAAACACATGCTGAGCCTACGACCCAGACATTCCGGAAGAGACCAGTCCAGGGGGGAGGAGAGCGGGTGAGAGTCTGTCCGGAGCCAGGAGGCTGGGGAGGGGTTGTCACCCGAGAGGCCGCATGAGGGAGTCTCCAGGGAGAGCTGTTCTCCGGGGTGGCGTATGCTGTGCGTCTGTCGAGACCCACAGACCTGTCGCCTCAAAAAGTGAAGTCTTCTCAACGTAGATTTTAAAAATACAACCAATTTTTCAAAGAGACTTTAGGAGACCGAAGAACCGGTTGTGATGTGTGGATCCTGATCAGTCAATAAACTCCTACGCTGTGTTTTACGAGACGGTGACGTGGCCGTGCGCGTTTCTGGTACGGAGCACTGCCGCGGGTCGTCATGGTAACGGGGTCCGTCAGGACCGGACGTACCAGTCTTGCGTGTGATGCCGGAGACTCAGGGTCAGTGACGCCAACACCAGTGGGGCCCCAGGGAGAGAGAAGCAGACCCCTAAGTTTGGTCAGAGATCCCACCTGGTCGGCGACAGACAGAACCAGAATCCAGTGGTCATGAGCAGAGGCTCTGGAGCCTGTGTATTTGATCCTGCAAAGTAGAAGTTAACCAGTTTGTCTGTCTTCCCCCAAGAGGACGGGAGGACCTTGGAAGGCTCAGGCTTGCACCTCGCAGCCACCTGGTCAGACGCAGAGACCCCCGGGCCATGGGCTCCCCACTGGGCTCAGGGCCCTGGAGCTCCATCACTCCCCCCCGACGTGCTGACCACGTCCGTGAGGCCTGGGATGTGGAAGAGGACACGGAGGGGAAGTGTCGCCCCTGGGCCGGCTCTGTGACTGCTGGTGACCCTGCCCGGGAGGGCCGTGCCCTTCACCGCTGGCTGCCACCCCCTCCACATCCTCTCTGGGGACACGCGCTCCCGGGGCCCTGGTGCCGGCGAGGCCACAGGAGGACTCCGGCTGCCAGCCGTCCCGCCACCCCACTGTGCCAGACGTGGGGTCCCAGGCTTCTCGGCCCCGGAGGGACCCCAGTGGACCAGGAGGGGCAGGCCCATCCACGCAGGGTTCTGGCCCAGGAGGGAAGTCAGACGTGCAGATGCCCACCCTTCAGACCTTCCTGTCACTGCTCTGCTGGCATGAGGGCGCAGGGTCTCGGTCAGACACACCGGCCAGCCGCCTACACACCAGGATCTGTGCCCCGGCATCTTGTCTGTGTCCCTGAAGCACGTGGTCCCGGGGGATGGTCTGTGAGGCACACTCTGGAGTCTTTGCCTTGAACGATCTCATCTGGGCCGAGAGGCTCAGCATGGTGCTTCCCTCCGCACGTGGGAGCTTTTCCGCCACTGTCCCCCAGCTTCCACTGCTGCTGGCCCGGAGCTTGGCGGTCCTTTTGTCGGATGAACACGTCCAGACCTTGTGTGAAGAGACTTTACCCGGAGGGCTGGTCGGCCAGGGAAGGGATTCCCAGCTCAGGGCCAGAGCTGTCGCCTGGCGCGCCTCTGGCCTCAAGGGCTGCCAGCCCCCCGGGTCAGGAGAAGGGCTTCCATTTACAGGAGCGGAGTGGGGGGCTGCCTCGGGGGGGCACTGGTCTTGCCCTGAGGCCAGCCAGTTCTCGGTGGGGGGAGGGCTGGAAGGAGCCCCCCAGACTCTGATCCGGTCTTTATGGGACCGCTCCACCTGGGGATTTCCCCACCCCACCTGGGGATTTCCCCACCCCAGGGCCACTATCCATATCCACGTGACCTGCAGGTTTGTGGTTGTGGCTCCTCCTGGAGGGCCCCTCCACCCCATCTGGAGCCCACAGCACCCTCTCTACCATCTCTGTTTATCAGGACCTGCCCTTCAGGCCTCACCCCTGCAGAGGGCCCGGGCCCCCTGTCCCTGTGTGTCGCCCCTCCGGAGGGGCGGGCCCAGCCTGGAGCCCTCCTCCTTGGCTCAGTCTGCCCCCCAGCAGGACAGTGCCAGGTTCTCCGCGGTCCGGCGGCCTCTCCGCGTGCTGCTGGAACGTTCCCCTCCCTCCGTCCATCCAGGCTGTGTTCTGTATGGCGTTTCTGGTTACGTGTCTTCAGTGTTCGGTGATGTGGAGGGGGGAGGTGGCCACACCTCCCGAGCCCACCCTGCCACGAGGCAGACCTTTAATCCACCTCACGTTTATGTGGCCCCTCAGATTGTTCCAAGCCTGTTTGTGCAAATCAAGTCCCTCGACCTTCTCAGGAACACCTGGGCAGGTGCCACAGGTGAGGAAACCAAGGCCCAGCTGGTCACACACCTTTCTGGAGTCAAGTCTGGCCAGCTACCACCTGCAGGAACCGAGAAGGGCTGGCAAGGGCGCTGGGGTGGGGACGCGTCGGCCGGCCGTCACCGGGACCTTGTTTTGGGGAGTAGGGAGGAGGGGTGCCCACACCTCACTCAGAAGCCGGGATTTGGGGATGCTTGGCAGCAGTGGTCACAACATGCTGGGGTTTGGACAGACGGGGAAGATCTCGATTGTGCCGTTTGAACAAAAGAAGAAATGAAGGAATGTGCACAAGTCACTCTATATCTAGGTTAAGAAGCAGGAATTTAAATTTAAATCTCCATGGGAATTTGTTCCTGGGAGATACTGTTGTGGTGCTCAGGACTATCTCCCTTCATAAACAGTAGGGCATGCGGGGCTTATGAAACCAGGCCACTGCCTATTTTATAACAGCTTTTTATGGAACTAATAAATGTCACAATATTTTATTTCAGTTCTGAAAGAAAATCTCAACAGTTTCAGTACTTAACCCCTTTTTAAAAATAAATGTGTGTCAAAAGAAAATACACTCCTTACTATTCAGGAAAAATATGAATGGGCCCAGAGTCAGAGGACAGTTGCTGCCTTCTAAGAGGAATAAAAATATGTTATTATTTGTTAAAATGGCAAACTAAAAGTAACAGCCATTGACCCAAAATGCCGTAAGAAGAATACTAAGTAATTTTATTGTCTCAAGTCTAATTTATGTATCGGGTAGACGAAGGTGGCTGTGTTCTCTCCTTACGTGCATTTAGGCCATCGTGGACCCGAGGTGTGTTCGTGTGAGTCCCCTGTGGTCGCGAGTTCGAGGCTTCCCCAGCCTCCCACTACATGCAGGCAGAGGGCTATAGGTGAGCTGAAGGCGTCCGAACCCAGTCCTGACAACTCAGTTAACCAGGATACAAAATGGTCAAAGGCAGAGAGAAAGAAAAGGGTCAGGGACCCCCAGATGCCTCCAGTGGGGCTGGGCGTGGATTGGAGCCGGTGGGGGGGGTGCTAGCTCTGCGGAATGAACGCCCTCCACGTGGCCTGGCCTTCCCCCTGCACCTGCAGCTTTTCGCCAGGACACGTTAGCACCTGGGGCTGCAGCCGCCGTGGCCGAAATGTCACCTGCGCCTGGCTTCTCTCGCGCGGGGGCTGGATGTCTTGTCAGGTGGCTGAGGGCCATGCACGGTCCTTCTCTGTGAGCGCTCAAGTCTCTAGACACTTTTCTCCAAAGAGAGAGAAAGGATTTCTAATATAAAGAGAAACATTAGGAGCATATTTCTACAATAGAAGGAAATGTTAAAGTTTAATACAGAGAGGATTGGCCTTTTTCTTCTCTATTTTTAGGGTATTAATCTTTTATCTGTGATTTAAGTTGCAACTATTTTTCGAGTTTGTATTCTTTTCTGAAATCTCTTAGCCATGCAAAAGCTTTCTCCCCTTTAACTTAAGTATAGTTACAAAGGTCACCAGGTTAGAGAAAAATATACCCAGGTGTTCTAGTAATTGTGTGCTTTATTTTTGACATTAAACTTGTGATCCATTTGGGATGTATCCTAGAATAATTAATGTCTAAGGAATGGATCCAATTTCACCTTTTTCCATGTACCTCCCCAGTTATAGGGACATCACTTAGGGAAACAATCTTTCCCTGCTAATCTGAGACGTCTCCTTTATCCTACAAGTGCCAGGCACAGTTGGGTCTAGTTCTGCGTTTGTCTTGGACACCCTCGGGTGCTAGCAGGTGCAAGCGGGTGCGGGCTGCACAGCCCTCCCCCACCCCCATCTTATGGAACCAGTTGCTTCATTGTGTCCAACTGCTGACCTCCTGAGTGATGACTCAATACAACGTTACCAAGTGTGGGTGGCAGGACCTTTGACCTTGGCTTCATGTTGGTGGAAAAGACCTGAGTGTTTAAGTAAGACGCTCATCACCAAGCCTAAACTATTTACTATTTAGGAAAAGTTTGCCGACCCCTGCAGTAGATTAGAAATTTAGAAGACATTCGGCCAGCAGCCACAGGAATGCCGTGTTTGAATCATGAGTTTTAAAAACTGACAGGAAAAGTAAGCTTACCAGAGAACTGGAGAAATGTCAGAGAACACGGACTGACTTTGGGGGATGATATTGAGGAATTACCATTAATTTTTTTAAATGTGGTAATGGTAGCATCATGATGTTTTCTGGAAGTCTTCATCCTTTTCAGATACATACTGAAACATTTTCGAGGTCAGCTTCTCCAGGCTCCAAATGGAGGGCTGCGGGCTTGCGCCAAGTCACAGGCCGTGGGAATTCAGTGAGAAGTTAAAAAAAAAAGATTCAAGGGGCCCCTGGGTGGCTCAGTCTATTAAGTGTCTGACTCTTGGTTTCGGCTCAGGTCATGATCTCAGGGTCGTGGGATTGAGCCCCACATTCAGTGGACATTCTGCTGAGTGCAGAGCCTGCCTGGGATTCTCTCTCTCTCTCCCTCTGCTCCTGCCCACACCCCTGCTCTCTCCCAAATAATAAATAAATCTTCAAAAAAAAAAAAAAGATTCAAGGCGCCTGGGTGGCTTAGTTGGTTAAGCATCCGACTCTTGGTTTTGGCTCAGGTCATGATCTCAGGGTTGTGAGATCATTATAGCCCTGTTTCCGCCTGTGGCGCCCCAGCACCTAAAGCACATTGTGGGCGCCCGAAAGGCACAGGATGTGACAGGTCAGGTCCCTGTGGGAACCCCATGCTTCCCTGCTGCACACACAGCCTTGCACTAGGCTCCACACTCAGCAGGGAGTCTGCTGGAGATTCTTTCTCTCCCTCTACCCCCCATTCCCCTGCGTGTTCTCTCTCTCTCACACAAGTAAATACATAAATAAAAATTAAAAAAAAAAAAAAAGATTCAAGAGCTCAGCATCACACTACTTGCCCCAAATGCCCTCCTGATCATGCATAATAAGCAACATTTTAATTTTTTTTTAAAGATTTTATTTATTTATTTGACAGAGAGATAGACAGAAGAGCACAAGCAGAGGGAGTGGCAGAGGGAGAGGGAGAAGCAGGCTCTGCACTGAGCAGGGAGCCCGATGCGGGGCTCGATCCCAGGACCCTGAGATCATGACCTGAGCTGAAGGCAGACGCTTAACCATCTGAGCCACCAAGGCACCCCATAATAAGCAACATTTTATACATTTTAAAATACTCCTGCTTCTGGAAATACTATGGATCAATTGGACATTATGACACATTCTGAAAATGAAAGAAGAGAAACATTTGGTACCAGCTAAATAAAAGCCTGTATTTCAGGCATCTAAGCTTAAATGCAAAGCACATTGGATTCAATACAACTGACCAGTAGTGCTTATTTCATATATTTGGTAGTCTGGCACAAATTCTGCTCTTCAGCTGCATTCTAATCTTGTTTCAAATTGTGCAGTGAGCTGCGTTTCTTAGAAGTTCCTTCCTACTTAGCTGTATTTGTGCGTGCTTATAAACACAGAACCACATCGGATCCCCCCTTCCATAGTAGACATTCCAGTCCCATGACGCATATGGACATTCTGCTGAACTAACCTGGGGCCTAGGAAAACAATGCTTTGGAGAGCTTGAAAATAAAAATTAAATACTACATATCCGATGTTGCCCAGAGTATGATTTTTATGTTATTCTTGTTGGACCCACTTAAGTGGAGCTAATTTAGTCCCAGGATAATTACATGGTATCCTTTCTTTTCTTCTTGCTGGCTTGCTTTTTCTTTCTGCTTTGCAAGCATTCATAATTGTGTTTTTATAACAGAGGAGACATTTCTTCAGTCTTCCTTAGCCTCTGTTAGCCTGAAAGGTAATGGAATCGATCCCCAATTGTTACAAAGATGGATCTTGACTGTGTTGGGGGCTTAGATGGGAAGTGGATAAGGCTCTCGTTATTAGCAGGGTTTCATATTTGGTTACTAATGTAAATCTCTTGTTCTTCCAATAATGCGTCATTTTTCCCTTTGCCTCTCAGAGTTTATGGCCCAGCAGAATCTCAGCAAGTGGTATTTGGGGATGTGTGCCCGCTGCTTACATCTCTCTTAGATGGGTGAGTTAAAATATCTTCAAGGCCAGGGATCACAGTTATGAGTAACTGTAAGTAGATCTCATTCATGCTACACGATGAATGTGTGACGTTACAGTCTGAATGTGATGGCAGAGCAAACCCGTAGCCCCGTGTCGATTAGTGTCCATGGGGGGCGGGGGAGTAGGTCTGTGTGCCAGGAAGAGGGCCACCCAGGACTTGAGGAACGGCTGTCATGGACACCTACTCCCTGGTTCTAGTGACACGTGAAGGCTGTGAGCAGTTGTCCTTGTGCTCTCTGGGACTTTTTCTGCATTTTAGAATTTTCAGAAAGTCTGTGGAGCGTGTTAACACTGGACTGAGGAACTTGTGATCCCTTTGGGATGGAGCCTCTGGCCCCGGACCCGTGACCACCGATTCCCAAGGTCACATCTTCTGAGTAAAGATCGCGTCTTTAGCAACAAATGGAACCAGATTCGTGTGACTGAGACACAATATGCCAAGGCTTCCTACTTCGGGGTGCTGGGAAGGACCCCAGTTTGGTGGAGGAGTCTGCGTTCAGTGTCCTGAAGAAGCCATATTCGTGTTTGCCCAGCAAAGCTCCTGCACAGCCCAAGTCCACAAACTAGAGGCTGTCGTCATAGCCCTGTTCCCGCCCGTGGCGCCCCAGCACCTAAAGCACATTGTGGGCGCCCGAAAGGTGCAGGATGTGACAGGTCCGGTTCTCGTGGGATCCCCATGCCTCCTGCTGCAGACACCTGCAGGGCCGAGCCTCCCACAATGATGCAGTTTCTCCTTGCACCCTTCTTCTGGAATGCTGGGGCTTTTAGACCCATCCAAAAAAAGTTCTTCCATGGAAAATGATAGGAGGGCTCTTGTTCTTTTTTTAAGTAGGCCTCTTTTAAGTAAGCAGATTCCAGAAATAAAAAAGGCATAGTGGTTAAATGGTCTTTGCCAGAGTTGCCTTTCCGTTTTAAATGTGAAACAGATGGCATTATTTTGAGTCCTGAGCTGCTTTCTTCAAGAGGCTTCTTTCCTCTCTGCATTCCTCAAGGGCTCGTAAGGTCCCCGTAAGAGCTGGTGACCCGCTGAGACCAAGGTATTCCCGCCGGAGAAGTGCACCATCATCTCCTCAGGGAAGGTCTGAGATACAGAATGCAGTGAGGTTTTTGTTGTAAAGACCTTGAGACTTTTCAATTCCGGAAGACAAACAATGTAGTGTGGTAACTCTGAGGTGCTGGGTTGGTCTTTGCCCTAATACGCTTCCTGCTGGACTAGAACAGTCGGTCCTGGAGGGAGGCGTGCCGGTCAGCCGGAGCGCTCCTCACAGTCCTGGCATCCTTCACAGCCTCACTGGTGTGACTTGCTGGGAGTGCCTCAGGCTAAATAGCCCGTCTGCTTAAAGGTCGATCCATGAAATCAGAGTCTTGAGGTGGGGCCTGCGTGGGGACGGTCTCGTCCCCTCCGTGATGCAAAGGGGGGTTCAGGCCTTAGCATTCAGCCCCCTGTAGGTCTGGATCACCCGCACTTTCATGGCCAAGATTATACATTTATATCATTTATATATTTGTATCATAAATCTATACCCTATCATATAAATTTATATCCATTTTCAAATGTTCTTTCGATGTTCCGATCTTCCCATTGACATCTTGGGCTGAAGAAACAGCTGGAAGGAAATGCAGGGAGCCAGCAACCATCCCTGTCCTCTGTGACGTGACCCCGAGCTGTGGGGAGCAGGGGGCAGTGCCTGTCACGGAGACCGTGTTGGTGTGTTCTGGCTGACTGCGGAGGTGGAGTCCCCGCGTCCCCTGGAATGCCGAAGTCTCAGAATATGTAACAAATGGTAGCCGTGCTCGCCATCCTATATGTGATGGGGAAATATTTGTAGAAAACCACAGGGAAGTGTCACATGCATTAGGAGAAGCCCCAGTTTAGCAAGATGAGCTTGCTTTGGGCGGCCCCAGCTCTGCACTGATGGAGTGGATGGGGCGGACGAGGGGTCTTGCTCAGGGTGGGACCCCCCCGGGGACCTTGAGCGCAGGGTGCCAGCAGCGGGTGCCCAGAGGAAATGTCGAATCACCGAGGAGCAGCAGGTGCCGACAAGGAGCGTGTTAAGCGCGTGTAAAGGGGAGTGTGGTTCAGCCCAATGCTGTGTAATCAAACAACAGCAGGGACTCTGCAAAAACACAGCTCCAGTCCCATGAAAGCCTGCTTTGTAAGGGATGGAGTAACAGAGGAATGCAGAGCGACACGTATCAAAGTTTCCATCGGAGGGAACGTTGTTCTTAGAACCCAGTTATGGCAGGAGACCTCTGTGTGGGTTGCAGTGCTGACATTTGTGTTGGGTTTCAGGTACAACGTCTGCGTTCTGGCTTATGGACAGACAGGATGTGGCAAGAGCTACACCATGTTGGGTCCACATTCTAAGGAGGCACGCATCCCCCCATGGGGCCCGCACAGTGACCTCGGAATCATGCCCAGGGCTGCTGGAGAGCTCTTCAGGTACCTGGGGGCAGTGGGCAGAGGCCCAGAGTAGCAGGGAGTATGGGAGGCCAGCAGCACCGGGAAGGGGCGTGGCGGACGGCTCCTGTTTGCGGAGACCACACCTGACGCTCCTGTCAGAACCCACTACGGTCCAACATTTAAATACTCTGGGCCTCCGCACCACAAACACTAGAAATTCTTATGGCACATTCATGTTGAAATTCTGTCGTTAAGACAAAACTTTTTTTTTTTAAGGGTTGCTTTTTTCTTTTTTTAAGATTTTATTATTTGTTTTGGGGGGAGGGGCAGAGGGGGAGAGAGAACCTCAAGCAGATTCCCAGCTGAGCATAGAGCCTGACTCAAGGCTTGATCCCACGACCCTGAGATCATGACCTGAGCCGAAATCAGGAGTTGGACTCTTAAGCAACTGAGCCCCCCTGGGGCCCCAAATCGAAACTTTTTGAAAGAGATCCCTAGCTGGACAATTTCCCTGTTCAGGAGAGGATGGAGCATGGAGGTTTTCTGTCCTAGAATGGGACGGGGACAGCGGGAGACCCCCGTTGTCTTTTCCTTGCCTCCTGGCCCTGGAAAGAGCCGACACATCTGGTTTTCTTCTTCGGAGTTACAGCGAGCTGGGCATGTTGAAGATGCTTCTGTTCTGGGAAAACATCCCTGGAAGAGACCCACTGCATTTTCATGATTTTACCAATACAATTACTCCTGGAAAAAATTAGTAACAAGTTGTCCTTGGCAGCCCAAGTTGCCAGGGGATCCTGGAATAAAGCCATGACATTCCATCCTCTAGGCCTGGACACAGACTGTCCCGGCCTCCAGGGGCCTTCAGCAGGTCTCCGGGGGAGCCGGGGGCCTTCCGTGCTGCCCACCCCCTGGATTCGGTTTCTCGCTCTGTGTCTCCTTGCTGAGCCTTTCCGCGTCTTAAAATCGCAGCCAGACAAGGACATAAGCACTCCCACACAGCCTAATGTTTTAGAGCCTCTTCAAACCAATATTCCTTAAGTATTAGTACACATAGAAAATGCATTTATTAAGTTTACTTGTACTAACTACTTCTGAAGAGGACCTGTCAGGGCAGGTGAGGCTGGGCTGTGTAACAGCCATTCTGGAAATCTCAGTGGCCACGAGGCCAGTGTGGGGTGCCACGCGGGGCCGCCACTCCCAAGTGTGTGCTTGTGGGTTGCCGGAGGTGGGGGAGGAGGTCTGGGGCGTGTGGCCAGCCTGCAGACTTCTCCTGGGAGGAACACGTCAACCCTGCCTCGTTGCCTCAGCCCAAGAAGGCGCGTGGCCGCGGGCCGCCTCGGGGGTCCCTGGGGTGGGGCTGCGGATCTCAGGTCCCAGAGCTCTCCCTCTGGGGACATGGCACTGCATCGGGTGTTTGCTCTGGTTCCAGAATCTCAAGGGGCTGGGACCGCAGTGTGAGTCCCAGATGTGCTCTGCACTGCTGGTGCTGGTGGGAGAGCCGTGTGCCCCCTCCGGGGAGACCTCATCGGACCACGCAGCAGCCACATTGGCCGGAAGCTAAGCAGCGGCCACGTGAGACCACGGCAGAGCTGCAGCAGCTCTGGGCTTTCCTGGGGGTCACGTGGAAGGAGGGGTCCCGGAGAGACCAGGGGTCAGGAGAAGAGCTTGCAGGGTCTGCCGCGCAGAAGGGCCTGGGGGCCGCTGCCGTTCCAGGCTCTGGGGCCCTGGCGGGAGCCTGCCGACCACCCTTCCAGCGCCCTGTGCTCATTGGCACCCTTGGCGTCGTGAAGGTGCCTGGCTCCTTCCAGCCCAGTGACACCACAGCCTTTGTGGCAGATCTCGGCTTATCAGCAGACGTGAGGAGCTTTCTACCTGCCAGGCTGAACGAACAAGGAGTCCAGAGAATGCGCGTGATAATTTCCAGCCCTCGAAAAGCCCAGAACGAACACAGAGAGGATCCAGGAGGATGCGCAGGACCAGGGGTGGCCCTCCCACCCGCCCTGCTTCAGGGCTCCCCCCTTTGTAACCTCACGGGGAGCCCACACGTATTTTTGTGTAAAACTCACTACAGCAGGCGTCCTGCCTACTAAACACTCGGCTTCTTCACGGCAAAGACCGAAGACCACGTTTCAACACCGTTCGCAGAGTCTAGCAAACTACTGAACACCAGAGAGACAAACGAACCAATGCATGGAGCAGATCAAGTACTTAAGTAAATGGGAGGAAATCTTCAAATCAGCTCCCTGGTATTATGTAGATAAGAAATTTCGAATTCGGGTTTTGTGACGCCCAGAGACACGGCCGTTCACACGAGGGGATGGAGCCACACGCCGAGGTCAGGTTTACGTGAGCGTGTTCTCGAGAGCGGAGGGAGGGACGTCCAGCCCCCAGCTCAGCTGACCTAGCTCTTCGCTCTTCCCAGTTACTCTTCTTAGAGTCTTTCTTCTCTGCAGACCCCAGCGTGGAGGACGATCCAAATCTGAACTCTGTGCCGAAAATTATTTTCACTGGAGAATTTATTTTTTTCTTTCATCTTAGTCTTTCTCGTTTCCTTGACTGTATCACCAGAAGACATTAATTGCTCATTTTATCTTGGCTCTCCGTAGCTCCTCGGTAAACTCCATCTATCCATGCTTGCGTAAGACACACCAGGCTGCGTGTTTTCTCGGCAGACACCCTCCTCCCACGCTGGACTTCCAGCCCCGGATCCAGAATTTCTTTGTGGACAAGAAAGCACCGTACTCAGACTCAGACTGGTCTCACTGAGCACGTGTCAGATGAGCAACGATCCCCAGAAGGCAGGGGCGGCCTCCGTGGGCTGTGGGAGTTTTGTGGAAAGGCGCTAGCAGGGGCGTGGGCAGGAGGAGCTGGGCTGGTGGTCACTCTTGCCCTGACTAGGGTTATGGGGTTTTTCTCTAAGCGGGTCGTATCTGTATTTTTAAACCTTTCCATGGTCAGCACATAGCACCTTACAAGATGAAACAGAAGAAGACGTGCAGTGGTTTCTAAGAGGCTGGGTACGTTGTCAGGAGGTCCTGGCAGGGCTTGGCTGGCGGTCTGGGCACGAGCCGGGCTGCGGCAGGAGCCGGCACCCAGTCCTCCCTGGAACGGAGCAAACCCCAGCCCCGGGAAGGTGCTGAGCCGTCCTGTCCTGGCAGCCGGCTTTGGGCTTCTGTGTGGTGATGAGACTCGGCCGAGGGGCTTTCTGCATGGAGGCTGCATGCTCTCCCTGCACCCTCCCCTCGTGGGCCTGGGATCCTAAGGGTCCCTACCGATGGCTGAAATCATTGATTCAGATACGGCTCAGATAAAGCAGCTGTTCCCAAGACAGTTGCTTACCCTGCGGTTCGAAGAGAATTCGCTTTCTTCCTGCTGGTGATAAGACGCTGCCCGGTACTCACGGGCTGGGGGTCTCGCTGCGTGTCCCGGACGGCAGCCTGTCCTGTGAGAGTGGGTCCCCTACAGCTTTCTTCACGGGGCTGCCCCAGTTCCCGTGGTGGCTGATCCCTCGTGTCCCCACCCCCCAGGCTTATTTCAGAAAACCCATCAAAGAGCCTGAAGGTCGACGTGTCCATAGTGGAAGTGTATAATAACGACATTCTTGACCTTCTGGCCAAAGAGCGCCGCACGGAGGTGTCTGGGCCCAAGCGTGACGCGCCGACAAGCAAGGCAGCAAAGCGGGAGGTCTCTCCGCCAACCCGGCAGTGAGTGTTCAGCCGTGGCCCGGCTTCTCTGAGCGGCCGGCAGCCTCACCGGGATCCCATTATCGCTGAAAGGGTTCACGGTGTTGTTGCACTTAGGGTGTGTCGTGCATTTTTCAGTTTGCTTTAGAAATTATCTTTTTAAAATCACAGTTGAAACAGACACGTTAATTAACCTTTTAAAATATCTTGATGACAAATGTGTGACAGGTCCCATCCTCATATTCCAGATGAGGGAGCGAGCTTGGAGAAGTGGACTTCCCCACGGTCCCGCCATTAAGTATAAACATCCTCATTTCCGCTTGTACATGTCAATATTTGATAGAATACAGTAATCATTCATCTTGTAAATAGGGAAGGCTCCTCATATTTTAAAAAATATTTTATTTATTTATTTGACAGAGACAGTGAGAGAGGGAACACAAGCAGGGGGAGTGGGAGAGGGAGAAGCAGGCTTCCCGCGGAGCAGGGAGCCCGATGCGGGGCTCGATCCCAGGACCCCGGGATCATGACCTGAGCCGAAGGCAGACGCTTAACGACTGAGCCACCCAGGCGCCCAAAGTCTCCTCATATTGTTTAAAGACACTCCTCAAAGTTGCCTGTTCCCTGAGTCCACATCTGGGTATCCAGTTTGCTCGCGGGGGGCGGGGGAAGGCTGTCTCCCCTTGTTTGATGAGGGTTAGGGTAGCGAGCCTGTCCTGGGATCTCAGAGTCAGTAAGGGAAGGGTCTGCAGCTGTTTCTAGCATCTGAAAAAAACCTGCAGGATGGTACAGTGAACCATAAGTTTGCACAAGGTAACCAGAACTCTCAGCTTTTGACTAATAAGACTCAGAACAACATAGGTCCCGCTGATGGGAATTTCTGATTAGCTGTCATCTCTCACTAACTAAAATAGGGAAATGGACTTTTATTGGAGTCCACGGGGTGTCCTGAAACAGTTGATTATTCCAGAGTAAAGCAGTTCATGACACGTCAGTCAGGCCTCAGAAAGGAAGGCGTTTGATTTGCTGTTTTATTTTGTCTGACGTGTGCTTCAGTCCGCTTTCCTACAACAGGTCCCCTTGGTCTGGGTGAGAGGGTGGGGGGCGTCCCTTGCCGCCACCCCAGGCGCGCTCCCCATCACTCGGGCTCTCTGCCAGGCCCGTCCACAGTGCGGAGGACTTCATCGCGCTCGCCGCCGGAAGCCTGCAGCTCAGGGCGCAGCTCGCCACCCAAGTGCACGCCCGTTCTTCTAGATCCCACCTGATAATAACGGCCACTCTCACCGCAGCCTCCCCCTGCGACAGCCCCGGTAAGTGGCCGTGTGCACCTGGGCAGGGGCATGGAAGAGAAGTTGCACGGAGCCCGAGGGTGGGAATTGCAAACACTCCTTTGGAGGGTCTGGAACCCAGCCTGAGAAGAGAGGGGATCAGGGTGAGGGACAGAGGAAAGGCTTTGTTAAATAGGATATAACACGAGGAGAATGGGCGTATTTGTATCTGGGAATACGATGCCCGAGTCGTGAGTGTGATTTGGGTTTAGAAAGTCACAAACCAGTATATACAATGGTGCCAGTTATGTAAGAAAAGTAAGGCATGGGTTGCAAGGGTCTGGACGTCCCAGTCGGTGAAGACTGGGCCAGCACACAGGGTCGTCTGTGGGACTCGCGAAGCCCAAGGCCCCCAGGCTGGGATGGACTGGCCGAGGACCCAAATTTCTGTAGGCTCCCGGTGCCAGAGTCCACGGGCAGAGGATGGCTGGTCCAAGGCCTACTTCACTTGCGGTTACACAGATGCCTGGTCGCGGGGGGGGATGGGGGGTGATACGCCCCTGATCTGTGGCTGCCGAGGTGGTCCAGGCAAGGGAGGACGGGGGTTGGGGGGTCAGTGCAGAGATTCCTGACTGCCCTGAGCCCCAGACTCAGCCTGATGAGTCCCAGGACCGGGCGCACCTGCAGGGAGGGCGGGGCCGTGGGTGGGCAGGTGCTGTCCAGGGAGCCCACAGCCACTAGCCACATGGGAGAAGGCCGTGGAGACCAGAGTGGATTTTATGTAGTTCTTTCTTTTTTTGTAAATTATGTGTATGTTTTATGCTTTCCACAGTAAATATATTATTTAGGTTTAAAAAAAATCCCTTTAGGAAGTCTGTTTAGGAATAATGCTCGATGAAATGGACACACACGGCAAAATGAAGACCAGTTTTGTCAGGATTTCTGTGGGGGCCTAGGAAACAAGGGTGGAGTTTACCTCTGTCAGGGCCCATCGGGTATTAATCTGTGTCATTACTGAGTATTTCTGGGAACATCATTTGGTGCTCATGAGACTACGTGGGCACTGGCCTCCCTCTCCCTGTTTTACCCAGAGAAGCCCCTCCCCATGGCCAGCCCCCCACCCCGGAGTGTGGTCCTTCGGGATGAGGGCCCACTCTTCGGCGCTGCGGGAAGCTGAGGGAGGCTTTGTGGACGTCACTCCCGGGTACATGTCACCCCCTTGCAGCTGACCGGCAGTCACCTGGACCACCGCTCGAGGGGCGGCCAGCCTGGGGCAGAGTGTCGCCCGGGTCCCCGGGGGCCCAGCGACCCGCGGAACAGGTGCATGCCAAGCTGCAGCTCGTGGACCTGGCGGGCAGCGAGTGTGTGGGTAAGCGCAGAGCCTCTGTCCGGGGCGAGCGGGGATGTGGGGCGTCCTGAGCATGGCCCCCGTCTGCAGTGAGCTCACAGCTGCTCCTCCCAGTGGGCAGCTGTCTTTCCATGGCTGCCAGACGTGCTCGTCCCAGAGCGATGCCCCCCCCACGGCTCTGCAGCGGCCAGCCCATTCCCAGTCGAGGCCATGCAGGAGGTCAGAGGAGGACGCCGATGGGACTGAGGGGCTCCCCACTCAGTGCTCCCTTCCTGAGAAGCGACAGTTTTGCTTTCCCTCGTTCATTTCTTGGTGTTGCCAGAGAATTCGTTGCCCATGCTAACCACGTGGCTGGGTCTTCGTGCTTTCCCAGGTGTGTCTGGAGTGACAGGATCGGCCCTGAGGGAGACTTCGTTCATAAACCGGAGCCTGGCGGCCCTCGCGGACGTCCTGGGGGCCCTGTCGGAGCGCAGAGGCCACATCCCATACCGCAACAGCCAGCTCACCCACTTTCTCCAGGACGTTCTTGGTAACGTAAGGGCCCCCCAGAGGCCCCAGACCACAGGACCCCCAGGTGGTGGCACGGCACACTCCCTCCCCTGGGGGGCTCGCTCCTCCTGGCCGTACCTCCTTGGGGGACTTCCTGGGCCCCCAGGTCACTGTTGTCCCCTCCCAGAGTATTTTCAGCGCTATTCTCCGTGTTGCTGTGCACTGGGTTGCTTGGTTTGCACGTGCCTGGCCAGCCCTCCAAGTAGGTCCTCGGCTCCTCGCAGGGCCGCCTCCACATCCTGTGTCCCAGCCTGTCGGGCGCGTGGTGGGCTGCAGCTCACCCTGAGGATAGCTGGGGTAGAATGAATGTTCTAGGCTTTCTATGCGTCTCATCCTGGCGTCTCCTCTCTCTCACTGCAGATGGGCTTTCTCCACAGGAAGAGGCAGGGCTGCATCCAGGGTTCATGTTTCGGCTTCTCCCTCTAGGAGGGCCCCTGATGCGTGAGGCTGGGCGCAGGGCAGCGGGGCCCCCGGGAGACACACACAGCCCTTGCCGTGGCCTCCCAGTGTCTGCGTGGTTCGCCTCCCCGTCCTTCCGTCCTTCCCTCTCCCTTGTCCCTGGGTTTGCTTTTCCTCCCAGGCCGCTCAGCACCCCCTGTTGTCCAACAGGCTGGGGAGCCCTGGGTGCTCTGGCTGGGGGACCCCGCCATCACACGCCCTCACCAGGAGCGACCCACGCCCAGGCCCGCGCCCCCGAAGCCGGCGTCCGACTCCACGTGGGCTCCGCAGTAGCTTAGCCATGCCGGGTTTCTCTTGGGCTCTTTCACCTGCCGTTCCTTCTTATTTTAAAGGAGGTGACGCAAAGCTCCTGGTGATTCTGTGCGTGTCCCCCTGCCGGACGCACGTGGCAGAAACGCTGCGGTGCCTGGGGTTTGGGGCCCGGGTGAGGCAAGTGCAGCGAGGCCAAGCTGGAGGGGGCAGTGTAGCCCCCCGGAAACCCAGGTGAAGCAGGAGCCGTGGGCGGGTTGCCCGTTAATGGGCTTTGTGCCCTTATGACGAGTTTCCTGTCATTCCTTGACAATGTATGTGCCCTAACACAAGCTCTTTGACTTTGGACTTCATAAGCCTGTTGTTTTCCAAGGAACCAGTGACACGCTGACCCGTCATCAGGGAGCAGGAGACGCCCAGCAAGAAGCGGGGGGGACGGGGACATGGCGGCCGAGCAGGAGCTGTGCTGTCTGCCGACCAGCAGGGAAGGTGCGCAGACCAGACGATCCGGGGTCGGAGTGCAGTTCCAGAACCACAGCCCCGGGCTCTCGTGCCGGCCGCCTGACCCGGACACTTTCCTCAGCCCGTAAAGCCCCGTTCCCTCGTCTGTAAGACGCCGGGTGTGCTCAAACACGCCACCAAGAGCAGATGTTTCATGTTATTGCTCCTCCTCGTAATGACCCATCGTCCCAAGCCGACGTCCCAGCGCTGGCCATGACGCGTGACACGTGGCGGGCCACAGGCTCTCAGCGTGGGGGCCGTGCGTGGGATCCAGGGGCCCCGGGAACTCGGATGCGGTGCGAGCTCCCGCCCCGACCGGGGGCCGCGCGCAGATGCGGTGTGCGTGTCTCGGTGTCAGCCCGGCAGCGCGGACTCCTTGGGTGGAAGCCGCTCCGAGCCGCGCCCACGGGCGTGCGGGCCTCACAGACCAACAGGACGCGTGGCCATGCCCTCACCACACGTGCGGCTCTGGAAGTGAGGCTCAGACACAGGTCCCCGTTGATGCTTCCGGAGCACAAGTGGCTTAAGTGTGAGGAAAACCCGTTCAGACCTCAGCCTGTTTTATGTAAGAGTGAGCAAAATGTGTTTTCTAGCGATTAGCACGAACCCAGCAGGCCTGCTCCGTGCGTGTGTCTGCGGGGACGGTGTGCGTGGCCCTGAGGGAGGCATGAGGACCCACGCCTGCCTCAGTCCCCCCGGGGTGCATCCAGGGCCTCGCTCCTCACCGGCCTTCCCGTTCCTTCCCGCACCGCCCGGGACCCAGTTCCTGCCAGACTCCGGGACACGGGGTGCAAGGCTGGGCCCGCTGCAGGTCACGGGGCGGGGCGTCCCCCGCGGGAGAAGGACGCCACAGAGGGCGGGGTGGGGCCGGGTCATGTAGACGATGGGGAGGGTGACAGATTGATCGGCTGCTAGAGGACAGACCACGGTGAGCGCGCCTGGGCGTGTGCGCGCCCCATGAGCGGGACGGAGACCGCAGCACGTGGACACAGTGTTCCAGTCCTGACACAAACGTTGTCAGCGGCACGGCTGCCGGGGACACGATTTCCCAAAAAGCTGAAAACTCAGCAAAGTTACAGACAGATCCGTTTTAGAGGCTCTGACACGGAGAGACTCCCCACCGCGGAGTCGGGTGACGGGGACAGAACCCACCCCTGTCCGTGAGGGCGGCCCCAGACCGGGTGTGCGCCCGGGAGCCCCTCCACACCAGCCTGTGCGGGACGCGTTGCTGCCATCCCAAGGCAGGTAGGGGACCGCCAGGGCCGGCTGGAGAGTGACCACGCGGGTCCTCGGCCACTCATTGGGGCGCGGCCCACTGCCCGCCGAGAACAGTCTTTCTTCCTTGCATGTGCTGTGAGTGGCCACCTCTGCACCATCCATGCCCCCTGCAGCCCAGCGTCCTGTGCCCGCCGCCCCGGACGCCCCCTCAGGACGGTCCTGCGAGACGGTCACGGGCCTCTGGAAGCTGAGGCAGTTACGGCCGACAGGGCAGGGACAGGGCATTTGGGGCAGGCGGAAAGCGTGCACACAGGATGCGTGCTCAGGGCCCCTGTCTGCATGTGGCCATGGCTGTGGCCGTGTGAGCCCCCAGGCCTCGGGGTGGCCGAGCGCCAGCCTCAGAGCCGCCGCTCCGCGTTGGCGTGATGACCGTGCAAGCCTCGCCTCCGACTGGGCGTGTTTGGCAGAGGCGGAGAACACTTCATCGTGGGGGAAGTGGGAACTGAGCTCGGCCTCGCGGCCCCTGTCACCGTCGGGACGCCAGAGCGCGTCCCAGGGCTTCAGGGCCTCACGGATTCCCGGACCTCCCCTGCCGCCCGCGCACAGCCTGCCTCTGTCTCGGCCGCCCCCGGGGCCTGTGTCTCCCAGAGGTGGGGGCCCGCGTGTGGAGGAGGGGGGGCACGTGGAGCCTGTGGCCTTTGGCCCCATCGCTGGCACGCAGAGAGGCCCTGCCCCACGTGCCCTGACAACACGGGGCGCTCTGGGAAGGTGCCTCCCAGCCCTGCCCCTCCCGTCACCGGCCGAGCGGCCCACCTGTGCCCCCCACATCCTCCTGCCCCCCGGCTCCCTTCTCCTGGCTGCCCCTGCCCTGGGACAGAGCGGCCCGACCTTCCTCAGACACAGTTCAAGCCACTGTGCCGAGGACGCGCTGTCGCGCGCTCCTGGGTCCGCGTGCACAGGTACCCCCGCGCCCCTCGGGGCTTGCCTCCCGCATCCTTGGGGCTGGCTCGGTGCCCCCACCCCCCAGGGTATTTCGGGGATACTGAACAGCCAGCACCAGTCGCATCCCCCCTCAATGCGCATTTTCCGCTTGCGCGGTGGCCTCAACCCTTGGCCCTGAGCCACTGGGTCCGGGGCAACAGTGTAGGAAGGCCCGGGGCTGCAGGGAGCAAGGGCCGCGGGCGTCAGCGGGCAGGGTCTGCGGCACACTGTCTGGGAGCAGCCGCTGAGGCTGAGGGTGAGCGCGGGGCCAGGGCGGGTACAGCCGGGGGTCTCCTGCGGGAGACAGCGAGGCGACCCATTGCTGTGAGGTAAGTACTTGGATAAAAGAGCATCCGGTCCGAACTTTTAAAAAGTGTGAGGAGTACAAAGGGTCCCGAGACCCCAGGGCCCCTCCCCCGCCCCTGCACTGAACCCCAGGCTGAATTCGGGGTGAGGCCCCTGGCGCTCTTCCGCCTCCCAGCAGGCCCGCCTTGGCCTTCCTTCGCCACGTCCTGGAAGCCACTCTGTCCCCGCCCGGGGAGGCGGTAACCTGTGAACCACTGCCCTCCCAAACCCGACCCGCGTGCCCCTTGGGGCAAGGGAGCCAACCCTTTCTGGCGAGTCAGTGGGTTTTAACCACTTACGGTTAAAAACATCTTCATTCTGCAAATTTTAGAAAACCACATAGTCACGTGCGGATGGGGCCCAAGGCCGAAACTGATGGGCCTCGTGGTCCCCCTGCTCCCCTCCTGGAGCCCTTGGCCACTGTGCCCGGGGCCTGGCTCCTCTCTAAGAGCCCCAGGTCCCCTGGACGGACGCCCTGGTCCCCGGGAGTCAACCCTCTCTTCTCCTCTGCCGAGCCTCCAAGCCCACGCAGCGGCTCTGGGGCGGCCGGCCACGGAGTGAGTAGGCTTTTCTGCAGAAAGGACGTCCTGTGCTCTAGATTCTGTCTCCCAAGGAGGTGGGCCTAGGTGACCCAAGGGCCACAGGGCAGAGTTCACCAAACCAAAGTGAAGGTTAGACATGCCCTCTAGACTCCTGGGTCCATGACTTCAATGGGCTGTGGGTCCCCGAGGGCCACAAGCCCCTTGCACTGGCAGCCGGCCCAAACAGAACTGCCCCAGGTCCACTTGTGACGTCCTGCATCCCAGCAGGGTGGCAGCCATGCTCCCCAGCGCGCACCCGACTCCCCCGGCCTCACCCCAGGGCAGGAGGGGTCGCAGCGAGACCAGGCAGTTGGCCCAGGGAACTGCAACAAAACAGCCCTCGGGGTTTCTGTGACTCTAGACCTGGTGACTCGGCCTCTGGCCTCCATCCAAACCTGGCCCAGGCCTGGCCTCCACTTTCCTGAGCCATCTGCCCACTCCTGGGGCCCGGAGGGAACCTGGGTGGGCTTCCTTTCAGCCCCGCGGCTGTGGTGCAGGACCCTGTTCCCCTGGCCCACCACACCCCTGGGGGCCACACGACCCTCCCCACTGGTGGTCACCATGGTCTCAGAGTGTAGATGAGTCAGCCTACTTAGCAGCCCCACGCCAGCCCTGACCTGTGTCTTCTCACAAACCATGCGTCCCTACTAGTTAAGACCCATTTTCCAGGAAAACATCTGTTTTGCCTGAAAGAAAAAGTCCTAATCTGCACAAAGGAGAAGCTAGTATTTCTGACTTTCCGGCCACTCTTGCCTCCGCCGTGTGTGTCAGGCTTTCACTTTTTCTGGGTGGGCAGGAGTGGGGAGGGCTGGAGATCACTTGCCCCGGGCCCCTCTTGGCCTCTAATTGTGCTCCCCGCTCACCCAGCAACCCAAGATTACCCGGTGGTTAACAGACACTTGGCATAATTTTCCTTGTCTGTCCATGGGGCCTGGAGGAAGGATAGAAATAGGAGCCCCTCCCAGGTTCTGGTGGTTTCTCGGGGTCAGCCAGCGGTCCCTGCTGCCCCATCTGCCAAGGACACAGGGCAGGGCCCTGGCCTCCCTCTGGCCCCGGCCATCCTCAAGTTACGGATGGGTGGGATCAGGGGTGATGGAAGACGGAGTCTGGGTGTGAGCCCCGACTTGCACCAAGAGGAGCTGGTCAGAACCACATGGCCCTGAGCACGCCAGGCTGGTCCTGCCCAGGCCCGCCCCCCACATGCCCACCCTCCCGGCCCCCCCCCCCCCCCCCCGCCCCGGGCCTGGGGCGGCGCTGGGCAGAGGCTCACGGCGTGTGTCCAGCGCCCTCTTGTGGCAGCTGGGGAGAGGTGCGGCGTCCCCCAGGGCCGGCCGCCAAGCCCTGTCCATTCACCACGTCCGCTCACCCTCGTGTGTGCACGCGTGGGCCTGTGTGCGGGGGCCGGCCCCGCAGGCTCATTTCTGCCCCACCCAACACCTTCTTTGCGCAGTAGCCAGTCAGTCCGTGGGGCTGAGCTCTCGTGCCCACGTTTTCTTTGTAGGAAAATAATCCCCATAGACCTCAGGTCAGAGCAAACACAACCCCATTTGTTACTATGGCGACTGGTGTTAGTACGACTTTGGAAAATCACGGGAAGCAGGAGCCCCAGACGGCTCTGGACGCCCTCCTCCCATCCTTCAGGCCCCGACCTCCTGCTGCCTGGCTCAGGGGCCCTCCCTCAGACTTCTCTCTTGTGGCCGCTAGGCTGGGTGCCCTCGGTAGCCCGGGGCCCGGGTACTTCCTGCACAGGGACCAGACGGGCAGCCAGCAAGCCTGCCCCACCACCCTGACCCCGGCCGGCACCTGCCTAGGGCTGGCCCGTGACGTCGTCTACAGGGAGCCTGGGTGCCCACAGGGACCCCTGCTATCCGGCCCCGCCCCGTCCATCCCCCACGGCAGAACTGCCCCTTCGGCAACTCCAGGCCACAGAGGAGGGGGTAGAGCAGCCCTGCTTCTCTCCGAGGAGCACACTTGGTAAATATGAGCTCAGGGGGCATGAGTGGCCCCCCACGGTCCCGTCCGGGCGGTACCACCAGGCGGCACGCAGGAGAAGCCCTCAGCCTCCTGGCCCGCCCAGCGCAGGCTGGTTCAAGCGTCCGAGGCAGGTGTGGATTTAGGTCTTTATTACACGTGCGCGCTGTGTACAAACACAAGATGTGCTTTCACAGAAAGGATCAGGAAGCCCAGCCCGGGCAGCGTCAACCTCGCTGTGCGTGTGTGCACATGCGTGCCCACACCCCCACGCGTGCACACGCGCACGCCCCCACACGCGTGCACATGCGTGCACACGCACACACACGCATGCGCCCCCCACACGTGCACACACGCTCACGCACACACACGCACACAGCGGCTCACAAGCTCCGCCCTGCCTCTCCAAATGAGCCTGAGCTGAGCTCCCGCGCCCAGGTGGCCTTCCCAGCGCGAGCACGAGACACGGGGAGCTGTCCCGGCCACAGGGCTGTGTGGCGGGGGGCCCCCCATCACCCGCGGAGTACTCGGGACCACCAGACAGGCACAAGTCCGTCCATCTAGATCAAGGGGCAGCAGGTGTGCGGGTGCGGATCCTGTGCAGGGGAGAGGCCAGAGGGGCCCAGGTAGAATGAGCCGGACCACAACCGGATGTCCATTGAGAGCCTCAGGCTCGGGGCTTGTTACGACCGTCTCATATCCCACCTGCTCCAGAGCAGCCTCTCTCAGGGTCTCTGGAAGGGATGCAGGGGCCCAGCTCGGGTTAGGAGGCAGTGACATCAGCACAAGCCCTGCTCTTCCACCTGGGGGCACAGGCGCTAGTCTGCTAACAAGCACCCCGTGCACCGGCGGGCTCAGCCCAGCGACCCTGCACCATCCAGATGGCGGCCGGCTCCAGGAAGGCCACCTGCAAGCAGGGCCTGGAGGTGGGTGGGGGCAGCGTGCCTCGGCCCTAGGGAAGCCACCCTGCCTTTGCAAGGAAAGCACAGCCATTAATCACGGGGAGTCCTCCCAGCTGTAGCTGCAGCCGCAGCGCTCCTGAGCCACGCGGTCCAACCGCAAGCTGGCCGCTGGGGCCGTGCACCTGCCAGCACATGCTGCCTGCTCCCTGGCCTCTGAGTGCACCGATGTACAGCCCTGAGTGAAGGTCAGCTGTCCCTCAAAAGCACACTTTCCCAGAACTTGCTACCGCGTGTAAAACCACCGGGCTGTTAAGGTGGTGTGAAGCTGGGAAGAACCTCTCCAACCCCAGATGTGGAGGATGGGTCAGGTGCAGAGCGTGGGGCTGGGGCTGGTCCCTGCTCCGCCCCATCTCACCTGCAGTCTTCTGAGCCCTAACGGTGACCAGCGCTGTCCCAGGCCAGGAGCCCTGGCTGCTCCCGTGTGACCTGTGATGGGAAACGACCGGAACACGGGCTCTGTCTTGGGGCGCAGAGTGAGGAATATTCAGAATCTAGATCGCGGCTTCACTGGTTGGCCTAGTTGCCTCTCTGGCCTTACGGGCTCCACAGGGACCAGGAGTCCAGATGATCCTGCGGCTCCAGCCATGGTGCTTCCCGTGGTGTCCGCACCCTGTGGGTGGCGGACACGTCTAGACACGTCTGGGGCGAAAGCTGGGCCCACAACTCACAGAGAGGGATTGCAAACAGAGTGGTCTAGCGGAAGCCGGTGGCCAATGCAATGACAAGTGACCATGCCCTGGGTCAAAGACTCCCAGAAGGCTGTGCACTTAGCCCGACCATCCATCAGGGTCAGTGCGGAGAGAACCCGAAGGGAATAGCTAACATATCTTCCTTCCCAGAACAGATGGGGCGGTGCTACCCGAGGGGCCAGCACGGTCCGCCCCTCAAGCCTGAAGACTGCATGGTCAAGAAGACTTGACTTCTACCTCCTGGTGACCCAGATGGATGGAGCTGGGACCCGTCATTGTTGGCACGAGAGTGGGACCTGCTCATCCCCTCCAGGCCTGACATGAGAACCTGCTCCACACACTGACAGGTGAACGCACAGGGGGAAGGGGCTGGGGCGGGGGGCGGACCTCGGTCAGCCAGGCGGTGGCAGGAGCCTCAGGAGCAGGAGGGGTGAGGGCCAGAGGCCGTCCTGATGTGGGAGGCTGCTGAGGTGTGGATGAGGTGTGGGCGCGGTCCTGCTGGGTAGACAGAGCCCCATGTGGACGGGACTTGCCGTGCGGATGAGCCATGCTGTGTAGATGCAGCCAAGCTGTGTAGACGGAGCCCGGGGCGGACGAGCCGTGTCTTGTGGATGCAGCCGTGCCGGGTGGACAGGCTGTGCGGCGTGGATGAGCCCCAAGTGGGCAGAGCCACATCTGCAGTTGTCCCCACCACAGACTCCTCTGGGGCTGGTCGCCCCTGCTCACTGCAGAGGTTCCCGGCGGAGCGTGGTCCCGGCTGCCGTGGTGTGGGCCTGCCTCTGGTAGGGGGTAGTGTGCGTGCATTCTGCCTCTCCACCTCCAGCCACCCCCGCAATTCTGTCCTCCCTGAGCACGCACACCAGCACCCCTAGCTGGGGATGTCCACACGACCCCTTCTGCCTCTGGCCCCCAGAGTCCCTCATCCGGAGGCTCCCGCCTTGCCCTGTCCTCACTGCACCCTGCTGGGCCCACTGTCTACACGGCCCCCTTCTCCTGTCCCCCCCGTGCCCCCGAGGCCACAAGCTCTGTGGGCAGGAGTGGGGCATAGGCCGTGGCCCCCCTGTCCTCAGCCAGGACAGCTCAGGGAGGGAGCGGCTCCTTCTGCGTGGGCTCCTCCCTCCCTCTCCTATCCTGGAGGTGACTCCTACAGCTGGTGCCTGGGTCCCCTCTGGGGCCCTGATGCAGAGCCCACCCCATCCCGAGGGGCTGCTGGATGGGGGGCTCACAGCCCTGGGCTGTTTTCTTCCTTTGAACTGGTCGGACTTGGTTACTATTGGATAGATTTTAGGAATAAGATCTGGAAGCATCCTCGGAAGTCAAGAACAGCTTCCCACCCCCATTTCCTGGGTGAGGAAGCCTGTCCGGTGCTGGGGCTCAGAGGCGCTGCCCCGGGTCCTGTCCAGGTGGGGGCCCAGCTAGCCCCCACTACTTTGCATCCCGCAGGGTGAGTTCACCGCTGCAGAGGGGCCACGTGGGGCCGGTGGATACAGGCTGTCTCGTCGCCCTTTTGGGGGTACGTCCTGTCTGCCGTCTCTGGGCCGTGAGCCCCCAGCTGCACTGGGAGCTGACCCTGCCCAGGCACTGTGGCTTCTCTCCCCCTCCTTGGTCTAGCTTCGTCCCTCTCTGGGAGTCACATCAGAGCCTAATATTCTCTCTGTCCAGGGCACCACCCCCAGGTCAGGCCCAGCAAGGCGGGGAACCCCCAGCCCATAACCATTGGCCGCCGCCGCCGTCCGCATGGGGCACGTGGTGGGACGACCCTGGTGCGCTCGGGTCACCCCGGCCGAGCCCTGACGCTCGCACCCTCGGCCACAGGACAGGGCAGGGAAGGGCGGGCTGCAGCAGGGGGCTGGAAGAGCAGGCGCGCGGTCGGCAGCCCTGCCACAGGTTCTTAGCACGCTCTCCCTGCACGCCTCCTCCCTGCGCACAAACACTAGGCAGCTGAACCCCGCCGCCTCAGCTGGGCACCGAGGGCTTAAAGGGTCGCTGTGATGTGCGGCGGGGGCGGGAGGCCCGGGGGAGCTGTGCGGACAGACAGACACACAGACAGGCTGAGCCTTGGAGCTCCGAGCTCCCTCCCACCCCTCACCCTTCAACCCCCGTTAGTTACTGGGACAGAAGTGCCTGTGATTTCCTTGTCTGTCTGTCTGCCGGGTGGCTCATTCCCAGCCCTCGCGTGGTGATGGTAAAAAGCAGACTGGCTTTCCGTGCACTTTCTTGTTGTTTCTGCATCCTGCTGCTTGTGCCAGAGCAGACCCTCTGCCGCCTCTGGGGCCCCAGACGTCCCGGAGGGCACCTGGCAGGCAGAGGGGGGCAACTCTGCTTTAGACCAAGGTGCCGCTGGGGTCCGGTGTGGGAGCAGGGGTCTGCCACTGGAGGAGGAGAAGACCTCACACAGCTGGAGCCCGGGCGGGCGGCGGGCAGTGCTGGCCGGGGCCACAGCCCTCGGCAGGGGCCCTTCGTCATTTATTCAGGGGACCTGTGCTGAGCCCACTGACGGGCGGCCAGAGGTGCCGTTGTCCTCACTGAGAAGAGAAGCAAAGGCAACTGCCTCCTCAGCAATGACGTTCCATCCCTCCAGCTGCTTGGGACACAAAACTGGGGGTCACCTTTCTTTCTCCCCTCGACCCCAAGTCCAGACAGTAGCAAATCCTGATGGTTTTCCCTTCGAAACACCCCCTCACCTACCTGCCCACGTATCCCCGTCCACCCCCTGCTCCACACCTCTCTCGTCTCGCCCCCTGGACTCTGACAATGGGCTCCCAGAGTCTCCGCTTCCAGACTTGCCCACCATACCCAACACCTCAGCCTCCAGAATCTTGCTGATCAGGGGGCAAATCACCACACTCCTGCCCAAAGTCCAAAAATGACTCTCACCTCCCTCAAAGAAGCCAGAGCCTGAAAGTTAACTCCAAGGGCTGGCCCTGTTTGCTCTCTGGCCTCCCTGCCTTCCTGCCCCAGGACCTTTGCATGTGCTGTTCTTCTGCATGGAAGGCTCTGTCCTGTACATCTGCCTGGCTTTCAGAAATCAGCTCACATGTCTCCTTGTTGGGGAGGCCCGTCCTGACTCCCAGCGCACACTGTCCTTCACAGCTGAGCGTAACTAGACACGTTTTTCTATTGTCTCTCTCCCCCCGCTGGAAGGAAGCTCCCTAAAGTCTGATTCACTGCTGCAGCCCCACTGTATGTACTCAACAAATATGTGTTGGGCTAAAAAAAAAAAAAGCCACTACCTGCCTAAAATATTTGCCAATTTGATTCAGTGATCCTCTTAGGTGGGCTATTGATGCCATTGTGCAGATTTGCAAACTGAGGCTCACAGACTGGCTCTGGAATCCAGGCCTTGGGCTTCCACCCATGGCTTTCCTACCAATTTCACTTCTGGCCTGCTTGCTGGAACGCAGTGTTGTCAAGAGGCCCTTTCTTGCCTGGTCTGCCAACTCCCACAGGCCCCAGAGGGAGCTGCAGCTTCTCCCAGGCGCGGGTGGGGTCCCTGGGTCCATCTCTTCATTGCCTTGGGCTCAGTAGGAAAAAGGTGTCCTGTGAACTACAAGGTGTTGTCATCACTGATGTGTGCTGCCAACTTTCCAAGGACTTGATGGAAGAAGACTAAGGACATCGCAAGTCTTTCCTGGTTATTAAGACAACTTCTCAGAAACTAATACGTTATCGCAAAGCCACACACCCGACATCAGAGCTGCGGGGTGGCAGAGACCCTGGGGCAAGCGGCCTGGAGGCCCAGTGCTTCCAGACTCATCACCATGTTTCTGTTAACCCCCAACACGCAATGGGACTGCGATGGCTCTCCTCGTGTCTTGCTGATTACCTGCCTTGCTCACTGACCAGCTCCTCACAGCACAGTGCGTGTGTCCTGGCGGCTGTGTCCCCATGGCCATGACAAAGGTCTGAGCTAAAGTAAGTTCTCAGTAATGACCCACTCAATGGGTGGACACCTGGCCCAGGTAGAAGGCCACCACTAGGGTGGCCCCACGGCAGCTGTCCCATGAGGCAGACCGGCCAAAGAAGAGACGAACAAAGGCAGCCTTGATGTGTATGGAGCACGCAGCATCCAGTCCGGGAAGATGGTTTTTAGGACCCAAAGCTGTTAGAACTCAATATCGCAGTCTTCACACGTGCTCCCCCACCTCAGAGCTCATGGTCACAGTCATCATATGTGCTCCTCCACCTCAGAGCTCAAGGTCATGGTCATGTGTTCTTCCACCTCAGAGCTCAAGGTCATGGTCTTCACACGTGCTCCCCCACGTCAGAGCCCAAGGTCACGGTCATCATATGTGTTCCCCCACCTCAGAACTCAAGGTCACAGTCATACATGCTCCCCCACCTCAGAGCTCAGGGTTGAGATCATCACTCATGCACTTCTAGCCTGTCAACTGCAATGAACCAACTCCAGGGTTTTCACTTGCTCAAGGTGGTAGCTGTATCCCACAAATGTCAACCAAGACAAACTCACAGTCTTTTCACAGAACCTCCGATGAGGTTCTTAGATCTTTGCAGCAAACAAACATGGGATTTCGAGGCTGAGTCTTTGGAACTCTTTAGAGACTCTGCATTTGTTTGGAGTAAAATGAATGTAATCTAGACCTCCATGGTTAGACTCTCTGAACAGCCACCTGGAGAGCTGCTTCATAACGATCCAGAACCTTCTGCTCCTCACTTAGGAAACTGAGTTCAGGTGCAAGTAAACCGCAACTGAAGAGGCAAACAAACCCCTTTTGTTAGAGGGTAAAATGAAAAGGTTTTTGGCTTCGTTGTGTTTCCAGTCCCATCTGTCGAGCAGCATGGTGCTGCGTCGTCATGGTAAACAGCAATCCTCGGTGCCTGCTGTTCAGCCGGGTCCCTCTTAAGAGATGCATGTGTTGTACAGATGACCCGGGTCCCCACCAGCCACTCTTTGGCAGGTGGCCTTGGAGAGTTAGCTTTCCCAGGCTGGCGGCCAGGAGCCCCCTGCCCCCTTCTCAGCTGCGGTTTCACCGCCAGAGAGCCTGGCTAACTTTCCCAAATGCCTTCATATACACAGTCCCATGAGACTGACCTGGAGGGAACCAAGTCCAACAGGGATAGGAGAATGGCTCAAGAACAGATCAATGAGGCTAGAAGCAAACTACGGGGTGGTGCTACTTCTACCCTGTCCGGTGTCCTCCCAGGCCTGATGCATTCCCGGGGCCTCCAGACCACAGCTGCCCTGGGGCAGACCTTCCAGCCTACAGCTGCAAAGATCACTCCCGTGATCCCACAGAGAATGAGCAGAGGAGTCTGATGCAAGGGGACAGTGCCTGGGTGTTCTGGATTTACAAACCAGGGTCAAAACCACAGATAAGGAAACGGAGCAGCAGAGAATGTGTCCCTTCAGCCCCCATGAGACCAAGTGTTCACACACCAGGCAGAACACCAGCACAGGGCCACCCGCTGCCCAGGTCAGTCCCTCCCCGGCGCCTGCGGATTCTTGGAAGGGACATCTTTGGGGGCAGCACTGTCCTCTGCTTGCTGCCCAGCTTTTGAAAAGCTAGCTCCCTGCTGGGCACTGGCACTGAGTCACGGAAGAGAAACTGTAAACTGGGCTTTCTAGAAGTCAGGGGCTCACACTTGGGACAGCCTGGTATGGAAGGAATGCTGAACCAGTGGTCAGCCTGGCCCAAGCTCAAAGCCACGTCTCCGTCCTTCCCAGTGAGCGTGGACAGAGCAAGTCCATGGCACAGGCAGGCTGGCAATAAGGAGGGCACCCCCCAGCACGTCCCTGGGCTCTGACACCAGGATGCCCTGATCCACCTTCCTCTGCGGAGAAAGCGTGTGTGGCTCAGCAAGCCCAGACAGAGCCCCCTCCCCCCGTGGAAGCAACCTGGGCCTGGCCGTGTGTCTGTTCTGACCCTCGTGACAGACTCACAGCCATGGTCCATGCCCAGTGACCCCGCAGACAAGGAAAACAGCCCTGACGCGAGCCCTCTGTATTTCCAGCATCTTCAGAGAGACTACTGATCCAAATTGTTGCTGATGGCAAAGAAGAACAACTTAAAATATATACGAACTTCAAGAAGTGATACAAAGCTAATGTTTTAAACATGCACCCATAGCACCATTCATGAAATGCTGCTAGTTTCAGCAACAAAGTCTGCCCTGGCGTGGCCTGGCAGGCATGGCCATGTTCCTCAAGTCGCTCTGATCCTGTTTCCCAGGGTGCAGAGCTGGTTTCTTTCTTTCTTTCTTTCTTTCTTTTTTTTTTTAAGATTTTATTTATTTATTTGGGAGAGAGAGGGTGTGAGAGAGAGAAAGAGAAAGAGCAGGAGCAGAGGGAGGATTAGAGGGAGAAGCAGGCTTCCTGCTGAGCAGGGAGCCCAATGTGGGGCTCGATCCCAGGACCCTGGGACCATGACCTGAGCCGAGGGCAGACTCCCAATCGACTGAGCCACCCAGGCGCCCACAGAGCTGGTTTCTGCCAACACTGGATGTTTTCCGAGGACCCTCCACGTCCTGGCACAAATGCCCGCTGGGAGCCTGGCTCAGGTCCAGCACCAACATGCGCATCCTCTCTTTCTCAAGGAACTCAGGGAGAACAGTGTCAGCAAACTCTCAGAGTGACAGAGGTCAGCCCATTAAGGTGCATGTGGGTGAAGGGACGCTGGCCTCTGGAAGGCAGGTGGCCCGAGGATCGACCCAGGCCTGAGGCGGGAGGGAGGAGGGGGAGAGGGGGTCCAGGGGCCAGTGGAGCCTGGGGGAGCACGGGAGCACCTCTTACCAGGGACTGGTTTACCCAGTTCACTAGCTGGTCACCTGGCAAGACCCCTGGGAGTGGAGCAGGCTCGGGGAAGAGGGGCAGATGCTGGGGTGGGGGCTGCAGGTTGGCCTGACCATGGGGCTGGGCTGCAGGGGGCCAGCTGGCTGTGCAGCCTGGGGAGGGGAGGGCCCTGGGCTGGCCCTGGGCTGGGGCCAGGTGCCGTGGGTGGGAGGCTATTGCCTTCAAGGCTCCTAGACTTTGCTTATCCCCTTTCTCAGGGGACAGAGTCCCCTGGGGGTGGGGCTCTGCTCCGGTCAAGGACCCAGATTCTGGTGAGAGGGGCGTTTGCTGCCCATCCGCACCCTCTGCTGGAGGGCGGACACCCCAACTTCTGATCTTTGACTCGCTCATTCAGAAGCACACTTGGTTGCTGCCCTGGGGCCCTCAAGTCCCTGGGCAGAGGATGATTCAGGGCATGTCCATGTAAGCAGTGACCCTCCCATGCCCAAGGTGGGGTGGGGCAGGAAACTTCCCCAGAGAGTAGAGGCTCCTCACACAGGGGGACCCCCAAACGGTCTCAGGTCCTACTGTGTGGACCAGACGACTGGTTTCTGATTCTACTGTAATCCTGCAAGGCTGCGGGAGGCTGGGGACGAGGTGCGGGGATACTGGGCAAGCTGCCCGGAGTCCCACCGAGTCACGCCCTGCGTGCTGAGCCCCGGAGTGCCTGGCTGCGTTCCAGCGGCTGTTCCGACGTGCTTGATGGCAGCCCTAGTGGAAGAGGTTGTACGGTGCTCTGGAGCACACACACCTGTGTGCAGACCGCTGCAGGACCGGTGAGGCCACCAGCTTCCCCTCACCCTGTCCCACGCCCTCACCAGGGGCTCCTGGGCCACTGAGCGCTGGGACCTGCAGTGGTGCGCGGGGGGGCTCTTCAGGAGGGCCTGATCCACGAGCTGGACGCATTTGGAGGCCCCATCCCGCTCCCCTGCCCGGTGGGAGATGTTCCAAGGACTCAGCCTGGGGAGAGTGGGTGCTGTTGAGACCACCTGGACAGTAGACGTGACTGAACCCCGTGAAGGCTTCTATATAAACTTCTAAGATCCTGGCAGGCAGGCGCAGGGAGCTTTGCGTGTCGAGGTCGCCCACGACAAGCCTTGTCCGTAAATTCCCTTGCTTGTTAAGACAGCCACCTGCCAGTCTGGAGGCGCCTGCCTCTTTCTTCAGTTGCTCTTGGCCCTCTGTATATGGGGCCCCGTTTTGAATTTCACCCAGGAAGCTCCCGGGGTTTCAAACCAACAAATGGCAAAGCATGGATGCAGACATAGTGAATGTGCTCCATTAAATTCTTGCCCCTGTTTTCAGAGGGTGAGCAGAGCATGGTGGGAACCTTTATTTATCAGGGCTCATAGCCACAGATGTTGGTTAGCCTCCCCTGGCACCTGAAGGGGGCCGGCAGGGCTGTGCCCAGTGGTGAAACCATGCAGAGCCTTGCCCTGCAGAGCCCCGGGGACTGTCAGCTTATATGTCCACTCTGCCAGGCCACAGTGCCCAGGGCGTGGTCAAACATCACCTGAATGCCGCTGTGAAGGTGTTTTTAGGTGCGATTAATCTCGATGTGAGCAGACTCTGAGCCTCCTCCATCATGTGTGGGCCACATCCAATCAGTTGAAGGTGTCAAAAGAAAAGTCTGAGGGCCGCCAAGGAGGGGTTCTCCTCCGAGGGCCTCCGGCTGCGAGCGGCAGCCTCAGCTCTACCTGCGTCTCCAGCCCCACAAGCCCGTGAGCGAAATGCTGCAAACCTCCCGTCTCCCCCAGTCTCCCCTGCACGTACATCCTGTGGGTTCCATCTCCATTTCATGGAGAACGCTGACTACTACTTCCCAGATCCCACACCCACTTTCCTCATCTACACACGCGGTCTGGAGGGCAAGGCCCCCGGCGCAGCGCGTGGGAGCTGCCTGCGTCCTCCTACGCTTGTCCTGGACCCCGGGGCCCAGCTGCCCTGTCTGCTCGGCTGCCCCGGGATGCCTTTTCCTTCCCTTCTCTCCCCACTGGCCATGCACCTGCTGCCGGAAGGCCACTGCTCCCGTCACTCTGACGCTTTCCTCTGTTCCTCTGTCCACCTGTGGTCCCTTGCTGGGGCCCCCGGGGCAGCCTGCTCACCCTGACAGCCTCCATCCTCCCTTCGCCTCTCCACACAGGGGCCTGGGCATCCGGACACTATGATGGGACAACATGAGGGCCCCACTGTCCCTCGGCCCCTCTAACCCTGGCCGTGGTGGGCCGCCCTCCCCTTCCCCCCTGCCCTCCCCCTGCCCTCTCCTGGTCTGGAATTCCCCAAGCCCCCCACCAGGACCTTCAGTCCCAGCATCCCTCCACCTGCAAAATGCTACCTCAGACCCCGGCTCCTTCCCACCACCTGCCCCGACCCCGAGACGCCCGGGCTGATGGCCACACAGACCGTTCTGCCATCGAATCTGTGGGTGTCCTCACGCTGTGACCCTTGCCTCTCGGGGCAGGTCCCCAGGGCCCTGCAGACGTGCGAGACCAGCAATGCCGAGGTGCTCTCCTCAGAGCACCAGCCCCACCGTGGCACCACCTTTCCCTGTGACGCAGTGAGGGTCTCTGTCTGGGGCTTCCTGGATGGGAGCAGAGTGGAGGCCTGTGTGTCCTGCCATCAGCCTGACTCAGAGCACACAGCAGGTGCCCCACGGACAGTTGGTCAAAGAAAGAACCGATTCCAGTGATTTCAACAGTGCCTCCCTCACCCCCCATTAAGCCTCTTCCTGGGGGCCACGCGGCAGTCCCAGCCAGGCCAGCAGGCAAGGGCAACCTAGGAGAACAGGGCCTGTCCCCGGTGGCCTCGAGCTGGCGCGGCAGGCGCAGGGCAGGGTGAGCCAGGCCTCGGGGCTCAGTGGGCTCATCTAAGCAGACTCTCAGCCTCCTTCTTGGGGGTCCCACGGTGACCGTTGGGGTCACGCCTGCACTGTCCCAAGAGCAGGATTTGGTGTCCTGGGTGTCATGGACACTCCATAAACATCCACTCCTTCCTCCTCCATTAAACTGCCGGTGGAAGTAACCCGGGTCTTGACCCCCTCGCGGATCACTGTGCTACTTCTCAACATCGCAGAGTGTGGGCCATGTCCGGGGAGCAGCCCTCACCGGCGCCACCACCCCCGTCCCTCCGAGAGCTCCCAGAGGAGGGGGTGTTGAGGCAGGGTCCTGGCCAGGTGCCATCGGCAGGACAGTGAGAGCCCAGGGTCACGCGGGCAGCTGGAGAAGCTCAGGCCAGAATTAAGGGGCCGACACCCCGCAGCACTGAGTGGGTGCTGGTCCGTAGCCTGCCGCAGTCACCGTCGGAACGCCGGTGTTGCAAGTGGGCTGGCTCCTCTGGGACAAGCTCACACCAGCCTCCCGGCCGGGCTCCCCAGCTACAACACGAGCGGGCACGCGGACAGGCCGCCGAGCCGGGGGGTGCAAGGGAAAGGCTGGGAGCGCCACTGGCCGCCTAGGCCCACCGTGCTGCCCCTGCCCCCCCACCCCTGCCCTGGGTGCCCAGGGTCACATCACGTGTTCAACGGGATGGCAGAAGAGCTAAGACCAGGTGACCACAGCACCGCTGTGGTGAGAGCTCTGCTCGACAACAGGTGTTGTCTGACAGTTCCCAGGCCTGGGGTCGGGCCCCGAGAGTGACCAGAGCTGCTCTTCAAAGCCCCGTCCTTTGAAAAACAGAACGCACAATTCCTGTCCCGTACAAAGTGCACGGTCTGAGCCTTAGGATGGTACTTCAAACAAAAATTTAAGCAAGGGATTCTGGGTGGGAAAGATCTCTGGAAACCACTGTCTTAAGAATCCTGAGACTTCAGAACAAACGTGGACACCTCCTACAAGTAAAGAAATGGTTCTGTCACTCGCTAAACAAAGAAAGCATTCGTACAAGAGCAGACAAGCTGCACTGTAATTAACACCTCCCCACCCGGGTTCTCAGCCCCATGCACCCATGTGAGCCCTCTTGCCGGGATTAAGTAAAGGAACATGAAACGTGCCAGAAAAGCTGCGGATTTACTCACATCCTATATGTTATCCGTAGACGGTTTAACGCACTGCAAGAGCAAAATGCCTCCGTTAGCCAAAGCTGGCCATCAAAGCTCCTCAGACTTTACAGCAACTTCTAGAAGAAACAGGATGCAGACCTTCTCCAGGACCGTCAGGAGGGCCGAGTGCATGGCTGAGCAGATGGGACAAAACAGACAGCTCGGGGCAGACCAGTCTGGCTATGGGGGGCCAGGTAAGCAGGCAGTGCCCCCCGGCCTGGACAGCTGGACACCCCCCCACCCCCTCGGCCACGGCCACGGCCTGCCGAAAAGCACACCAGAGAGCTAGGGTTCCTGCCTTCCTTGGTCTTCTAAGGGCTGAGGGTTTCCTGAGGTTGGATTCCACATCTCTCGTTCGCTGCAGGGCTTTGGGGCCACACCTGAGCCCCAAGAGGATTTCACTGTGTTTAACCAAGCCAGGCCTGCAGGTGCCCTGGCGCCCCACGATCCCGGTCACCAGAAAATCTGCACCGCCCGAAAGAATGAGTCGGACACGACTTACAGAGCCTCCTCTTGTCGGCACACACCTGCTCCCAAAGGTAAACAATCAACCCAGGCCCTGGGCTGACCTTCCTCCGGGTCTCTTCTAAGACAGGCTGGATCCGGGTGGGCGGGTGTGGGACCCAGTTCACTTTCTGCTGACCCTTAATTGTTGGGGGCTGGGGTCCCACAGAGGAGGGGGATGGGCCTGTGTCGGGCCGCCCGGCTGGCAGCAACCTTCCCACAGTTTGCTTCAAAGGTCCACTCAGGTGGGAACATGCCTGCACTCACGCACTGACTCCTCGGACCACGACCCCCGTGGTCACCTCTGACCCCGCACTCACAGACCCACCCCACCTCCCCAACCACTGTCTGCTCACTTTCGCCCTAGCCTTATTTCCAGGAGCTTTAGAGGGCCTCCTGGAACAAAGGAAACATCCCCCACTTTGTGATTAAATGCTAAGATGTCATTTTGTCACCTCCCACCCCCACACACCCCTACACAAACTACCCAAACCACCTAAGCCTGCACACCCGGCAGTGGGTCCTGCACCACTGGGGTCTGTACCCCTCCCTCCCCCACCCTTAGGAGCAGGGAGGTGACCCCCTCCTGTGTTTCCCCTCAATGCTTTCCACCAAGGCCACAACAAGGCTGCCCGCCCCGAAGACCCAAATCCCCGCCAGCCTCCTCCAAGTCTGTTTAGGCACTTTTGACTCCAGCCCCTCCAAACAAGCTCAGGAAACCTAAATTTCAGGCCACACCAGGGTCAAGGGTGGGGCCAGGAGACTGAAGACCCCACGCACCCTGCGCACCTGCCTCGGGGTCCAGGAGGAAAGGGCGGACGGGTGCAGAGGGAAAGAGGCGGAGGGGGAGAGGGATGGGGGGAGAGGCAGGGTGGTGGGCCAAAGGGCCTGGGAGCAGGGACCCCCATCCAGCCTCTAAGTCAGAAGCCACCCGGGGGGCAACAGGGGGCCCAGGGGCGGGCCCTGGGCCCTCTGCTCTGGACTTCGGGGCGCAAACTCCCAAAGGCGGACGGCGGCGGCGAGGTGACAGCCCGTCCTGCCGGGTGCCCGCGGCCCTCAGTTGCCCGTCCGTGGGAGGGGCCACGGGGAGGGACGGACGCGCTCACCTGCGGGGGTCGCAGTCCTGGTGCGGGTCGGGCTCACGGTTCCGGGTCGGGGTCGGGGAATGGGCGGGGGTCAGGCTCCGGGTCTGGAGTGGGGTCCGGGGTAGGGTCCGGCTCTGGGTCGGGGTCTGGGTCCGGGTCGGGGTCTGGCTCCGGGTCCGGGTCCGGGTCCGGGTCCGGGTCGGGGTCAGGGTCGGGATCGGGGTCCGGGTCGGGGTTGGGATCCAGGTCGGGATCCGAGTGCAGCGGCGTGAAGGCAGCCGCCGCTTTTCCCGATCTCCGCGGAGCCCCGGAGAGGCGGCGGTTGGGGGAGAGCGGAGGGGGCGCGTCCGAACTGCGGATTGGCCGGCGCTTCGCCGCTCTCCGCCCGGCCCCGCCCCTGCCCCGCCCCTCCCGTCCCAGCCCCGCCCCCGTACTCTCCCCTCCCCCTCCCTGCCCCGCCTCTCTCCGCTCCGCCCCGCCCCTCCCGTCCCAGCCCCGCCCCCGTCCTCTCCCCTCCCCCCTCCCTGCCCCGCCTCTCTCCGCTCCGCCCCGCCCCTCCCGTCCCAGCCCCGCCCCCGTACTCTCCCCTCCCCCCTCCCTGCCCCGCCTCTCTCCGCTCCGCCCCGCCCCTCCCGTCCCAGCCCCGCCCCCGTACTCTCCCCTCCCCCCTCCCTGCCCCGCCTCTCTCCGCTCCGCCCCGCCCCCTCCCGTCCCAGCCCCTCCCCCGTTCTCTCCCCTCCCTATCCCGCCTCTCCCCTCCCTCCCCGCCCCGCCCCGCCCCGCCCGGCCCCGCCATCTGCCTTTCCGCCCTCCGGCCCCGCCCCTGCCATCCTGGGCCCGTCCCGTTCTCTGAGCTACCCTACCTTCCAGCCCCTGCCCCGCCCCTCCCGTCCCAGCCCCGCCCCCGTACTCTCCCCTCCCCCTCCCTGCCCCGCCTCTCTCCGCTCCGCCCCGCCCCTCCCGTCCCAGCCCCGCCCCCGTTCTCTCCCTCCCTGCCCCGCCCCTTTCCGCTCTGCCCCGCGGGGTCCCCGGCCCTTGCCCGGTCCCCACTCCTCGCCAGACTTGCAGCGGGTAGAGTTGCCCGTCCCAGGGTTATCAGGCCGGGGGTCGCAGCATACCGAGGTCACATGGATCCGGGGTCGCACTGTTCAGCGTTCGGCCTGTGCCGGGATTGCGCACCTTCCCAGGGCTACAGCATCCTGGGCTTGCAGCCTCCCGGGGTCGCCCGTCCGGGGGTCGTCCCGGACGCGGAGAGGTGAGCGCGTGGCCTCCGAGAAGCCCCTGCACCGTCGCACTCCCGGCTCTGGAAGCGAGCTGAACCCCATTTGCCGGGGCTCCGAGTGCCCCCACTGCCCCGGACTCCCGGCCTGCGCAGCCGACTGTGAACGTCCGCTTCCCCCCGCGTTGCAGGCGCTGCGCAGAAGGCGGGGACCCCCAGAGGGAAGGTCTGCCCCGGAGGCGCGGGGAGAGTCCGGTGTTATGTGGGGCGCTGGGCACAGGTTCCATTGCCGTGGGCACGAAGCTATTGCAATCGCGGGGGCCCCAAGGAGGGATGTTTCCTCCAAGGGAGGACTGAGATGGTCCGCAGACAAAAAAGCAGCTTCTGGGCGGTGGGAGGGCCTGGGAGTGAGGGGTCCTGAAAGTTAAACTTCCCTGGGATTAACATCCAGGGGATTTATCAGATCACTACCTGGGGCGACCAGGCACGCTCTCTGACCTAGTGACATTCCTGCAGAAACCTTTAGGGGTAGGGGCCGGTGGACCCAAATCTTGGAATAGCACGTACAGACCCCCAGGCCTGTGGGGTGGGGTGGGGCTGGGAATTGGCTCAGGACCATCACTGTAGACCCAGCTGCAAGGTGCCCCGCTTCAGTGCTCCCTGGGCTCCAGGTGCCAGGGTCCCAGCCGCAGTCTCCGGGAGGCTGCTTCCACCTCTCCTTCAAATCCCGACTTCTCATCCCCACCTGCCCCCACGCCTGGCTATTCCCAGCTTTGGTTTCCTTCACACTTGTCATCTTCTAGTACACCACGGTATGTCCGGCCTCCTCCAGTTCCAGCGTGAGCCCCAGTACCTCACATAGTTCTGTCTGTTTTGCTTCCTGCTGAAATCCATACACCCAGAAGTGTTGTTCATCTACCAGGACCATACTCAGAAGTAACACCTCAGGCAGAGCTCTTCCCAGCTCCAGTTAGTCGCTCTTCCTCTGGACTCTGAAACCTCAGCTCAACTGTTTGTCAACAATGCCAGCCATGGACCCCGTAACCAACCTTCCCATTTGACAGAGGAGGACACTGAGGCTCAGAGAGAATCCCAGCAAGGTGGTGTGGTTAGACAAGCAGGAAACAGTCTTCCCAGTTCCGGAGCCTGGAGAACATCCGTCATACCCTGCCATCTGCATCTGCTCTTCCCTGTTGCACTCGACACTTAGTGAGCGAGCTCCTTAGTCAGCCAGCGGAAGCTTGTGGAATAAATGAATATGTTAGCAAATCATTATAAAGTCTACTGTTACATCTGTTATTTAACTTTTATACCCGTCGAAACAGTCCTTTCCACTAACTCATGGGATCAGTCTGAAGGAAAAATGGACAAGGGAACTACTGGTAGCCAGAGGCTGAGCACATGGATTCTGGAGCCTGACATTTGAGGTCCAAAGCCTGACTCTGTCACCTCCTTACTGTGTGATCTTAGGTACCTTAACCTCTCTCTGCCTTTGTTTCTCTATCTGTAAAATGGGGTTAGCAATAGTACTTACTTACAGGGGTGTCTGAGGATTAATTGAGCCAATATTTATAAAACATTCAGAAACCGCTTGGCACTGAAAGGGCTGTGCGAGTTTTAGCCTTTCTACTTTTTTCTGCACTGCAGAACGACACGCCGCAGTGCAATTGAACAGTATAAATACCATCCAAAGCACCAGGTGCTTCACCTTATAGCAGGGCGCTCCTGTGGGTCTTAATTTACTTTTCCCTTTCTACTCCCTTTTAGCTACAGCGATGACAGAGCAGTGACCCACTGGAACGAAGGTGGCCCATGCCATCTGTAAGCTGGCACAAGAAGGACAGATGGATCGCAAAGGCCTTGGTGCTGGGGATGGGTTGTCACAGACCCGCTGCTACACAGCTCCGAGCTTCCTCGGGCGACATTCGCAAGACCTCAGGAAAGGCTATGGTCCAGGTGTCATGATGCCCGGAGGGTGTGTGTGGTCCGCTCCTGGGGGCTTTTTGTTCTTTGTGGTTGTTCATAAGCCTGGAGGAGAGCATTGCCAACTTCCCACTTACCCATACCCCTGCCTGGAATCCCTAGCTTGCCATCTGAAGCTGCCCTGTTACAGCTCACGCGATGGCCAGGAGGCCCCGCCGCAGCTCTTTCCTTGGTCTGTCCTCAGGCGAGATGGGGCTGCAGGGAACCTGTTCCCCCCGTACTCTGTCAAGTGCTGGAAGTCGGCAGTGCTGGTTCTACCGTCTGCAGGAAGATGTGTGGAGGTCCTTCCACAGAACCTGTGAATGAGACCTTATTTGGAAATCGGTCTTTGCTGCCCTATCAGGTTAAGAGGAGGTCCTGTGGGGGTCAGGGGGAGCCCCGACCCAATATGACTGGTGTCCTTATACGAAGAGGAGAAGAGACACAGAGACAGGGAGGAGAAGGCCATGTGATGATGGAGGCAGAGACAGGGCGAGGCGTCTGTAAACTGAGACATGCCAAGGTAGACTGGCGCCACCAGGACAATGATGGAGCAGGAAGGGACCCCCCCCCAGAGCCCTTGGGGGGAGCACGGCCCTGCCAACCTCAGTCTTGGCCTTTTGCTCACCAGGACTGTGAGAGAACAGATTTTACTGCTGGAAGCCCGGTCTGGGCTCCTTTGTGACGTCGGCCCCAGGATGCCAACACAGACACCACGTTGCCCGTGGCCGGGTGCGTGGCCCAGATCTGGACAGCTCAGCAGCATGTGCGTGCGTGAGCGGCATTGGCACTGAAACAGAGGGATGTTCTATGTTCTGTTGGGACCAGAGTCCGAGGTTTCACTGAGCTCGGAAAACAAGCCCGCAGCAACCCGCCTCTGTCCTTCTATCCAGAGCTCACAGGTCACATGCCGCGTGCCTGGGAAACGAGTAGCCGAGGCAGAGATGCCCACACGTACTCAGTCTCTAAAACACAGAACTTTAAAAATGCTATTTATTATAGTTGGGTATCTTAGTGAGATACATGCTAGTATCTTTCCACCTACCTGAATCGCACACTCACCACACTGAAACTTTTTTTTTATTAATGTGGCTGATTTTTCATGCATTTGCTGTGTTGCATAGTGACGTTTTCAGGGGTGAATACGGCGTCTTGCATGGAGGGCACCTGCTCCAGGGGCCCAGGGTGGCCACATCACTCTAAAATTTGTTTTTCCCTGGAGCGCCTGGCTGGCTCAGTCTGCTGAGTGTCTGACTCTTGGTTTCGGCTCAGGTCATGATCTCACGGTCTTGAGATCAAGCCCCACGTCAGGCTCCGTGCTCAGTGGGGAGTCTCCTTGAGAACCTCTCGCTCTCCCTTTGTCTCTCCCTCCGTCGCCCTACCCCAAATTTAAAAAAATTGTCTTTCATTTTATCTGTTTTAACTTTCTTTCTCTCCGTTATTAATCAT